ATGCATGCATACAGCGCCCACCAGATCCGAACCACTCCTGCAAGTGTAGGAGAAGCGCTTGTGATATTACCGATATTTCCCCGAGACTGGATGAGATCTCATGAGGTCTTGCTAGTTCACCATGAAATATTAAATGAGATCGGCGGTGTATCTAAACGCCTACATTCCACAACCCTGGCCCCTCCCATTATTACGTGAAGAAGAGTTCAACATATTGACTTTATTTTATTTTCATCAGGTTGTTCCGTATCCTGTGGAATTTAGTTGTTGGCGTCTCGGTCTGATTGTATTTCCATGAAGTAATGATCATAAATGTTCTTCCTTGAGCTGCGAAACTCCACTGCACTTGGTGATCACCTCGTCAGGGTTCCCCCACAAACAAGCAGCTGCTGGAGGAGAGTGGGTGAGTTATGTTTAGTCTCTTTACTAAAGAAATCAGGCAAAACTAAAAAGATGTTTGATGGCTAGTACTGTGGCTGGGACCCTATATGTACTGTTGATGAAGTTAGGTGCTGTTCTGAGCATTATTTGTTGCTATATAGCGGCTTGTTGGTTGAATGTGCGTGGAAACGTAGACCGCTGTGTATTGCTATCGTACGGTAGTTACTAAAGTTGGTATAACTAGAGAAGCAAGCAGTCGGCAACATTCATCTCTTGAGGGGGTGTCTAACTCGATGTTACGGTGTGTTTGACCCTAACTTAATTTTATGCTGGAATATCCCTTTAAAGGACTCACTAGGTTAGAAAAGGGATAGGAGGGAGATGCCTATTTGGGCTCTACGCTCTACCTCCCTTTACTCTTACTCCCTCAATCCAAAGAGAAAAATAATCTGCTTTATGTGTCTTTTTTTTTTGGTCTGTAGAAGTTTGATGTCCGTGAAACTATCTTCAAGCTTCCCATAGAGGCTTTGCAGCACATATTTAGCGTGACGAGCCAAAAAAATTTTATCAGTTTATTCGAGATGCAAGAATTCTCACTGGACTTTAAAAAGCGCAACTTTGGGGTCAATATCCAGGTCTAAGAAATAGATATGTGATCCAGGAAAATGCCTGTTCTTATTAAATCACTAAATTGCAGAAACTCCGATTTCACGGGCAGGAAATCCAAGACAAGACGTCAGAGTTTGACCCAGAGTTTGACTGACAGGTGGTTTCAAAAAAGAGCTGGAAGACGCTGCCAAAAAATCTAATGCAAACACATCCAAGCCAAGACTGTCATCTATATGAGAGGGTTACAGTATATGCATGGATTTCTCGGTGGGATAAATACAAACTCATGTCCTCCCACTTCGCCCCGTCTTTAACTCTCTTTCTCTCTCAGGTCCTCCTGTGGACTGTTGCCCTCCATTAGCCATGCGTTGACCTAATATTTTGGGGGTTGAAGGCTGACTGCGGGGGCTGAGATGTTGACAAATGGGGTAGAGGAGTATCAAATGACCCCTGGGGGCTGGGAGGGGGAGCGGAGCAGAAAGTGACCCAGTGTGGAGGTTTTAACTGGCTGTTTTCCCTCCGTCTGTTATCTCTATTTCTCTGAACGAGGGTTAAACCAACATCAACCTCTGCTGATCAGAAAGACTCGAATCAATACGTTCACATTTATCACACAAGCATAAACAACCCCACAAAACAGCACGTGGCAAACTGGTTTACGCCAGCCTGAACCCGCACCCACAGGCTCGGATTAGCCAATCGCAGCGCCCGTCTGACAGTCGCTGCTCCCTGCAGCTAAAGGCGGGTTTAAAGATGACTGACAGCGTGCAAGAAAGCTGCAAGACGATGGCATCTAGTCAACCTGGGGGGCGTCGAGCGGCAGGGGGTGACAGTTGACTGAGGTGACAGACAGTCAGACAGACTCGCAGTGACACCCAGACCTGTCATACAACCTTCTGTCAAGGACACAGGAGTGTTTTGTTGACTCTGTTTACGAGTCATAACTGTCGGGATGTTCCGGGAACTGCACAACAAAAAAAAAAGACTTCTTTATCTGGTTATTTCCATCATTTTTCTCATGTTTACCCAAGATCCAAGAGTGCATGATGAAAAACCCAAGTCTACTTTGACGTACTATTTCAGGAGTCTGAGTTCCTGTTAGTGTGCATCTAAAAATATCACCAAAATGACCCATACGACCCGATCACAGGGATCATCACATGGCAGCGTTCCCGATCACTTCAGCCTGCAAGATTTCCACGCGGGCGAAGGGTGATCAACTCTTGGCTGATGCTCTGTGTCAAGCTCGTCCGCCAAGTCGTGTTACATTGCATCTGGAGAACAAACCGAGGCTGCTTAGCTATCACTGCATCTGTGCGCTCAGCAGTTAGCTGAGGTGTTTTCAACCAAAAGTACTGGCACCTTCTTTTCGGGGAGATAAATGGTTCATGAAGGCGCGGTAGATCAGACCGATGACATCCAAGAGGGTTGCACAGGTCTGGGTTTGAGTCTCTGCTGAACTTTGGTGCAAGAAAATATTCACAAATCAGGTTGGCATCAAAGTGGTGTCAGATTATGGGGAATATGTGCTCTTCCAATTCTTCGTATGAAGGCTACATACTTCATGGAGTCATAATTCATGTATTCATATCAGATTTTGTGTGTGTCCATTCATATCTTCACCTGTATTATTTATGTAAATGAAGTACATGCTTTTTTTGGCGGGTGATTTTTGCCTTTTATTGATAGGACAGGGTGAAATGTGGGGAGAGAGAGAGAGAGAGAGTGGGGATCCCCGTACATGGGGCGCACCAACCCGCTCAGCCATCTGCGCGCCCCTAAATATATGCTTTTTAATGTAAATGTAGATTGTCCTCAAAGTTTCCTTGACCTTTGGAAAGTCCGACCCCATGAGCAGAGGTTTTTTCACAGGGTAGATTAATTACAGAGGATTGGGAACCAAATTTAGACCCTGGTTCCTGCAGTTGAAATGCACAGAGTCCGACAAAAGGTCCCTAGTTCTTGGAGAAAGTTCCTGCTGTTTGATGCTACTTCATAAGAAGGACATCAAGGAGCCCAGGTTTTAGTTACCAGTTAAAACAGAGATGTTGGAGCCCACATGGAGGACTGCGTGTTGTTGTTGTTGGACTCTAGTGTTGTTGCTGCTCAGGTTATCCTAGGTCTGGGCGATTTGGCAAAAAAAAAAGATCACAATATTTTTTGTCATATCGTCCGATCTTGATTATTATTATTATTTTTTTTTTAACTGCCTGTTTTAAAGCATCTGTACTAAAAACTAAAGAAACTAAAAATTAGTTCAACATTTTATTAACATACAAAGTAAATAACAAAGCAAATTGAATAAGATAAACTTAGAAAAATATAAAAAAAACATTTTAACTCAACAGTACAACAAATGTAGATAAATACTAGATAATACAGTGAATTTTGAAGGTATGCAAGACCCAAAATAAACCAACCGCCCCCTCAGAGATAATGAAGACGCCTTAAAATGTAAACATTATATGATGTAAACGTAAATGATACGATTAATCGCTGCCCAGGTCTGGTGGCTGCACTGCTAGTTGTGGCTAAACTGCTAATGCTACTCGTGCCGTCAGCAGTGGCAGGCTGTACAGACTCTGCCCACATTTTCACACTTTCCGCATAATCATTGGGAATGTACTTCTTCGAGTGATTAAACAGATTTGCCGACATACCTCGCTCATCGGCTTAATTACTCAACGTCACTTTGGAGATACCCGAACCACCGCCACACAACCGACATTGAATAACTTCTCAACAATAACATCTTCGGAGACTCAAAGTCACGGCTGACAACTATCTTGCTGTCCTCAGCTCCGCGTTTAGCTCCATGTTCGGTCATTCTGTTGGAAAAGCTCGACTCTGATTGGTTTATGTTTTATCACGATCATATAATCGCCCGGTCCTAGGTTAGGATAAGGTCAAGTTTTACAGTTGGACATTTGAATGGTTATAGTTGCATACTTCAAGTGCAGTCCTCTGTGAGACATGAAAAACAACAAAGAACTCAGCATTGCAGTCTCAGAAATGCTGCCCTGAATCTGCAGCCTCTGCGTCTGCAGACACATGCGTTGTTTTTCCCCTCTGACCCTGACTCAGCTGATTTAAAGCAGGTTTTGGTGCTGCTTACATTTGCTGCTTGTTGAGAGAGACAAGATAGAACAAGTGGATGTGAATCAAAGTGTGACTAACCACACTGTGTTTAAATGTTGCAAAGAGCTTTTTCCAGCTGGTTTTGATTGTTTATTTTCACTCTTAGACGTCCGTAAGAGTTTCAAGTTTTACAGAAGGAGGTTTTCAGCGGGTTTCGTTTCTCCTGACTGTCAGGAATGCACCTTCCTTCTCCAAATCGAGATGCCAGCGCAGCGAGGCCGCTCACTGTACCTCATCACGCAGCCCGTCCATTACATTAGACGGTAACAGAAGCCACAGGCAGGGCACATGGGCTGGAGGCTGCTCAGGCCTTTCTCAGCAGATTATTTTAAGCTCGGCACTGTGACATTACTGGGCCGGCTCTGTATTTAGAGACTGTTGATTGTAGGGCTGAGGCTGGGCAGGGCTGAGGTGGGCTCTCCCTCTCAGTTGGGGTGAGGGCTTTGACATTGGCTCTGCTGTTTGATGTGTGTTTGTGCGGCCTTGTGCCTGGGGAGGTGGGGAGGAGGGTGGATGCACATGCAGCCACACACTCTCCCCCCCTTGTCTCACTCTTTCTGGGATTTTCTTTCCCTTGTGTTTCCTTGAAAACAGCCCGAGGAGAAACTCTGCAGCCTGGTTCACCATCACAATATGTCTTATCTGCACCTTATCAGTGGAAGACTTCATATCTGAGCTATCTTCTGGAGGGGGATGCAGCTGAATGTGTGTGAGAGGGAGAGAGAAAGGGGGAGAAAGCAGCACAGAGACAGAGAGAGAGAGAAAGAGAGAGAGAGAGAGAGCCCTCCCTATAATCAGAGACCGTCGGGAGGGGGCGGAGCCGAGGCGCCGTGACTGTAACGCGATAGCTGCTCAGCTCAAAAGCGCATCCCTCACACAAACACTCCACACACACCTCCCGGACGCGGACACACAGGGACTCACGCTGGTGTGGGAGCGGAGCTCAGGCTATACGGAGCCGCTACCAGAGAGAGACGCAAAGAGGAGTCGCGGTGCCGCAGGAGGTGGCAGGACGTTCAGATATCTGCTCTGAAAAAGGGGGGAGCGCACCACTTCTTGCTTATTCACCTCTCTGAGACTTTGCACTGAAACTGAAAGCGGCTCTCGGACTGAGGCTTGAGACCTTTTACCTCTGGACTTTCTGCCTGGAGATCCAAACCTCGTGTGCGCAAAATACGCAGGGACTCTGGGAGGTAGCTGCGCGGGGACTCGGAGCCTCTCAGTTGGGGAACTTGACGCGCCCTGGAGCCGCTTGTCCGGACTCTCCGGAGCGCAGAAACCGCCCGAAGCCTCCCAGCTGCGGAGCGCACGCGGTACTGATTAAGGAGTTTGTGCAAAGCCTGATTTTGGATGAGGTTTTGGACACTTACGGGACTCATTCTTGCTTTCAGCTATGACATGTAGCCGCGTGCTTCACTCTCCAATGGTTTAACAAACGATTTGGGATTACAACCATTGCGTTTCCAGCGGTTTTTCCTCTCCTGAAGGGGTGTGGATTTTTTGTTTTTTCTTTTTGGAGGAACAGCATTTTTTAATCCTGCGAAGTGGAAACATAAAAACTGAAAGCTCTCCACGACTTTCTGAGTCATCCAAGATGGATTTTGTGTCATCTTTGATTGGATTTTTAATGGCGATGTGTCATCTGGCGTTAAGAGTCAGAGGAGAGGAGGGTGAGTTTGACTTACTACTTTGATTTTTGACGCGCGCATGACCAGTCTGATCCAAAACACCCCAAAAACCCCGAAGAAAAAGGCTTCAAAACTGAAACTGTCCACTGTGAAATGACAAACACCAGTCTGCTGTGTCTAAAAATCGCCATATGTTACACTTCTTAAAGCGTTTTTAGTGCTCGTTCCCATGTGTTCGTATTGATTAAGCCATAAGGACGCGATAAAGCTCTTGTGTGGCTTCAAAATCCACATGGCTCTTGGTGTGGTGGACATTTTTACGCGCAATCCGGTATGCCTACTCATGTTCCGTGTATGTTTAATCAAAATCAAAGGACAAATGTTGACTTAAAAGAATTAACGCTGATTGCGCCTCGTGCCAAGCCAGCTGCTCCACATTTCAAACTAAAGAACTTCCAAACCTTCATGAAATATTAACAGGATCGGAAACAATCATGTGTCCCAGCCTCACCGAGCGCAGGATGGAGTCTACTGTCAGCTCAGCGGACTGTGAATGAGATGATTATATGCATGAGGCTGTTCAAAAATCCAAACACATTGTTTACCCGCGAGTTTTCCCGTGTTTTCTAATATTAAATTATTCATAAAGAGAAATAAACACCCACTCCCCGCCCTCTTGATGAAAATCCTCCCTCAGAACAGGATGAAATCCGGTTTTAGTCCGGGTTACAACCTGCTATTTTACACATCCACTCTCTCCCGTGCGTAAAACCCGCCGTGCCACTGTCAAATCTGACTCCCGGGGTCTGCAATCATCACCACTGTAATCATTTTCTTCATCAGACATCTCAAGTGCAGCAGCTCCTCTGCGTTATTATCTCCTCCTGCTCCGTTTGGGGGTGACGGCAAAGGGGGCAGCCGGTGGCTGCGCTCCGGCTGCTCCAGGCGGCGGCGCAGCGTCACCTCCGCGCGCTCTTATAGCAATCAAATAACAATAAACTGGCGATATTAAAGAGCAGGTTGAGCAGCATGTTACAGATTCGGATCCGCGTTTAAAGACACTTAATCAGGGCTAATTCTCAACGTTACGCACGGAAACCGGAGAGAGAAGGAGTCTGAACTAAGCGCCAGGTTTATTAGAAGCCTCATTAAATGTGGATTTAACACCAGGGCGCACAGGGCTCCATCTGGATACGCGCTTGGAAATGTTTAAGAAGTAATAACGTCATTCATGTTTTAGTGTATGCAGAATTATGTCACTAAAAATGCTTGAGATGAAGTCAGACTTGGATGTGTTTGTGGGAAGAGAGGTTACCATACAGAGGAGTGACGCCACCGGAGTGGTGACACATGGCCTCGCTGCTGGCTCTCCCTCTTTGCTTACTCATATTTTTGTTGCCTTTTTATTGTGGTTCGAGTCTGATTGAATCTGTTGTGTGTGGAATTTCACAGTGACAACGAAAACAAACAGTTGGTGTGCTGAACAGAGGAATCTTTGAATGATCTTTTGCCACATGAATCATCTTCTAATACACTGAGCATTCTCAGCATGGTGTTTGGGTTTTAGCAGGATGCATGGATGGCTGCAGAACATATTGGAATAAAGAAAAAGGAGTGTCAAATCTTGTGCAAAACAAAGAGATTTGCATGCTGGGAAAACTTAATATGTTTGTGGTATCCTATCACGCTAAAGAAACATGAGAGTGTATTTTAACAGAAACAGAAAGACATAGCACTATAAGCGTTCTTAGCATGATGTATGGTTTTTAGTAGGATGCATGTGCTAAAAGGGGTAAAAATGTAGTGTAATGTGTAAACGGTATTTAATCATGATAATCAGACAGGTTCTATGATAAATCATGGAGGATTTCCAGTGTTATGTATAGATAATAGCGGTAATGCACGGGCGCAGCGGTTCTGTAGTGCAGCAGTAGGCGGGTGACGAGCTGTTCATGATCCCATGATGACTGTTGAGTCTTTACAACACCACCCGCTGCTCCGCTCCCCTCACACGGGCTCTCCCTCTTCTTGTTTAGGCTACTTGTTTTTAAATAGGACATCTATCCGTCCGCATTTTTGTGTGTGTCTGTGTGTGTGTGTCTGTGTACCCGTTGATCAGAGACAGATGTGGGCCTCTTGGCAGCCATCAGAAAAGCTCTCCCTCTCCTTCTCCCCCTCTCTCCCTCTCTCTTTCTATTTCCCCTGCCAAGACAGTGCACCGCATGTCCATGCCTCTGTGTGCCCCCCCTCTCCCCTTAAGAGCCACATCACACACACATACACACACACACACACACATACACACACATGTCAAAAGGGAAAGAGAAGAGAGCACGAGGCAGAAGAACAGAGAGGATCAGGGAGGACGAGGCTGCAGCAGAGTCAGACACAAGGCGGATTTAAGGCCGACGTGAAGGAAAGGAAGGGAGCAAGGAAAGGAGAGGTTTTAGAGGTGGAAGTCAGGAAAAAAGGGGGGGAGGAGAGGCCAACATCAAAGCGTGCAGGGGTCACAAGTTAAAGCGGCGCTGGACTTAAAGGGAGCAGATCGCATGAGGGGTTTTATGAAGTGACACCGACGTCTGGAGGGGGGGACCTGGCTGCAGGAGGAGGAATAAAGACTCTGTTGTGACAGAAAAGTGAAACATACGAGTGACATTTAGACTTCCCAATAAGCCAGAGTATCTAAGTTTTTATTTGATGCTTTGGTGACATTTTTTGAAGCGGTCCTGCCAAAAACACTGGACTTGACTGAATTGAATCCTGCTCTCTGAGAGATTCCAGCAGTTTTTCGGTGTCGTGATAAATTTGGACGAACAAATGCTTCATCATGAGCTTCATTTCTAGCAAACGGTCCAGTTTAATTTGGTTTGGCACACGGTTTTGCTTTCACATTCAAAAGCAAACCGGTGATCCTTCCTGCTTTTTCGGCACTCATCTGTTGGAGGGCGAAGCGTACCTGTCCTCGAATCTGATGTTATCCAATCAGTGACTCAAAGAAAGAGCTCTACATGCCTCTTTTACCAAAAATGCTCCTGGACATAATTTCAAAATAAAAGCATTGTGTGAAAGCAAAGGGAGTCTCACCACAGACAAATACAATGAAGCTTTTATTTTGAAAAGCATCTTGAAGTCTGTATTTTTCATGCATGTGACATTAAAACAGCTGATATGAAGTCGCTTAATCTGGGTGCCTTCTTAGTCTAATATGTAAGAGTAGAATATCTTTGTTGTCATTGCGCCAATTTAGTTTTTATCTTAATTGTGCAACATTAAGGGGTAAAAGAGACTTTATAAAAAGACACAAAAATGCAAAAGATGCGGTTGTTAAGTATAAACAGAGCAGCTGCAGCTTCACCAGTAAGTGCAAATTCTAATAGGATGATGATAAAGCAACTATGTAACAATAAGAGGTCATAGACAAGATGTGCAAATGTGCTTTTATGCAAGAGTAAAAGCATCTGTGCATCGTTACAGTCAGTAAAGATAATTATGGAGGGTGTTTAAGATGCAGGATCATGCATGCAGGCTTTCAGCATGAAGCGCAAGTGTAGTGTAGTAGCTGAGGAAATACAAACAAGACCTGGGTTTATTGTGCTAAACTGTGCTGAGCTCGACAAACGCACCGTTGAACATGTAGTCTAATGTTGACAAATTTGTTAAAAGCCTTTTTTGTAACTCTCAGAGATGCAGAAAACAATAAATTCACACATGCATAACCTGAGAAAGACCTCCAATTTTGTCCGTGAGGGCCACCAGAGTTGGCACAAACTGAAAGTTGCTCACAGTTGCTTTAATTCTCCAACGCCTGAAGCATCCCAGCCAGAAACCCCTGTGTGTGTATGTGTGTGTGTGTTAAAACCCTCTATGTTCTCGTGGTAAATGATCCATGAGACATGGTCTGTGTTGGAGCTTCCTCTGCTGAACACAAAAGGTCCTTCTTTGTGTCTCCAGGCGGCGGCTCTTTCTGTCATTTCTCCTCTCCGATGCAGACAGACTTCCACTCCACTTGTACTGTAATCACAATAGTTTGACTCGCTGACATGTACATCAATTACTCCTTACTACCAGCATTAATATTCAGGCCATTAAGCAGCTCATTTGCATGTTTATTGAGTGGGCGGCTGTGCATCTTTTCCACCTATGGTATCAACTTCTCCCAGAGTTCTTCTAATTTAATCATTTATTTTCCAAATGCTCGCCCCGTCTTTGTTCGCTTTTTCCGCCCTTCTTTATTTGTCCCCCTCCCCTCTCTCTTTCTCTCTCTCTCTCTCTCTCTCTCTCCTCCGCTTCCTGCCTTTCAATTCTTTGCATTTCTGTGTTTTAATCTGGCGCGGCCTCACAGGTATCAGCTGCGAAAACAAGGTCGCCCATTAGCATTCATAGGCAAAGACAAACGGAGCGGCCCCGCTCGATAGCAGTCAGGTAGAGGAGGCTGTGCCGCACGTGAAGCCTTGAACAGCCCACCGCACTCGGGGTGAAATTAAAAACAAGACCCCCATAAATAAAACAGAGCCGGCTCTTTCACTCTGACACATTAGGCGCACGAGGGGGTCTTAACGGGTGCTCAGGGACGGGTTTTAAACGGGAGCCGGAGGGGGGGGGTTGGCTTTGTCAGGAGGGAGAGGTTTTTTGAATTTACTGTAGTTCACATGCTGCAGGGGTCAAAGAGAGTTAGGAAGCAGTCCGACTCAATGAAAGCCAACTTTCTGTCTGAGCAGAGGGGTCAGCGAGACACCGGGACTCCTGCAGAGCTCTTAGCTGATGCAGACTCCGCTGCTTCCACTCTTCGTCTCAAAGAAGCGCCTCCTGTGTGCGGGTTAAACACCGCTGCACCCGCACAAAAGAAGCTCCCGGAGAAAGAGGAGACGTGATACTGTAGCAGGTAGTGTTCAGGATTAGAGACGCACCATTAAGAGCCCACCTCCAGCAGCCATCTGTTCAGCCGATTGATCCATTGAACCATTGATCAGGACGGCCCGGCGTGGTGCATTCAGCTGATTAGCATGGGGCACTTATCCTGTTAGGGAGGGAGGAGGGAGAGGAGAGGAGGGAAGGGGAGAAAGAGAGGATTTAGGGGACTTTGATGTCTCTTTTGTTTGCTCTCAAAGGAGTAAAAATCCCATCTTTAACACCTTTAAACTGATTTCTCATTTACTCACGGTTATCTGAATCCATCATACAGATTAGACAATGAGAACCACAAAGTAAGAGTGACTTACAAACTTTCAACCACATCTGATTACCTTCCATGTTGGTTCTTGGTCTTCATCCCCTGTTGTAATTTCTTTGCTTCTTTATAAAACAGCGCCACCTGCTTGTTAGAAAACCTGTGAATGCAACAAGAGAATAACCCCTAGTCCGTGGAAAGGAAGTCGGTGCACAGACACAAAATAAAGCATCCGGCTTCTTTTCAAAATAAAACACTCGATGTGATTTCAACCTGATGACACCATGGATGGATGAGAAGATGCTGAGTCTAGAAGTCTAGAAGTGGATTTCCTCCTCTGGAAGGACACAATCAACCGCTTGTATGGTCATGTGTCTGTCTTTATAGAGACAACTCGCAATTGCACGTGAATCCGCGGGTTCTTGTGAGTTCTCGCGATTCCCGCTGTCCGTAATCCGACATGAAATTCACCTCACAAACGGATCCAGTAGTAATTAGTGGACGGTGGAAATCGCTGCCGTTCTGTTGCGGAGCCATTATAAATGCGTTGGAGGAAATGCAGGTTTATGGTGGTATTGGCGCCCCCTGTGGTCAGATCCTGTCAGTGTAAATGTAGTGTTTTCTGATCAAACGGAAATAATATCACAAGTTTTTGTCATTGAACAGCCATCCTGATGGGGATGGTGATAATGATACTGACAGGACTGGGGGCTCACCTGCACACCTCAGGCACCTATAGGTGTAATGTCAGGGGGGGGGGGGACCACTTGAAGTACATACTCCGCTTCTTCTTCTTCTTCTTCTTCTTCTTCTTCTTCTTCTTCTTCTTCTTCTGCCTCTTCCTCTCCCTCCACCTCGGCATAAAGGTCTGAAAGCACAAGGTGGTGAAAGTGAGTCTCTTTTCCTCCCCCCTCCTCTCCCCGGGTCCAGTCTAGTGTTGAACGGGTGAGATTAAAAGCAGTCTTAGAGACAACCCTGCTGCTCCTGACTGAATGGATGAGCGCGGCCCGCTCTCCCCTCTCATTCCCTCACTCTGGGCGATAGCACTTTTTAATTAAGGTGGGGGAGGAGGAGAGGGAGGAGGTGGGAGGAGGGAGGAGGGGATGACGACTCTGGGAATGATGGAGGGATTTATCAGCGCCTCTCCTCACACTCGCAGCTTATCCCAGAGCGTGACGCCATACTTCCACCGATAAGGAGGCTAATAGAAATGAGAGCACGAGCATGCACACAAACACACACACACACACGCACACACACGCACACACACAGAAAACAGAACGTGCAGACATATGCACATTTTCTCAGATAATGAAGATAAAGGTGCTCACAGCGGGTACAAAGACGTCTCTTAGTTAGACATGATGGAGAGTGACTGCAGAATGTGCACGCACACACACACACACACACACACACACGTGTAGGGCAATTTAATTTAACATTTCTTTCATTGACACAATCTGCAGAAACAGTGACTTTGTTTGCATGAAGATGAAGCCACACTCGCACTGCAGCAGCGTCTTCCTCTATCTTGATGAATTTCTGACTTTTATTCAATTTTCAAGCATAAATTCAAACATGTGCAGGTTTCAGACTCTTAAGTGTCAGGGTTTGTGTCCTAACTTGGTTCTTTATGGAAGCAGGTAGGAGATCTTGAAGTCGAGGTCCGCTGTCAGGCAAAAGAAGCTATTTTCGAGGTTTGTCTTCAGGCCGTGATCACAGTTTTCCTCACCGTTGAAGACTAAAAATGATGGAATAAATGATGAAATAATGAGAGGATTAAAAGTAGATAATTTCTGAGTGAGTTTACTGCACAAAAAAAACTGCAACACGTTACTGATTAGTAGCCAAATAAAGTAAAAATCGTCTGTTTTAGTTCATTTTCATGCAAAAGGGGGCGACATATTCTCGTCTCTGTTGCTGAAATGTGAAGGTTTATCATGATGCTGGGAGAGTTTGTTATTGCCAAGGTTTTGGTTGGATAAAAGAAGCAGTTTTTGAAGCTAGAACGGAAGTTTATCGATTTCAGAATCATGGATCAAATATGAAACCAAGCAGCAATATTTTCTTGTTTTTGACTCTTGCATGTAAAGATTTCCAGATTTATGCGTCAGAGATGATGGTTAAGACTTCTGTGGGTTTGATTTTGAAAGGCATTTATAGACCAATGTGGAAATTTTTTCAAACTTCAACTTCTTTGGAAACATGCTGCTAAATTCTACGCAATGTCCCTTTAATGGAGTGAAAAAAAACTCCCCAAAAACACACTTCTGCAGAGTTGTTCTCGCTCTAACACACAGCACTCATCTGCACATAGTAGTGACATTGTTCACATGCTGCAGAGACAAGTGTGTGTGTGTGTGTTAATGTGTGTGTACATGTTTGGTGTGTGTGTGTGTGTGTGTGCAGACAGATTGGCTCCTCTACTAGAAGAGACAGTGTAATTCATGAAGCTCGCTGCCAGCTCCTGAGTGCTTCCCCCGCGTTACTCATCCTGCAGCTCAACTTCTGTCCTCACCAAAACATGTACACACACACACACAAACACGCACACACACATTTCCATATATGCATATTTGGTGCACACTAATTGCCACTTACAGTCAAGCAATTAGGAAAAAACACACACACACACACAGATTGGTGTTGATGCATCTCTGCTGCATCCTCCATCACGCTTTGTTTTGTTGCAGCTGCAGAAACTCACACAGTAATCTACACATACATACACACACGTGCTTGGAGTGCAGATGTGTGTGTGTGTGTGCATGTGTGTGTATGTGTGAGTTGACTGGCAGAGGGTTCCCAGTGGGGTCAGTGTCTACAGGGAGTCTCTGGATAGCAGGCATGTCTTAATGAGGCTCGTCAGACTCGTGCACACACTCCCTCGGCTCCGTCTCTCCTTTTTTTTTTTCCTCCCTCCTCATCACCTTCTATGTCCCCTCCCTCCCTTTCCGTCACTCCCCCTTCCTTCACCTCCCTCACCCTCCGATCAATCTCCCCCTCTTCTTCCTCGATCCATTCCTTATCCATCACCTCCCTTCTTCTCTCCGTCTCTTTCATCCTCGCTGTAATCCTCCCTCCTTTCTCTCCCTTCACCTCTACCCCTCCCTCCTCCCTTCTCCTCCTCCTCCTCCTCCCTGTCCTTCCTCTTCATCCTCCGTGAAGGCCGTTGAATGGGCAGCTCAGGGAAAAAAAAGTGTCGAGGCTGCAGGATTCTCCCCAAACGGCTTAATCTCGCCTCCGCTCGGCGTGCTGATAGCCTCCTGCACGCCATTCTCTCCGTCGGCCTCGACAATAACTGTCTGTCTGCGCACTCGCAGCAGATAAAGAGACGTGTGTGTGTGTGTGTGTGTGTGTGTGTATGTATGTGCGTGTGTGTGCTATCTGTTTGAAAAATTTCAGTTAGCCTGTTTTTCTGCACCTCTGTCGGCCCCGTGTGATTGACAGGCCCCTCTGTGTGTGTCTGGATGTGTGTGTGTGTGCGTAGGTGGTCGTTTGAAAATGCTGCAGCGCCTCTATGTGTGTGTGTGTGTGTGTGTGGGAGTGTGTTTTAAGTGTGCGTCCCTGTAGGTGTAAGTGCTTTCACGTAGCTGAACTTGTGTTCTTCAGTGTTTGTGTAACAGCTTGTATGTGTCTGTGTGCGTTTGCTCGTGGGCGGCTGGAGTCGTGCACCCTCATGGAACCACCACCAGCAGCTGTGTGCTCCTAGTCTGTGTGTGTGTGTGTTTCAGTGTGTGTTTTTATGAATAAGTGTGCGTGCGTGGGCCCTGCTCCTCTCCGGTAACAAAGTAAGGAAGCCATCGCAGCTCTATCAAATGTCAGAGAATCTTAAGTGTGCCTTTTAAGCACAATAGGCGGTGGAAATGTCATCACTTGAAGGGTCTATTACACTTCAAGCCTTTGGTGCTGTTTTCCCTTTTTTTTTTCCTTTTCCGCTTCCTTTATTGATGCTTTCACAGGAATATGAAAGAAACAGGTGAGAATATCAACCCATTTATGTCAGGAATAGATTCAGCTCAGCGGGTGAATGGTTAAGTCCACCGTTTGGTGCGGCGTTGTTGTTCAAGCTCCTGAAATTTGGCTTGATATAGTGAAACACAGACATGATATCAAAGCGGAGGGTCTCTGTGAGTGTCTACTGTGGAGAAAAACTCACATTACTGGCAAATAGTGAGTCAAAATCAGCTAATTTCAGTCATTAGCTTGATAGTGTTCGTGTGTGCTCATTCTGTCCTCCTCCTCCTGCTCCTCTCCCTGCTCTCCTCTCTCCACCTGTAGCTGCCTGATAGTTTGTATGGCTGACTTTGTGACGTGTTAAGAGCCGAGAATAAGCAAAAACAGGGAATATACTTCACTTTGGGTCTGAGGACTTGCTGAGGCTCGGTTTAAACCATAGACTCACCGTTTGCCTCCTTGCTGGGTGAAGCAACCTCAAGAACAGCACCCTCTGGTGACAGGCTGTGGTATAGGTCCTATTCCAGCAATCCCTATGGAGCTGTGGACAAACTTTCGAAATTAATTACACAGAAAAAAAAATAATTCTTCCCTTTGGTTTCGATGTTGACATGTAGTTACTGTAAGACTGGTTTGTGCTCAAGTCCTCTTTTTTCACACCTGATTCAAATGATCAGCTCGTTAGTAAGCTCTGTAGTGGCTTACTAACGAGCCGATGATTTGAATCAGGTGTGGCCTTGAGGACTGGACTTAAGAACCACTGCTTTAGATGGACTTAAAGCTGCGGTCTGACTGCTCCAGCTTCTGTATTTCTATATGAAAGTTTACAGAGATGTGTTAGGATTGAAACTACTCTCTGAAACACAAATGTTGGTAGTTAATATGCAGATAAACTCCAGATTACTGTCAGAAAAAAAAGGTTTTTGTAAATTATTCTCTGGCTTTAAAGGCAGGACAGCGTGAGCCTCATATAAGGCCCTCCTCGTCCATATGTTGTTTTCTTTGCGACAGTATTATGAGACCGATTGTTTGTCTTTGAGTTCAATATCTCCAAGTTCATTACATTTAGAGATCCCCTGGAGCACACACACAGAAACCCACACCCACACACACAAACGCACACACACTGCTGTTGTCATGGAGAACACGTTTCGCCTCTGTAAAGAATAATAATGCCTTGAAATTTATTGCAATGCAACAGTAATAAAGGCAGCATTGTGAATGTGTGTGCATGTGTGTGTCTGCAGAGTACCCATATACATGCTCCTTTTGTATGTGCATGTGAGTTTATGTGTTTGGCATGTTTACGGGAGATAACGCCAAGTCTTAGCTGTCAGGCTACGAGCAGAGAATAGGGCCTTTTGTTGTGGCGTTAGCTTCTCATTACAGAGCCGGGGTGACCCCCCAAGAACCCCCGCTAGACAGCCCGTCTGTGTGTCACTTCCTGCCTGAGCCTTCCGAGCGACGCCATTGGCAGGCTATTGTTCCTGCAAGGGCGCGATAGGATCGGGGAATGTGTCCTAATGTTTGCAGATTGGCTTGCCGGAGCAACAATTACACTTTGAGAACGCTCCCAACGGGAAAAGAGGGAGATAAGAGCCTGGGTGTGGAAGAGGGTGAAAGAGCCTCAGTGTGCGATTGTGTGTGTGTGTGCAAATGCGCGTGTGTGTGCAGCTGTGATGATCTTTTATTGTTTTAATAGCTTATCCATGTGGTCCCGCTCGCATTGACAATCCACAATGGGGAAGTTTTTCCAATTTCCTCCTAACTGAGGGTCTAAATTGCTTTCTTTGTTTTACTGTTCATCCATGTCTCATCACATCTTCATAAAGAGGAACAAGGTAATCAAAGGCGCGTCCTTAATGTCATAAATGTAGGGAGTGTACCATTTACTGGAGGTTGTAATGGTTTGAACCCAGCTCCATCATAAATGGGCTTATTTTCCTTTAAGCTTTGTCATATCTTACTCATCGAACCCTCTCCCTGTGTTTTCTTCTGTCTCCATCACAGCTTCAGAGTGTGGGGGCGTTTTCGACGCCAGTGAGGCGGGTTACATCACCTCCCCTGGTTACCCTCTTGAGTACCCGCCCCACCAGAACTGTCACTGGATCATCACAGCGCCAGAGCCGTCGCAGCGAATCGTCCTCAACTTCAACCCGCACTTTGAGATCGAGAGGCTGGACTGCAAGTAAGTTGGAGGTTTTTTTTCAGAGTTGTTTCAAACATTTATGAGAGTGAGGACACTTTGTCACTGTGACTCTCAAGGTGAAGTCAGAACATGCTGAGTGGGAGTCGACCTCAACTGAACATCATGTTCATTTGTTATGATTTAATGGTCGTGTTTTCTTCTGGGGTCATCGCAAAACACTAAAGCTGATCATGCCAACTATTCAGGGAGTTTTCCAATCACAGGAAATCTCTGTGACGATTACTGGTCAACAGGATGGACACCCACACAAAGTAGTTATCCAGAAGTTGACGATTAATTCGTGACATGCCAAACCTAAAAAAAAAAAATTCACATCATCCAAGTCTCGATCAAAGTCTTGAGTTTGGATTGTAAACAATAGCAACACCATCCATTGTTGGTTTTGGTCCTTGTCCCTTTTGTATATAAATTTCTATAGATGTTTTACACAGTAGATGATTTTGTTATTGTTGAACTATTAGCTCACTCAGTCTCTCACAAAGTGGTGAACCTCTTCCCATCTTTGAATGTCCTTTTTATACCCAGTCATGTTACTAACCTGTTGGAAATTAACCTCATTAGTTGGAGATGTTCCTCCACTTGTTTTTTAAATTTATTTATTTTTTCTTTTCACCTTTGATTTGCTGTCTTAGCACTGTTTTGATTCAAACACACGCTCTAAACGATTTAAAAACCATCATATTCTCTTTGTATCGACCTTTTACCGAGCGTCGTAGCCCCAGTGGAATCAGAGTTGTATAAATCACTCCCTTCATAGTGAGTGGACCCATAAAACGTGCTTGTTTGTCGTTATTCCAGCTGAGAGATGATTCACGTTGACATTTTCATTAGTATGCCGCAGACGCATTTGTTCCTCAAATAAGTAATTCCCTTTCTTTTACATACTCTTTGTAATTCGCTGCTTGTGGTTTTGGCTGGATCCCGAGCTGCTCGAAGATCCTCCACAGTTCGACCACAGCAGGTCAACTGCAGAGAAGTTTTAATTGTAGACACGAGCTTCCTCCAGAACGTTAAGTGGACTGTGGTTTGTCTTTTCTCCGTTGTAGTTGTTTACTGCTAGAATACAGCACGTTCACACGATTACACACTCATAATGTCCCCAAAGCTGCTCGCTACAGCCGCACCGGCCTTTTAGAGGCTTTAGCTCCTTGCTCAAGGGCACTCCAGCTGCACATTTAGGAGATTGGAGGATTTTGCTCGTTTTAGTTTCCACATCTCATCTCAGGATTTTAGCCTCGTTCCCACAACTGTAAACTCAAAGCAGGTCAGGACGGAGACAGAGTGGAAATAGTGATTCACAGGGCCTAATAATTGGTCCATGTGCTCCGTCCATGGTCTTATTAACTCTTACTTTACCAGGACTGAGATCTAAAGTATGTTTAAAAGCTTTGACAGCAGCTTTCAAAAAGAAAAAAGATTTTCAATACCAAGTTATAGAAAATAAAAAGTCTTTATAAATGCACAAGATCTTGACAAATGTGCAGGCAGTTTTTAGTCTTTTAAGTCACTTTGAGTCGCTGTGCATCCAGCATCAGGAAACTCTTATTTTGCGGCTGAATCAAAGATGGAGGAGTCGTGCCGTGTCGGGATTTTTTGCAGTTCAGTACTGATCTTTGTGAGGTTGTGTCGTTGGAATTTTCAATACTAAAAGATAACCAATAGGCGGCACAGTGGTGTAGATAGGCGGCACAGTGGTGAAGATAGGCGGCACAGTGGTGAAGATAGGCGGCACAGTGGTGTAGATAGGTGGCACAGTGGTGTAGTGGTTAGCACTGTCGCCTCCCAACCAGAAGGTCCTGGGTTTGAATCCGGGTCGGGGCATTTCTTGTTTTAGGAACATTATGAACAGTGAACATACTAGTGTAAACACAAATAAACGTTAATAAAAGACACGTAACAGTAAAAGTTTTGGTGTGAATCACAATATAAGGGGGGACATGAGCTGCTTGGCGGAGGTCTGCGCTGTCACCGGTGGTTTTAATGAAATCATCATTTCCTTAGAAGAGTCTAGGATCTGTAAATGAGTGAATCACACCAACCTGAGCTCATCTTGAAATGATCATTTAGGACCAAAACATGTTTTTTTTTTCTCCAGGAGATATTTGTGATGTGCACTGATTGAAGTTTTTTTAATGCAGAAGGATGAAACATTGAATAAAACATCACCATTGTAAAGTTCAAACAAATTTTGCGAATCATTAATGTTCTGTGTGACATTATCAGGCTGTAATCCCCCCTCCATCTGATAATCAAATGCCAAGCAACATTTAAAAAATCTGTGTTTTGATCAAGAGGGCAGATAGAGCAGTGTGGGGAAAAAAAAAAAGAGAGAGAATCGGATGAAAGAGAAGAAAAGTGATTCAGTTTGACGTGTGCAGGAGGAAAGGCTGAGAGGATAAACACAGAAAGAGACGAAGAGAACGAGGCCCAGCTGCCGGTCTGCGATGGTCCGTTTCCTTTCTCAGAGACATGAATAATCCAAATCATATGTTGTTCTGTTGTCTTCCACCTCAGAGGAAGGAGAGGAGCCACAGTCTGTTCAGCTGAATCGACTTGTACAGCTGAGTCAGAGGCAAGTCACACCAAGACTTCTCTTTTGTGCTTTTGAGGCTGTTTGACACTTAAACTGTGAGACACTGAAAAAAACAACAGGATCCTGACATCTCCCTGTTATCTGATATTATTCCACTTCTGTTATATCCAGATTATAAGAGCTGGGAAAACTAACAGTCTCACCTGAAATAGCTTAGAGATGAGGACATCTTGTCTGTGTTTGCTGTTCCTAGCACAGTTAATCACTGCAAATTTACTGCATCTATTTTTCATTCTGTCCGTTCTTTGTCCCTAAAGTTTGAGGATTTTTGTTTCCGTATCTGTGAAAGCCAGTCCTTCTTGGCAAATTTGGGGCTAAATGAGCTTCGCACGTCGGATTTTTTCAGTTATCCGATCTGCAGATGCATGAAAGATTGATCTTTTATGGGGGAAAGTTCTGCAAATGCTCTAATTTGATTTTATTTCTGCAAGTTTTTTCCGGTTGTTGATTATCTAATTTTCAAATTCATTTCAATACAAATGTGTCCTGATGTTTTCTCCCCCCCCTCTCTGGGACAAATACTCTTCATAACAGAGGCTTTCTGTTTCTATTATTTGAATTATACTCACAGATTGAAACGCGTTGGTTGTTTTTGTGAAACTGAAATTGCAGACTTTATCTGCACAGTCTCTGCAATTATTCCCGTTTATTTCATCTTCCCCGGCCGGGCCCCTCCCTCTTGTCTGTATAATGAAGAATTAATAATCCTGGATGCGCGTTTTATTGCATTGTTCACTCACAAAGCGCTTTCTGTGGCCAGGAGAGAAATGTTACTTTCATGCGGACATCAATGGCAGTTTTTTGGTGAAAGGCTTTTTTTGTAATGATTGTCGGCTCTATTCACCGGCTTGTGTCACGTCTCAGCAGACTGTACATGTTATTTTGATGCCTCGTCTTTGTGCCTCCAGGTTTCTGTCGCTTTCCGTCAAAGGCGAAACGTTGCATAATTACCTCGCTGTGGCAGGATGTTTCTCTCTACTTCTGCACCAGCGTCAACACCGTTGCACTACAGCAGGGAAGTCCAGAGAGCTGCAGAGAGGAGCGGCTCAGCTGTTGATAAGCTGTGTGTGTGTGTGTGTGTGGAGCAGTTTCTCACAGCCTGAGGCGTGCAGGGCAAGAGGAGGAGGAGGGAGCTGAGATGCCTCCTCTCTTTCTCCTCTCTGCAGACGGTTTTACCAGGAAGGGGGTCATTCTTCTTCTTCTTCGTTTTTTTTTTCTTTTACACTCGCCTGGAGGAGCTGAGGCCTTGGCCTGCCCTCTCACACACACTCCCACTCAATCCCCCCTTCACCCTGCATACATGAGTGTGTTCATGTGTGTGTGTAAGCGTGGGTGGGAAACATTGTCCACATGTGAGTAACTCTGCAAGCATGGAGTAAGTTTGGAGGAGGAGCCCGCCTCTCCCTGAGATTACCCCCCGTTTTTAGGGCCCATTAGAGAAAAGGGGGATCATGCCAATATTTATTCCTGCATACCCTGCAGCACTAATGTCTTTGCCCTTCTGGATGCATTTCCCTTCAGGGCGCCGAAATGTAGCAGAAATAAGCCAAAGTACTGCTCGATATCCTTCCTCACTCCATCCTATGCCATGCTTTTTACTCCAGATTGATCCGAGCCCTGTAGCGGCTGTTACGGGTAGCTTCCTGTTTTTTTTTTTTGCCTGTGTGATTAGGGACGGCAGTGTGAGCGAGCAGAGAGTAGATTTTTGCATGTTTTCACGGCGCTCTGTGACAGTTAGGGTGAAGGGGGAAACCAGAGGAGGGGCTGCAAGAGGTGGAGGGCTAAGCATTTCGGTCAAGGCTGAAAAATCTGCATGACAGCTGGGATTACAGAGTCAGAAGTAAAGGGAGCAGGAGAGTGTGTTACCTGACAGATTCAGAGCTCTGTAGCATGGTCTGATGATGGAGGAAACAAAGAGGTGAAGTCTGCTGGTAGCTTTGGATGGGCCCTGAAGTCTTTGTCTACCGTTTTACATCAGAGAGCATGCAGTAGTGTCAAATCATAGCTGTGCAGGCTTCCTCTGCAGAAATGTTGACCATTTCGCATAAGATCAGTGATTGAGATTATCCTCCTTGACCTGCATCTGCTGACCTGCAGCCACTGACATTCTTGGTGTCTATAAAATGTGCAGCTAATAGATATGGTCACAAATAACCGGCACAGAAAGCAGGAATTGTAGGAGGCAGGGCATGACAGGCCACAGTGTGACAAAAGAGTGGGAGCCTATGTGTGTACAGAACAGAGCAAATTGAAGTTCTGGTATCTGGTAATAGCATAAATATAAAGGTGGTATAATCTGCTGTAAATGAGGAAATATATATTTGTAACTTAATTAAATATTTGTGGTAGATTGAACATTTTTGCAACGTTTTAGCCAATTGAATGTTTAATGGGAAGATTTAACATTTGAAATAAATGAGGACAAGAGCAGATTGAACATTAGTGGGTGATAAACATTTTAACAAAGCTAGAATTTGTGCCAACTGAGCATTTGAGGCAGGCTAAAATTTAGGGAGATTGAATATTTAATTTAACTAGATTTTTTTGCAGATTGATCATTAGCAGCAGAATGAGCATTTTAACTTAGCTTGAATTAAGGAAGAATGAACATTTATGGCAGATTGAACATTTCAACTGAGCCTGAGTTTCAGCAGATTGAACATTATAACTCAGCCTGAGTTTGAGCAGATTGAACATTTGTGCACACTTAAACAAAGCTTTAAATATGGCAGATTGAACATTTGATGCAGATAAAACACATTTTGAAAAGTAGAATTTTGACAGATTGAACATTTGACAAAGGAAGAATTCGAGCAGATTCAACATTTGTGAACCTAGAACATTTTAACAAAACTACATTTTTTGGCAGCATGAACTTTTGTTTCAGGTTGAACACTTTAACAGTGCTACATTTTTGCTAGATTGAAGCTTTTGACAAAGATCTGTGCAGTTTGAACATCATAAGTTGCCCATTTTAGAAAAACTCAAATTTGGAAGCATGTTGCCATCTTTGCCATTTGACTTAAAGCAAACAACTGGGCAGCTCTTAATCCTTGAGGCGTCTCTGATTTGTTGACGAAGTTCTGAGGTATACGGGATGAGTGTCTTGAAGGTGCTGATTCTAGTCTGACTTCTGAAAAAGGCTGAAAAAGACGAGGAGGCAGACTTTCCATATGCTTTGAATTTGGTTCTGGCAGGCTTTTAGTGCTCTGTGTAAACGTCTATCAATATCCATACATCATCACTGGAAATGTTTGAGGAAAATTGCATTATGTTGCAGCCAGATGCTAAACTGTATTTGCAGGAATTTTCTCCCATTTCAGAACGACCATGTCATTATTTTTGTGTCAGAACAGTGATAACAGGGTCAAATAACTGCAAGTGAGGTCAGTTTATGGTGCTTAAAAACACGCACGTACACATTGAAGCATTGAACCTGTCGGTGCAGGAGCACTCATCAGACATCATGTCCCCCTTGGGCACTTTAGGCCCTTATAAAACAGAGGAAAGTGCTCAGTCAGCCCCAGCAAAGGCAGAGATCCTCTAATATCCCCGTCCAGCTGGAGATTTTCCCTCAGAGGGTTCAAACAGTCAGTACTCGGACGATGCAGCGTGGCCAAGCCGCGGCTCTGCTGCAGCAATCAAATCGGCAGGCGGGCGCTGCGTGTCTGAGGTGGCACTTTAATTCAGGATTTCATTTCAGGGTGGGGGGAGCCCGGCCGCGTGCCAAATAGCTCTTACCTCCAGGTTGCCAGCCGATTGATGTGAAGTAAATGTAATAAAGGCTAGATGAAATATCAGGCCCATATCTCTAATGCAATCTGCCATCACTGAGCCCCAGGATGCTACCTAGTGATACACCAGGAGCTGAGGAAGAGGAGGAGGAGCGAGGCTATTCTTCCCTTTGCTCTTTTCCTCTTCGGCTCTCTTCATCTTTCTTTATCCTCTTTTTTCTCCTTTCACTCGAGAAAGGAAAAGCCCACACCATAAAACCGTAGCCATTCAGGAAGATCCATTTCTTCACCTCTGTGGGTTTTATTTCCTCTCTCTTTTTATTTGGTTATTTGTTATTGAACGCAGCCTAAGGTGGGAGATTTGAGGATATAACTTTATAACACACACACATCATAAATCCCTGCGCTCTGTGACACGCCTGTTCACTGTGAGAGATGAATCCAACAGCTCTAAGTATGTGTGTGTGTGTGCGTGTATGTGTGCGTGTGCATGATATCACCCTCTTACGTATCCCCACAGGGCGAGCAGAGAGGTGTGGGATCAATGTCTGTATTCCTCTTGTAATGGGAAATCGATAGATGATCAGCAGTGGCCGGAGGGAGAGAAAGAAAGAAAGGGAGAGATGAAGGAGAAGAGGAGGAGGAGGTGATGGCTAAGGATGAAAGGAGAGACAGATGAGCAGCCAGAGGTCACCACTAAAGGGAGTTGTTCAGCTTCTGATGTGTCAATACCGGGTCATGGGCGGCGTTTAGGGCGAGATCACGGCCATCAGTGTCCGACGGTCAGGACTATTAAAGCAGTCAGAGCTCTAATGATGATTTAAGAAGTTACAAGTGAGATTTGATATGTTTAAAAGAAGTGTTATTAACCATTTAAACACTGAGACGTCCAGATTAGATCAAAACTCGTCTATGTGATGTAGGAGAAGGAGAAAAGTGGACACAAGGAAGCGCTCCTCTTTAATTTCCCACTTATAAGAATAAAGTTTTGTTTTTTTCATAATACTGAGAATAAAAATGAACCTTTTTAGGAATTTTACACTGCTTGAATTGCTCAACAATAAAGTGAAGAAACTGCACAATAAAGCTGTCTAATTATACAAGTTAGAACATTGTGCAATAAAGGCAAGAAATGCAATGAATAACAAACGAAACAAGCAAGCGGCAATAAAACATGTATATAAGAAGAATAAAACAAAGAGACACGCAATGTCTGATCTGCTTTTTTCTCATTTATGTGACTTTTTAAACAGAAATTCAACTGCAGAGGATCTCAGTAACAGAAAAAGGGTAATAAAACGGAAAAGGAATCATAAATCATGTGGTCCAAAACTATTGATCTCCATGAAAACCAGTCAAATACTCATAAAACCAGACCTCAGAGGACTTTCAGCCAGGGTATGGTGGTTTTTCACAGCATCTCCACAGGTTAAAAGTCAAACTAGACCAGAGTTAACCTGCTGTGATGATTTAATGCTCGACTACCAGGATGTAAACAAACACAGATAACAGATGGCATCATGTAGCATGACGTGATCAATAATCTGTTTTTAAAATAGATAGCAATGATTGAAGACAAAGCTCAGGGTTCAGACTGTAATTAGCACACTGTAGTTTGACTGTAGACGAGCTTAACACCATCCTGTCACCACAGCTCAGAGTGACAGCTGTGGAGCACAGAGGTGGAGAGGGGTGGATGAGATCTGTCAGAGAGAACAATAGTGTGAATATCGTCTCATTGTGAAGAGCAGTTGTTAGATGAAGCTCTGTTCTGGTTGATCTGCTCCCAAATAAACGCCTCTCTTCTTCTCTGAAAGGAGGGTTTATCAGACCCATGTGGACCCTAAATAGCCTCTGCTCCATTTTCTCAGTGAACAGGATAATGAGTCTGATGTTGTTTGATTTGATGACACTAAAAAAAGACTGATCTGTCCAGAGAGGTTTGAGATGTTCAACTCAAACCGGCGACCAAAAAAGACCCGCGCTTTCTCAGAAACTTCCTCACAACTCCTGCAAAACAAAAACAAAACAAATATATATTTATACGCCACATTTTAAAAACATGAAAATTCACCAAAGGGTGCTGATTAAAATCAAAAAAGAACAAACTGCAGAAGTTAAAACATCAGGAGAAAAGACATAAAAGCAGGTAAAAAAAACACTTAAAATGAAATAAAAAGACAAAAATAAAAGAAAAATAAAAGCGATTAAAAAAAAAAAAAAAAAAGGCTGAAAAATTTTTAACAAACCAACACGTTTGCTTAAGTGGGAGGCAAATTCCCGCTAACTTTTGGGAATAAATAAATTAGAAAAAAGACTGAAGAAGCTACAATATCAAACTTTTTTTCTCAAAAAATATCGATGTCACTTTTATAAGTGTGGCCTGATTTAAGCTGAACGAGTTTTCTTGTTTATTTGGGATTTTTTGTCTTGAATATTTGTTGTAAAGTTGTGTTTTTGTGTCCTGGATTCATCATTGGAAATTACCGGTCTCACAAAGTAAGTGGATTTTGTATTAAGCTGGACTGTCGTACCGTTCCGGTTTTAGAGCTAACACTGTAAATACGATATTCGGTTAGTATGTGAAGACAGAGCCATTGTGGACCAAAACTCACAGGACAATTTTAGCAAAGAAAAAGTTCTTCACAGGAGCTTTAAGGGGAACTTTAGAGGAGTTCCAGCAGTAGATTGAAATAACTCTGAGCTTCATCGTAGCAGAACATACAGAGTGGAGCACCGTTGATTTTAAGCATTTAGCGTGACTGAAAATAAAAGTAGGACCTCGTTAGGATATAAGTTCCCTCCTCTAAACGTCTGCAAACTCGCTCCTCTAAACGTCTCCGTGGTGAATATATGCTGATAGGTCGATTAAAAGGCATCCAGCAGGGGCAGCAGGGTCACGGCTTCAGCTCAGGCAGCAGTTACTGTCTGATGTTCCCGATCGATGCGGCACTAGAAGGTCCGGGGCCTCGCCCAGGCTGCCTGTGGTCAGCGGTTTGGCCCCCGTCAACTGTAAGTACGAGCCGGTGATGGACGGCAGAGGAGGGAGGTGAGGGATGAGGAAGAGGTGGAGGAAAGAGGAGGAGTGCTGTTTGTTTTTTGGGCTAGATTGGAGATGGCAGGCCCTGCAGATCTGCAGGGATTTCGCTCGCAGCATCTAGTTAATATTTCAGAGGCACTTATGGTTTATTAGAGTCCCCATCGAGGGCGGGAGGAGCCTCTGAGTGAGTGAGTGTGTGTGTGTGTGTGTGTGTGCTGTACGCCCTCCCAGCCTTACTTAATTCCTGCTTCTGTACATCACGCAGAAGGAGAAGAGTGAAGCGACAGGCAGTTGTTCTTTGTTTACAGCTCTGAGATCCTGAGGGTTTCTGAGCTCTGAGAGGAGAGAGAAAAAAAAAAACACAAACCAAAGCCGAGAGGAAAACCGGCTCAAACTGAAGGACCCGAGTGTCTGAGAGCAGCCAAGTTTGGTTTACTGATACCCTCCAACAGCTGCTCTCTTTTATCAACACAAACACAATAAATCAGACCGCCACCAACACACCCGCAGTGAATTATTATATGTTAATGTTTTGTGTAATTTTCACGCTCACAAAGAACGCTTTATGGAGTTATGGAGGCATTGAGAGGAAAATGAATGAAACACAGTGGAACAAGGCAGTTTTTCCTCACAAAGACATGAATGAGAGCCGCTCTGCTAATGAAAGAGGCTGTGACAGGTTTGTACGAATATAAAAGGCAGAGATTTGTTTAAGGTGAGGGAAAGAGGAACAAACTAGGGGAGCCTGGAAGGCCAAAAAAGATGACTCAAGTAAGTGTTTCATTTTGCTGTGATCAAAATAGAGCGTGGATTCAAACCAGGTGATGTTGACTCAAGACTAACTCAGCAGTTTGGTACATATTAGGACGTGATGTACAAAACAACTTCTTCCTCTTTCTCCTCCTTTTCTTCTGCTTTCTCTTTCTTTACGCACTCTTTTCTCCTTTGCTTTTTTTCTGTTTTCTTTTCATCGCTTCTTAATTGTCTTCTAAAACCGTCTCTCTGTTTCCAATGCAGTCAGCAATGTGCAGATTTTATCCAGATGTGTAGCTCTTTTCAGCAGCTACCATCTGTTTTCTCATTTACTTATGGTTTTCAGACGTTAAAACTAACTATTCAAAAGTTATTTTTTTCCTTCTGGTTGAGGTCATAAGAAAACGTCAGTATTGATTTGTGTCTATTTCACAACCGTTTAAATTTCCTCACTGGAGCTTTAATGAAGGAGGAACAGCTGTTACACTTCACTTAAGTGGTTGCTTGCGTCTTGGAGCGCCATCTTCAGGGAAAAATACTGTAACACGATTAAATTTAAACGAGTATAACAGGTGAATAAGATGAAGCTCACTTTTTAATGTCTTTTTCTATTTCTCCCTCTTTTTGAGGTTTCCTTTTTCTCTCCCCCGGTTTTGTTTGACCCCTCAAACTTATTTCTTCTAGTTTCTGTTCCTTCTGTCAACGTTTGCTTCCTCTTTTCTTCTTCTGCTTTCTTAGTTTTCTTCTATTCTGGTGTCTTGTCAGAGTCCTGATTTATTGCTCACACTTTTTTGTTCCTTCCTCTTCTCGGTGATCTTTTCCCTCGTCTTTTTCTCCTCGTGTTCGTCCTCTTTCTCCTACCTCTCTCCCATTGTTCTTATTCTACCTTTCCTTACTTTGTATTCTTTGTATTTTACTTCTTTCAGTCTGGTTTCTCTTCCCTTCTAACTTTGTCTTTCTATTTATTTTGTTTTCTCTTTCTGCCTTTTCGTCTCCTCTTTACTTCAACACTTCTCACAGCTTTTTTAAAATCCTAATCCTCCTCTGTTCTCTCTTCTCCTGAAATGGCAAACTTGCCTCTAAGGGGAGCTTCATTTGCCAAAATCTGACCGCCTTTGTCACCTTCCTTCCTCAACTACTCGCCTGTGTGCCCTTTGTTTCACACACTGAGGAAATGACTCGACCATCTGCGCTGACAATGTGTTTGGAAACTCTGGTGACCGCTGAGGGTGAAAAGTGTGCGGCGTTTCACACCAACCTCGCTGTGCATTATTTGAGCACCTTCTGTGTACACTTAGAGCTCTGCGATTGGCCGTAATTGTCAGTGCAAACATACTTTTGCACTCAAACACACATTATCGTGCATGTGCCGGGGCACGGACACCTACAGGGGACGTCCCCGATCACCAACAAACGACCAAGGTGTGAAAGGCAATTAGCTGTTTTGGTGGAAGGATATCTGAGAGCGAAGGAGCGGACATGTCTGGACTGGTGGGGAGTTGCTGGCCCTGAAGGGTTTCCAGTTCCCTCGTCCCCTTCTATGTCTGGTCCGGCTCGTCTCTGTGGGAGTTATTGTGGGGGGAGGGTGGAGTGAGACGGGTGTCGTGCAGAGCCAGACAGACTGCCAGACACTCAGACAGACAGAGAGCTGGCAACCGGGAATCCACAGTGTCAGACAAAAGGCGGGGTACGGATCAAAACAAGCTCTAATGGAATCTGGATCAGGCTGCGTGGATGGGCGAGCGAGCCGTTTGTGATGCTCATGTGTGTAAAAAAAAAAAGATTTATGTGTGCAATGTAGTGGAATGTATAGGAGTGTGTGTGTGAGAGAGAGACAGCGAGCTCTCACACACACACGTCAGACCCTCATGCATGTATTCATCAGAGCCTGGGGAGCGGCTGAGCGAACAGGTCAATAATCACATCTGAGGAACACTCACTCACTGACGCTAATCCACGACAGGAGCGGGCGAGACACACAGAACCAGAGAGAAAGAGAGAGAGAGACCCACTCCAAAATCAATTAAAACCTAATTAGGCTCTCAGCTCCTTTGCAGGCCTTTTATTCTTCGTGTTGGCGATACAGCGCTAAGTGTGTACGCGCACGCCTCTATCTGCGTGTGTGTGTGTGTGTTTGTTGGCACATGTAAGAGTGTGTTTTCCCTCGGCATGTGTCAGTTACAGTCCTAAGCAGGCGTACTTCGGGAAAAGCCGTGGCTCTTACAGGCTCAACGCGGGAGCTCGCCGCTAAAGCCCGTGCGATCGCCTCTGTAATGCAGGATTACAACCAAAACACGTTTAAGACAGCCGGACAATTGGCTTCCTTACTCGCTTCAGACCTACTTTTTGTGCAGATTTGCTCCAGACTCAACCTTCATTTCCTCTCTCACTTGTAGGCGGAAACGCCTCAGCCTGCAGCTCCCAGAATCCAACATGATTCCAGCTGTCCTTAAACCATCCAGCTCTTCCAGGGTGCACAACTTATCCAAAAAAAACTACATTTTGCAATAGCTCGCAATTTAGTTTTGCGCAACAATCAACTTCAGAAAGAAATCATTTCCTATTTCTTCAATTTTACTTTCATTCCCTGCCGGAGTTGAACCCTGTACCCTCTGTTTCCTTTCATCCTGCACAGCCAATGCATTTGTCAGGAAGTCACTACTACACACTTAACCTCTGTGCGGAGTATGCACAAAAAAATCTGAGCACACAGTGACAGCATCGTCACAAATTAAACCTCTTAGATCCAAAACTGGGTGGATCAATATGTAAATAAGACGACTGTGCCGTCTTTTGAAGGTTGATTCTCGCCTCGTCTAATCTCTTACAGATTCCACATGTACAGTCTGGATTTACAGCGAAGGGAGCGTCTGGTTTCTATTTGTAGTATGTTTGTGGTTCAAGTAGATTTGGACCGAACAGTCCTTGTGGAGAGCAAAAGAAGGCAGACTGATGTTGTAAAGACATCCCAGCTCCAGTTGGTGGTAATCTACAAAAGATTTATCAGTACAGACGGATATATATTCACGCATATGTTGTAGATCAAAACTGAAACTGAAACAAATGATTTTCTTGTCACTTAGTTGTAGTTTCAAGTGGTAGAATCAGAAACAGCATAAAGATGTGGAGGCTTCTTTAAAAGTTGTACTGCATCTTTAGAAGTTACCACCTGAAGCTTGGACCTCCAGAAGTGACACCTGTAAAATTAGGGCTGGGCGATATGGCCTCAAATCAATATCACGATATATTTAGCAGTTCACCTCAATCACGATAAAATGGTCGATAACTACTCCACAAGCTGCTCACCCCCTCCCACATTAACTTTGTTTTGATGGGACAGCGTAGGACAGCATCTTAAAGGGACATGAAACTATAGCCTACATAAGGACTGGGCGATTATAAGAACGGGATTAATGATGGTGATAAATTTGTGCATCACAACAGCCAATCAGAGTCGAGCTTTTCCTGCTCACGTCTATAAGTTGCTGGACGAGTAAACAGAGTAACCGAACGTGGAGCTGAGGGCAGTAAAATAGATGTCAGCCATGACTTTGAGTCATCCTCCGAAGATGTTATTGTTGAGAAGAAAAGTTATTTAACGTCTTATTTGGTATTTATCTATTTATTTTTCAGTTTTAAGTACAGAAGCTTTAAAACTGCCAGTTTAAAAAAAAAATATATCGTGATAATAATCGAGATAAGACAATATGACAAAGTATATCGTGATCATCTTTTTGGCCAAATCGCCCAGTCCTAGCCTACATACACACATCCAAAACCAACTTTTATTTATTTATATTTTTGACTTGAAATATATCAATATGGGAAAAATGACGTCGGTTATTGTCTTAAAGTCTATCTGTAAATCTTCAGTTTATCGCCCAGCCCTATGTAAAATGTTCATTGTTATGAACATGAGTCTCTCACAGGCTGCATGGTGATGTGATGGGTTACCTAACACGACTCGAACAATGATCTCGTTTTGTAAAATTCACGTGGTTCCCTTTTTCAGTCTGAATCCTTTTCATTTCTGTCCAAATATTTGTATCCATCCCTGTCAGCAGCATCGTTTTGTGAAATTAGTCACAGCTTCACAAAAACAATCCACGCCTGTTGTGTAATCTTGTATTCAGATCGTTTCAAACAAACCTCCTACAAACCGTCAGATATCTGGCATTGTGCAGACAGCGTGTTGGCAGCACTGCGGGCTCACTGCAGCGTTTTAACACTTGAATCCTCACCTGTCACCTGCCACGCTGACCCAGATTAATGTGATTGGGATTATCCCTCCATCAGCAGTCTCAGTCGTGCATGCTCTGTTTAAGGAATCAATGCACTGCAGGAATGAGATCGCCAGAATGAAAGAGGCTTAGTGACTCTTCTTAATCCAGGTTTTATTCCAAGCCGCACTACAAAAGAAGTCTTAGCCGCGAGCTGCCGCAGAGAAACACAGAGGAGTGCTGATTGGTCCCCCTCAGATTTACCGAGCACTTTTACTTCTCTGAGGAACAACATTAGCAAGATGCTGTGTTTAAAACTTGAGTCGTCTGCTGCTGTGCTTTTGCAGCCTTACAGATCCGATCGCAGTAATTATGGAGACAGCAGCAGCAGCAGCAGCGGTGGCCCTGTTGTTGTTCCGACGGCCTCGACGTATGAGCTAATTAAGAAGAGAGTGGGTTTTTCGAGCTGGGGTGTCCTCGGTGGCGCTGCGGGGCTCCTGTGGCGATGCAGTTAGTTACGCAGTCACAGTCGGGGGATGAAGAAACACTTGTTAACAGTACAAAGAAGGAAACAGGATGAATAATGTGAAGGCAAATTACGAGGAGATTACTCACAGTTGTGTAGTGTACATACATGCATGTTAGGAGGATAATACAAAATCTATACATGCGTTGAAGCAGTGGAAACGCCACAAGTAACATCGCATGTAGTGCGGAGCTGTTTCCACTCATCATCGTCGTCGTCGTCGTTGTTTTCTTCCGCTTCATCCGGGTCAGGTGTTATGCCGTAGAATGCACCCCTGCCGTAGATCGCGGATACAACCAGCCGGTGTTGTGCCGTAGAATGCACCCCCTGCATCCCATCCACTCCTTAGCTTCTTAAAGTGGAAGAAAATTATCTCATATTTTAAAAAAATACGAGTGACAACTTTCGTTCTGTTTTTTATGTGTCTCAAAAATGCACATACGGAGGTGTGCTTGGGTATATAAATTGTACAGTTAGCTGTCAAGCTAGCGAACATTATATTTTCGCAACAGCAAATATTACGAATCAGAGGGCTATTTTTTCGGCTTATCTGAATAGCCTGAATGAAAATATTGAAGGCACACGCTTATGAATTCATCCAATGGTAAGGAAAACTTGGATTATTTTCGCCTTGTTAAGTACTTTCGACTGCGCTCCCATCGGGGTGCTTTCTACGGCAGGGGTGCATTCTACGGCACAACACCTGTAAATCAAGAGTTTTGCCTTACGGCTCAGCTCTTTCCACTCATGCACTCTGGAAATTTTCGAAACATTTCAGGAACTCTGACCCTGAAATTTTCCTGAGTTTGATGCACAATCATCCAGCAAAGTCAAATTACAGCTTTTCTAAATGGAGTTTATAAAAGCTGTTGATGGGGGAAAAAAACACAAGTTTTTACGCTTTAAAAAACGGCTTATGTGTGCAGAGATCCTCTCCGTAATGTTGTCAGACACTTAAAGTATCAGTCTGAGACTGTCTGAGGTGATAACAAGCACTTTAGTGGATGTGGCTGTTACACTGTGAGCACACAAAGCTCCATACTGGAGCACTTATAGAAGTTTTTGTATTTGCTTTCAGACTGTAAATTTGTTCGACTATAGCCCAGGTTCAGAAAATACCAGACGACACAGACTTAAATGATGGACTTTTCCTTCGATTACCACCTTCAAACCTGATGCTTGACTCGGCTCCGGAGCGTGAGGATGGTCTTTACTAAATCATACCAACAAAGAATAGCATCAATTATTGGACAAGAGGAGAAGAAAGACTATGTTTTATAGAAAATCACAGCTCTGGTTGCACAGCACTCACCTGTCTGAGGCCTGGTGTAAAAAGGAGAATTAAAACTTCAGCATCTGGAGCAGCAGCTGGCTCTGTCACACGTGTGGGGTGATTTTTAGTGAAACAAAGTGTGGGGATGGCGTTCAGACGAAGCGATAGTGATCATTCAGTCAGAAAACAACCAACTGGAGCTGTCATGTTTGAAACGAGACTGTAATTTGTTGTTTTTCTCACATTTGTCTCTTATTCCTGAGCATTGTGGTCATTTTTTTCTCTGAGAGTGAAAAACATCTACCTCTGACAGCGACGTGTGTGTGTGTGTGTGTGTGTAGCATGTGTCTCATAATGTTGAAGGAATGACACACAGGGCTCTGAGCTAAATCTGGATCAGCCAGGTGGGCTCTTGCTCTGCCTGTGTGTCACTCATAAAACCACACAAACACACACACACATACACACACGCTCTGACCTGACAGCGAAGAATTTGCTTTTACTGTTCAGGGTCAGTTGGCCGTTCAGAGGTCAGAATGAGCTGAGAGCGTAAGCATGTGAGCGTCTTCACAAACAAGGCGTCTCCACATTTCCTTATCCTGATTTCTGACTCCACTCTCCCCTCCGTCCTCCTCACCTTTCCTCCGCTCTTTACTTTTTCATGAGCTCCTCCGTCTATTTTTACTCGTCTTATTAATGAGTCCACCCAGCTGTCTGTTTGCAGGCATCTTCGCCGCTCGCTCCGCAGCCACTTGCTCCACTTCTGCTCTGTTTGTCCCCTCGCTGCTCGTCCCGTGACTCCAGATCGGGCGAAAGTGAAGACTGTTCGCCCCGAGCTGATGCAAAAAACGGATCTGAGTCAGTTGTCCTGAGAAGAAAGTGGGTCGAAAGAGCTAAATTTATGAACGCAGCTGAGGGGAAAGAGCAAAAATAAAGCGCGGATGGACTGAAAGCCAAGTTGTGTTTATTTATCTGTGTGGTAATGCCGAGTTTCAGCTTGGACATTGTGTGTCCTGCCCAGTCCACACCTGTCTGCTTTTTATTAGCTTAGCTTGTTGCATAACCTCATAACTATCTATATTTATCTCCTCCCAGCTCCTGCACTTTGATTTCTTTTCCTCTGTTCACAAAATCAATACAAACTGAGTCCAGAGATATTTTTCTCAAGGATGCAACAGCCAGAAACAATCTTATATTTACTCTTTTTTCTTCCTCAGGTATGATTTCATCGAAATCCGCGATGGGACTTCAGACAACGCTGACGTTCTGGGGCGACACTGCAGCAACATCGCTCCGGCGCCGATCATCTCCTCCGGACCCTCCTTGCAGATCAGATTCGTGTCAGACTACGCCCACCAGGGGGCAGGCTTTTCTCTGCGCTACGAGATCTTCAAAACAGGTGAGAAAGCAGACCTGGGACGTGACTGGTGGTTTGGACTGAAAACGATTTGTGACTCACTCTCTCTTTAAACTTATAAGCATTAGTCACATTGCCTGTGATGGTCACTGTGTCAGATTAAAAATCAGTGTTTCTGTAAGAATCAATATTATTACAATCGTAGTTACAATTAAAACGATTAAATTGCTATTTTTTATATTTTGCTTGTTTAAAAAATATTTTTACTATTTTTTATTTTTATTGTTAATTTTTATTATTATTATTATATTATTTTGCTTTTTTATTTTTTTTACTATGATTTAGATATTTATTATTATTTTTTAAATTATTTTACCTCCTTATATTTTTATTACTTTAATAATTGGAATTACTTTCATCATTCATCATTTTTCTTATTATTGTTGATTTTTAATATATTTCAATTTTTCATTCTTTTATTATTAATAAAAATATATATTATTTTATTATTTATTTTATGATCTATTTGTTTATATTATTGTCATTGTGAGTTATCTATTCAAAGTTATAGTAAATTTCCCTCAGGAATCTGGTTGTAGTCCTATCAGTGACCCTGCAAGATCTCTAGTCTTTGCAAAATCCTGGTCTGTGACTCTTTGTAGACTCTGCTGGTCTTCGACTTAAATCTCTTGGGATGTGAAGGTGTGTCAGAGTTTAACTCCTTAAGTCTTCTGTGGTCTTGTAGCTCATGCTGATATGATGTAGAGTTTCTATATTTTAATGTAAAGTGTCATTTTATTAATGTAGGATGAAGGATCTGTTAGTATTTCTCCTGGATTAAAGCAGGTCTGGAAACAATCATAAGCGAATCTCTTGTGCAGAGATTCATCAGAGAACAGAGAGCAGAGAGCGATTCTTGGCCGTTCTGATCCTCTAATACTCTGATTTATGATTATATTTTCCCACTTTGAATAATGCTGATGTGCAGTTTGGAATACAAAAGGCTGTAGCTGATTAAACTTTGATTGATTTCACCGTTTTCTGAACTACGGAGGAAATCTGACGAAGCAGTTGGCCGGCGTTTGTTGAGGAGTGGATCTCATTTGTCAAAGAGTCGGGAAGTATCCAGAAACGTTCATGGGAAACAGTTCTTCAGGAAACTTCTGAAACCTCCTTCTGCTCGAACATTAAGCTCTGCTGTGCATTAATTCATCAGTTAATGATTTTGTCTTCTGCTCATGCTAATGGCCCGAAACCTGTGATCATTCACCCCGACACTCCTGCAGCACTTTACATCAACAGAGGCAGCCGCGCATGTAAACAAGAGAGGAGGAAAAACTTTCAATGTCCTGAAAGCATGTGAGGAATGCTCGCTTAATTGGCGCAGGATCTGCTTCCTCTGGGGAGGCGCAGCGAGCCGGGAGGGAGGGGATGATGGAGAGAGCTCCAAGGCGACTTGGAGTTGGGCTTAAAGGTCAAAGGTTTATGGTCGGAGGAGGAGGCGCGGAGATTGATGGGGACGAGTGTGCGGCGAAATGGAATTTTCAGGAGGTCGAGGAAGTGCTGGTTGCAGGTGAGGGCGTTCAAGGCGGTGTATTTGTTTTGCGGCGAAGGTGTGAGCTATGTGCGTGTGTGTGTGTGTGGATAGTGGGAGGAAAGGTGAAATGGTCACTTGGCCTTGAGGCAGATTAAAGATTTATGTCCGAGTGAGTTACCAGCTGATTGTGTTTTCGACGTTAGGCCACATTTTCAGGTCGCTCCGCAGCGGGTCACCATACATTCGTTCAGCGAGTATTTTGAAACCTTTAACCCCGTTAAATGTCGAAGGTTATTACAGGAAAGATCCCTGCGGAGAGAGACATTATTTTAAAGCAGAACCAGACGTTACATCCCACTCTCCAAAGCCACCAGACTCCTCAGACAAATGCGCTGATTATGCAGAGTATCCTGAAGGTCTACTTCTGCTGCAAACGCTTTGTTACTCTAATTGTGTCTTAATGGTTCAACACTGTGACTCAATACAACACAGAACTACAAGAAAAAAACATCAGTCGGAGCAGGAATCAGCCTCACACTGAAGTTCTTAAAGTATTCAGTCCTTTACTAGTGTTATTTTTACATTTGATGGTCTACAAAACCTTTGCAAAAAACAGACCTACACAAATAGTTGTAACCTGAAGCTGCATGAAAAAGGGAAAGAAGCAAGAAGCAGTAAGAGATTGCAGGTATTGAATAAAATAGAACAGGCAAATTTGATAATTAAAAACTATTTTCTAAGACTTTCATAAATACACCCTCATACAAACATGCATGACTCTGCCCTCCGTCACAGCCGCTAGAACACAAACTCTCCTCATTTATGTAGTTCAGTCATGACTATTAGTTTGAGGAACTTTGGGAGCCATTTTTGGAATAAAAATTGAAAGCTGACTAATTTATCAGCTCTAACCAGCACTGTGGACAAGTTTGGAAGAGAGAAAATAAAAGAAAATTTGCCATTTTGGTGCCATGGTTTCTTAACAAGTGCTGATATCATTTGATTACCTCTGCCAAGGAGGTTATATTTTCGGTAGCGTTGGTTTGTTTGTTTGTCTGTTGCCTCATAACCAGAAGGTCCTTGGTATGAATCCCGATCAGGGCATTTCTTGTTTGGGGGGGACATGAGTTGCTTGGCGGAGGTCTGCGCTCTCCGAGTGCTTTTCTAGTTTTTGCTGTTTTTTTATTGAACTTAAAGTGTTGTGACACATCTAGTTGCAGCTATGCAAGTTAAAGTGACTCTCTTTGTACGTAAGTCTCGTAGCTTATAAACTTGCCAACCAGCAACAGAAACGTGCACCCCAAACAAACATGTTTAGATCCCAGGTTTTACTTTGTACTTCACAAAAAGAGCACACGGCTACGTGGGGGCTGAGTCACGGAGTCGCACAAAGTTCATTTTGAGAGTTTTTCTGGTCGGATCGAGTGTCTTTTACGTGCTTCTAACTCAGTAAGTCCATGCAACACAAACTCGAAACTTCCATACAAAACCGTGGACATTTGAAGGATTTTATAAACTTCCCCTGACAAACTCCCAAAAAAGAGGACATGTCCGGGTAAAAGAGGACGTATGGATACCCTACTTTACTGTCTTTGTTACTGAGCTGCTGATGGAAAGAATCCACCGAAGCAGCTTAGAAAGGTCTTGTCTCTTTTCGCCATACCAACCTAAAAATGTTCAAAATAAAAGAAAAAAGTGGAGCTCATGTTTGAACATAATGAAAATTCAGATGAGGAGCTGTCAGAATATATCCTGAGTGATTAAAAGAAGAAATAGAAACTGAGTTTTAATTGAAAGAAATTGAAGAGAGTTTCATGTCTGGTGTGTAAAGCACAGAAAGTGAACAGTCATCAAAGATTCGCTCTGACTTTTCATTTCCTACCTTTAAAAAAAAAAAACCTTTTTGTGACAGAAAATGTGACCCAGATTTTAACGTTCAGCTCCGTTACCAAGGCCACCAGCTCGAACCCGGCGATGTAATAGAGTAGATTGCATCTGTCTCACATTCGCACACATGTAGAGGGATTGAAGGCGGATGGATGGGGGATGCGGTTGCCATGGCTATTACAAGATTCTGGTTTCAAATTCAGGGGGTATAAGAGATTGTGTCACTGTGGGAGCACATGTAGGTGTCTGCTCGCTGCATGTGTGGGTGGTTCCACTCAGAGCCTGTTGTGTGCGTGTGTGTTTGTACGCGGAGGCGGGATGACAGATGTGTGTGTGAGAGAGAGAGAGAAAGAGACATGGTGGGAAAATGATTGGGGTGAAGGGAGACAGAACGACAAAAGAGGAGTGAGTCAGAGCGAAAATGTATTCAGGATGTGTGATTGAGGCCATGTGTTAATTGCAGCGTTCGCAGCGCCTGCACGCTCGCTCATCATCCCTGTTTGTCTTTGGCGAGGCGAGCCTGGGCCACAGGTTTCCTCTAAATACAGAGATCCAGCTAAGATGTGTTTGTTTACCCGAGTGGAACAATTGCGTGTTCATAACTTCTACCCCCGATAATGGATTTTATGTACTTTTAATTTTCATCCAGCTGTAGAGGACAGTGACTGTAGAAAGTTAATCTACTCTGCGGCCTTTAAACACAGTAGCAAAGCAATAAACTGACGAGAAAGCCCAACAACACTTAACATGTTTTCTTTTAACTATTTTTAATTAAACGTCGGCTTTTAAATGATTCACAAACCATTAAATTCAGTTTGTATGAAGATTTACCTCGGCTTTAAAGGAGTCAGGGTTGTGAACTCCATTTGTAAAGTGTCTTCTGGGTTGTGTTTAAGGGTGCGTATGTGTTTTTAGAGGGTGTGTCTGAGCAGAGATGGACATCTTGGCCCTCAGTGTGTGTGTGTGTGTGCGTGCGTGTGTGTGTGTCAGCTTCCTTTAAATCTTAAACAGACAGTCTAGCTTACTGTGCAGGCTGACCCCCGTCACACTGTGTCTAGAAGTCAGACAGTGTCTGTCTGTGTGTACGTGTGTGCGACTGTGCGTGTGTGTTTTGTATATCTTCGCCCTTCTGTAGGCTGAACCAACACAATAACTTGTTTTTGTTTGGTTCAGTCAACCCTGTTACATAAGCGATGACTGTAACTACTCGAGGGGATTTCGCATTGGACAAGCTGTGTGTGTGTGTTTGTGTGTGTCTGTGCGCCGGTCTCCATGCGTGTGTGTTTGTGTGTAATCGGGGTACAGTGCAGCAAGAGCTAATTATTTGCAGCGCAGGAGGCGAAGGAGTCGACCTTTGACTCTGCATCCCTCCTGGTACCCTCCACCCTCCTGTACACCTCCTGAGGGGGGGAGTAAGGGTCAGCGGTTGCCCCACAACAACATCCTTCCACCTACACACCCACCCCCCAAACACCCCCCACTCACACACACACATGTACAGTAATCCTGCTGTACGGTGAAAGTGCACGACCCCCTTTTCCCCTATTATCGTCCTGGCCTAGTTCGGTCCTACTCATGCGTGCTTAACCCTTTATTCAGCCCCGTCTACCTCCCCCACTTCCCTTCCCTCCATCCATCCATCCCTCATGCACTTCCACTTACATTGTCACGTGATACAGACGCTGTTACCACGGCTACAAGGGGAAGACTTGCAAGCGAAACCCCCTTTTGCACAGTTCCCCACTGGCACGACGGCAAAAACAGCGTCGCAGCCAATCCGGAGTTGAGTCTACGGCCGGTTTACCCGAGGGCGTTGAGACCCCTACATGACCGCTGCCATGGCATCTGCGGGGGTCAGAGCGAGAGCTCGGCCTTAGGCGGGACCCCCCACTCGGGTGTCAGTCATAACATTGGCCTTGCGTTTGTTTCTAAAGCTTTGATTGGAGGAGAAAGTGAAGGCTGTTACTATATGGCTGCTTGCCATGCTATGTTTATTCCTCAGACGCCCGATTCATCCCAACGCGGAAATTACACACAAGTAATTAACTTGCAAAGGTAAATTAAATTCATGAATAAATAAACTGGCTGAGCGCTCAAGACTGATCAGCGATGAAGACGCTGGAAATGAATATTAAGGCGTCGTCTGCAAAGAGGCGAATACAGCTCAGGAAAGCTGCACTAATTCTTTCAACAGAAGCTGCAGGAGGTTTTTCTGTTTGTTTTTCTCCTCCTCAAGATTGAAATTACGTGACGATAACTTCTACAGCTTATCGCGGAAGCGTTGTCGGGAAATGTGACTGAGGCGGAGTGTTCCCGTCTATATTAAGCTGCTTCTCGCTGATGTGCAATCACGTCTCTGCGGGTCCGTAAAAGAGTTTAGCCACAGCACGCCAAGAATGTTGTTGTTCCCGTGTTGGGTCTTCCTCTTATTTGTGAAGTTGTTGTTGTTGTTGTTAGTGTGGCGTTTCCCAACCCACCCCTCCTCCCCTTTCACCCATTCCTTCCGCCACACACACCCATGCGCACACATCTCCTCCGACGCCTCAGGAGAGCTTTTTCTTCAATGGAAACCTCGAACTGAGCTCAAGCAGGGGTTACACGAGAGATCAGTCTGCGTACGAGGAGGAGATGTATGTCAAGAGGGAAGGAAGACAGGCAGGTAGAAAGCAGGAGGGCGAGGGCGCTTCTTTTTGATGTGCGGCAGACACTCGTGAACGCCGAGGTGAGCCCTCAGCAAGTGTAGCGCGCAAAAGGACAGGATGAGCGAGGCGACGCGGGGCGAGACGGAGTTGAAAGAGTGAATGAACACAGACTGAGTGCGTCGCTTCTGAGGAGACGGGGAAGGATGAGAGGAGGAGGAGGAGGAGGAGGGGGATGCCCTGACACATGTGGAGCTGCTACTACATCAGGCACTCATGTGGAAGAGTCGAGTGTTTCTCCCCAGCAACTCGCCCTCTTCCCCCCCCCACAGCCGTCACACACACTCACACCATGACCTCCCCCCATCTCTCGCCAAATGGCAGCTCATGGTGACTTGCAATCACCGGCTGCGCACGGCGAACATTTGCAAGGACGTGGGCAGAGGGGAGGTGGAAATGAGGAACTTGTTTTTGGCGTGCTCATACGCTGTGAACTAATGAGTGCTGACGAAAGAGTAGGTACTCATGCAAAAACACGAACACATGCATGCACACGGCGTTGGCGCGCGGCGGTGCGTTGTGTTCATATGTGACCGTTTCGTGCACCAAGAGTTTAAAAGTGAAGCACAGAGAGAGCGGCGTGTGTTTAGGGGCGATGGAGTCAAGCTGTGCTCAGATTGAGGATTTCTGCAAGAGGACTCCCGACCGCTGCACCGTGACCCAGTAAGAAACAAGGCCAGTGTGTTAGCGGGTCTAACACATACTGAGAAGCAATCACACACACCTTCAAACACACATGGGAGATTTATACAAAGAGACAAAACATGCCAGCAGCAGAAGATACACATGTGAGTCGCCTAATAAAAGACATGCAAAGACACACACACACACTCACACACACACGGCATATGGCTCATGCATACTGCATTTACTATTTCATTACAGCACAGTGTAATCACAAGCTGTAATTCATTCACATGATTTCATGTTTACTCCAACTGAGGATGTTCACAACCACAGTAACACGCAAACACACAAAAACATACTTAACACAGAGAGGTAAGGTCAGCGGCCGAGCGGATAAGGAGATATCGCCGCTAGCCTGCTGGAAATTACCATCATATTTCAACATGACTAGTTTTGAGTGTTTGTGTATGTGTGTGTTAGTGTGTGTGTGTAGGCAGAGTGGCTCCAGTTGTTTTGATGCAGCAGTGTGTGTGTGGGAGTGGAAAAAGTCGAGGTTGTTTGTATCATCTGGGGAGAAAAATCGAGGAAGGAGAAAGATTCTTAAGTTTGTGAAGAAAATGTCTTCATGCATTTACAACCCCGGTTCTTTAAGAGTTAGGACGCTGTGCAACATGTGAAAACATTTACAGCAGCGTGACACAAAAAACAGCTGACGAAGAAGGAGACCCTGAACTGTTGAGCAGCTGAAATCCTCGGACAGCGTTTTTCTCTCCAAACTCCAGAAGCCGGTCTCCTGGGTTCGCTATCGTTTACAGAGTCGTTAAGAGAAAAAGGTGATGCAACACAATGGTAAACATTCACGCTGGAATTGGCGTAAAAAAAGGATGTGAGAGAGAAAATGAAGCTGCTATAGGAGAGAAAAACAAAGCAGAGAGAGAGAGAGACGCAGACAGTGCACGTCTCCTGGGTTTTTCCCTCTCTCTTCACACTGATTGGGGTCAGTTCTCTGCCATTAACCAAGTGTAGACAGGGGAGGGCCAGAGCTAACCAGCCGACCTCGCTGCTTTTATAGGGCTGCCTGATAATAAGGACTGGTGCCTTGGAGGAATGCTGCAGCAGGAATGTGCTATTAACATGTCTGTGATCCTAAACACTGCTTTTATAAATACGTAGCTGTTATCAAACCGGCCTGGCAGCTCTCTGACACAGCGCAGCGCCGCTGGATGCGAAACAACGTTTTCCCTGGTTTGAAATCTACCAGAAGCTTCCCCCCCAGAGCCTCCTCAATCTGACCTCCGTATCTGCTCTCCAACACTCAGAATTATGGGAAAATACTGAAGGAGAGACTCGTTTTCTTAAGTGAGTCATGTGATGAGCATTGGCACAAAAACATGTTCTCTGTAGAGGAGTATTTAGACATTTTAAAATCTGGATGACAAGTTAGTTCAGACTGTTTTGGATGTATTTCAATCAAAAGGGCCTGACAGGCTCAGGTTTATATTGACAGTGTCTATATATCACAGACAGCACCCCTACAGAGACCGAACTTTTTAGGATGCTTCTTTTTCCACCTGAATTTACTGTTTGAAAAAAGACCTCTTTGAAACTTCAAGGCTCCACTGACAAAACCACCTGAGGCCAGGTAAAAAATGTGCAAATTGAGGTCAATTCTGGCCAATATTACATTTTCATGACTGTGAATTTCCATCCAGTTGTGCAGTTTGCACAGAAAGGCACAAGAGCTGATCACGGCCTGGTCAATTCCTCTTGACTAGTTGGATGAATTCCCGGCATGTTAGAAATTATAGCTTGCACTCTGCCGCAAAGTCACAAAGCGAGCAGGGCAAATAGTTTGTTCATCAACTTTAGGACTTTTTATCTTGTTTGCAATTTTGCAAGATAGTTGCTGGTTGCTCTATGACTTTGCGTCAGTATGCAGTCTGCTAATCCGTCTGAAAGATCCAAGGCAACGAAGCTATGTGATGTGGACATGGCTAATGTGTAAAAGGAAGATTATTGACATTGATTGAAGCTCTGTTGTGACTGAGATTGTTCATTATGAACTCTCAGGTCATGCTAGACTATCAGACCAGGAACAATTACCTGCAATAAGATATTTTATATCTTAAAAGCTTAGTGAGTAAACCTCTGAGTATAGATGTTGAATCGGGACAAACCATTTAAAACAAAGTCACAGAAAACAAACCGGTTAATTTTGATTTTGATTATCCTGTTTTGTATCCAAACTAGTATTTTTGTCTGATTCACCCTATTTCTATAACCGCTTTTGTCTTATTCTGCACCAACACTGCTTCTCTGTGTTGCAACAGGACAATAGAGACTTAAATCTTCAATCAATTGTGGTCAGAGTGAGGCCTTCTTTAACGAAATAAATTGCTGTTTTGTCATTGTGGTTTGGTGGATTTAAAGAGATCATGTCATTTCTGCAGATCCTACTAAATCAAAGAGGTTTATGTGTGTGCGTGCGTGCGTGCGTGCGTGCGTGCGTGCGTGCGTGCGTGCGTGCGTGCGTGCGTGCGTGCGTGCGTGCGTGCGTGTCCCATTAAATTTTGGTGGTGATCCGGATAAAATTCTGGATACTGTGATCCAGAACTCACAAAAATAAGGGTGTCATTGGAATTGTCAATGCTGAAAGTTAAGCAATGGGCGGCACAGTGGTGTAGATAGGTGGCACAGTGGTGTAGATAGGCGGCACAGTGGTGTAGATAGGTGGCACAGTGGTGTAGATAGGTGGCACAGTGGTGTAGATAGGTGGCACAGTGGTGTAGATAGGCGGCACAGTGGTGTAGATAGGTGGCACAGTGGTGTAGATAGGCGGCACAGTGGTGTAGATAGGCGGCACAGTGGTGTGGTGGTTAGCACTGTCGCCTCACAGTCAGAAGGTCCTGGGTTTGAATCCAGGTCAGGGCATTTCTTGTTTTAGGAACATTATGAACAGTGAACATACCAGTTTAAACACAAATAAAAGTTGATAAAAGACACGTAACAGTAAAAGTTTTGCTGTGAATCACAATATAAGGGGGGACATGAGCTGCTTAGCGGAGGTCTGCGCTCTCCGAGTGCTTTTCTAGTGTTTGATATGATTTTTAACAATCTGAGCTTCTCAGTAAAAAAGAGCTTTGGGTTGTCCATTTGTCCATAAGGGTTGAACTGCATCCATCACAGCTTGTCTTTACAGCTTGTGGCTGGAGCAGCCCGGTGAGGTTGTGAAAAAAGAAATGGACATTAGCCCTGCAAACACTCAAGTACGGCTCCTCTTTAAAAATACTAGAAAGTAAGTAAGTGGTCATGTAATTTCAGCAGAAACAAAGTTGTAAAAGCCAACACTGTCCACGCTGTAAGTGCACTTATAAATAGAAGTGCAGTTATTCCAGTGCCATTAGTTGGCTTGTAAAGCTATGACCACAGGCATGTCTGCCATGTGCGTTTGAACAAAGACAAATTGAAAATCATGCAGTCTCTTAGCAACATTATCACATGAAGATATTTGCCCTTCTGCCTGGCATAAAAATAGACGGACAGAGAAAGACTTACAAGCAAGCAGGCGGACCGTTTATAGCTTGTGTATAAAGATAGAAATGTTAGCAGAGACTGGACCCTCTGAGAGAGTGTGTGAGTCTGACTCTGTGTGTGTGTGTGTGTGTGTGTGTGTGTGTGTATGTGTGTCTGTGCTGGACGGTCCCTCCACTGTCCTCATTGATGTGCCGGTCCATAAACAGTCGTCCGTGACTCAGGCTCCCCAGTGGGCCGCAGAGCAGTGGCTGATGGGTAGATGATCTGAGCCACACAGCTGCCGCCGCTCAAGGTGAGCCGCCCAGGGCGCATAAATCTACATGGTTAATGAGGATCCGCCGCAAAGGGCCCACTTAGAACCATTACACAACGTTTGAGGAGTGTGTGAGAGAGGGAAAACACTTAAACACACATGAAAAGAGGGAGAGGGGAGGAGATAACGGTAAAGGAAATTCTTCTACTTCTTAGATATGCAGTATAAGTTGAGATGTCACAGGTTTTATTTTGTACTTTGAGGTACGATACAATTTCGTGCATCAATTTACACACTTTGCTGGGTTTTTGTTGAGCTGGGAGCGATAAGACGTATAAAAAGAGCGGTTAGCCACACCCACTGGAGCATTTGCCGACTGTGTGTTTTCCCCTTCATCAGTAAACATAAGCTGTGTCTACTGTATATTCAAGCCTGCACGTCGGTGATGAACGACTCCCAGAAACACCCTCTGCAAGTCAGATGAGATATCCCTCTGTGATCGATTGCTTATGCCTGTATCTCCTCCTAATATGACTGATTGCTCTTTCCTGCTTCTAAATACCCTCTTCTCCTTTTGTCTCCGCTCAGGCTCGGAGTTCTGCTTCCGCAATTTCACCAGCTCCTCCGGCATGATCGAGTCCCCGGGCTTCCCGGATAAATACCCTCACAACCTGGAGTGCTCCTACATGATCATCGCACCCCCTCACATGGACATCACCCTGACTTTTCTGACCTTTGATTTGGAGAACGACCCCCTGCTGGTGGGAGAGGGAGACTGCAAGTACGACTGGCTGGACGTGTGGGATGGTCTTCCGCAAGGTGAGGAGACGGTCACACCAAATGCGTACATGCTAATGTTTAACGGGGTATAACTAGAGTACATATCATCTGTACACTATTCCAGTCTCTAATAGATGAGGTGACTCTATTATTAGGGCTGCAGCTATCAAATATTTTAGTAATCAAGCATTCTACTGAATATTCCATCAATTACTCAAGTAATTGGACCGAAACGGCAGACTCTCACACACTGAGATTTATTACATCACAAATCCAAGCTTCAACCCTGGAGCCCCGCTATGGAGGCCACATTCAGAGAACTAGAGAGGACGATCACGGAACAAGCGTGTGTGTTAGCAAATTGCAATGCTCATAAGAAAGCCAATTATGATATTAACTTTCATCATGTCCCTAAAGACGTAAGTGTCCGAGAGTGGAATACTTCCTATGTTACCTGCTTCTGCTACTACACCGGCGATGTTAGGCCACAAGCGACTCAGATGTGAATTAGTAATGAGCTACTAGAGCTCTGCAGAAGAAAAGCCCCTCTCATCATTCAAACCAAAACCGCGCTTACTCCTCCTTCTACCATGGTGACGAAAGTGCCTTGTGTCACCTTGAAAATAATCGGCGTGAAACAGTGACGATTTGAGCTTATAAATGATTATCGAGGCAAAGAAAATTCAGGAATCGTTTCAGCCTTATCAATGATGCTAAGGTGCAAACTCTTCCTCCTCCTCAAATGTGTCTGGTTGGGGGAGGTAGGTTGTTCTGGCCAAGGGGTCTTTGCTGATGCTCTCCCAGCCTCAGACTTGGACAATTTATGCAAAAAAACAAACCAAAAAAAACTGATATACAGGGGAACTTCTGTTGGGCCGAAGCTTCTAACCTTTTGCATGTGTTTTGTGAATTAAGGTCCTTACACACCGCGACCGATGCAAATATAGAACGCAAAATTACGAAATATTCGGAGGAGAATTTTGACGCGCGTGACTATACACATCAAGCGCGATGCGATTTTGCAACTTTCTATGGGGAAAAAGGTGTGTCCCGGGTGCAAGCAAGAAGACTGACACAACAGCAGACTGAGTGTTTTTCAGTTCTGATCAGACTCTAGTGTTGAGATGTCTGTCATGATAGCATGTACTGAGTCGGGGCCAGTACCAGATAAGAACATTAAACTATAATCCATAAACGTAAGGTAACAACAGAGACCTAATGGTGCTGTGACAGCAACGCGATTGAGTTTGAGACAGTGAAAATACATTTGGTATGTTGTATCTGAACAGGTTAGCTTACGAGCTAAAGTTACTTAGCACAGATGAAAGTTAAAACAAAGACGTTTAGCAAACTGTTAAAACACACAAACCATCGTCATATGAAAAAATCCGACGCTATGACTCTCCACAAGTTGTCCTTCAGGTCGTTATCTTTGTAATATTTGTGTTTTTTATCAAAAAGCACTCTGTTCTCCGACACGTAAACAATCAGCCGGTCGGCCATGTTGGATATACCGGTGAATCAGACGTCGCAACAACACGAAATCTGAGTATGCGAAACTTTAGAAAAATCAACCTTGATGCGAAAAAATAAATGCCGCAATATCGCAGGACGGGGAAATGTCGCTGATGTGAATGGTTTACCTGCAATAAGATATTTTGTAACAGTTCAAAAGAAAATATTGACGTCCGAAATAATCGCATGTAAAAAACGGTCCTGGTGTGAAAGGACCTTTAGACAGTCTGTGTTTTATAGATAAACCCGAGAATCCACGACTACTGTTTTCAGTGCAGTCTGGTCACTGTAGAAAAAGTAATATTGGTGACATTTGTGGTTAAAAAGCTCATCCTGAAACAAAAGGAGTGTGTCTCTTTGGAGGTCTTGTAATCTTTAGATACACTTCAAATACAATCTGAGTCCGTCAGGGGTGAAAAACCAGCACTCGGACTTGTTGTATCACACCTCATTTCACGGCCGCCAGGTGAAGCGATCCGCAGGAGCAATTCCCCAACTATTTGTACCTTTTATCATGTAGAGGCCAAACATGTAAAAATAGGACCCAGGTGAACAAACACTGTGCTTCCCCTTCAAGGTGCATGAAAACAGGCTTAGAAAATCGATGTGTCTGGGTTCTGGGGATATCACACACAAACACGCACACATTTCCTCCACGGTGAGAACTCACACAGAAATTTTCATACCAGTCTTCAATTTCCTGAGCGGCCCTCTCTCTCTCTTTGATGTGAGCAGGCTTTCCTTACATTCCTGCGCATTACATAGAGGAAACATTATTTCACACTGCAGCCTGTGAGAGCCGGACACCCAGAGGAGCAGCCCTTTCCCATGCCCCTCTTCCCTCTCCATAATAACACCCTTCATCACCCCTTTCCTATCCTCCCTGTCCTCCCTCCTTATCACCTTAAAGCTTCCTTCCTCCCTCAGGCCGGGTGAGAGTGACAGCTGCGATATATATCTGTTTGCGTCCAATAGGAGGTGCCGAGTGTTTGGAAAGTGGCCTATCAGGCGAGATCAGGAACTCGCTTGAAAAACATTTGATGATGTTATCAAAGGGCTTTGATAGAGACCGCCATAGGCTAATGCTAGCTGCTGTAGAGCTGATGAAAACCCCATTAGTGTTGGTGAGAGGCCGACTTTCTGCCCGTCTCTCCGTCTTTTCCCTCTTTTTTTAAAAAGATGAAGCTGAGAACTGAGGATTTGCTCTAATTATTCTATTTTCAGTTGCTAAAAAGGGATCCAAAGAGGATTTAAAATTCCAATTATAGCCTTGAATTTGGCAGCTTTGATAGCTGAAAACAATTTATACCATTTAAAGTTGAGAATTAGGAGGAAATTAAAGTGTAACCCAGTTCCAGTGAGACGAGTCCTCAGGCATTGAGAGAGAAACGGGGGAGACAAGACGGAGGGGTGAAGAATTTGGCGTCTGGTGAGGGAGCTGCTCTTGAGACGAGCGTAATCCTCGCTGGTGTGTGTATATAAGTATGTATGCATGTGTGTGTTTGCAGCTGATCCCAGTGCTGCTTGCATTAAGGCAGGGATTCCAGTTCCCCTGCTGGGCCCTGGCTGAGACACACATGGCAGATGGAGGGATGGACAGGGGAGAAAAGGGAGGGAGGGAAATGAAGGGTGGAAGAAAGATGGAGAAGGCATGCTGCGACTCATTAGACAACACTTACCGAAGCAGCGTGGACACTGGAAACCTACGCTGGATTCCTTTGTCTTTTTTTTTCAATGGAGGAGCCGCATTTCTGATGCTACGAGACAAAAAAAAAATCACAATTTATTCACCTACTAAGATGCACCGCTGAGAAATGGCTGAAAAAGCAACAGGATACTACTTAGTTTTAGGATGCAGACACTGAAAAGGCTTTCATAAAACTGTTGCCTCAGAAAACACATAAAAATTCATCCAGTGAAAAGGTTTCATCAGTAAATCTCCCCGGAGGCCTGAGGTGAGCTGTGAGGGCTGGAAGATTCCTCAAAGACTGTCCAGCGAACACTGCAAAACCTCAGACTTAAGCAGGAGTTATCTCGAAATCTTACCCGCAGAACTCCTGGTCTTCCCCAACCTTGTTAGTTTGTGTCCATGTTATTGCATTTTTTTTTTAACTTGTAAAAAATGTTTGAATCAACTCCAAAACATAAAACCATGTGGAAGAATTCTTGAAGACCTTGAGATCTGGGAAAATAAGGTAGGGCTGGGCGATAAATCGAAAGTATTTGGTGTCAAAAATAAATAAATGAAACTTGGTTTTGGATGTGTAGGTAGGCTATGGTCTCATGTCCCTTTAAGACACTGTCCTCCTACATCAGAGACGTGACTCCACACCATCTAGTCTGTAACAAAGAGGGAAAGACAGGTGAGGAGATGGAGGACGGTTCAAAAGTCGTAGCGGATGAAGTAGACAAACTTATTGTGGGAGGGAATGAGCAGCTTGTGGAGGAGTTTTCATCCATTTACATTTATCGAGGTGAACTGCTCAATATATCGTGATATTGATTTGAGGCCATATCGCCCAGCCCTAGAATAAGGTTTTTAAAATAGTGTTGAGTGTTTGATTGAAACGTCATTCCCTGCTTTCTCTCCTCAGTCTCCTGCTCGACCCCCTGTTGCGTCTCTCTCTAAATAAAGGCATCGTAAAAGCACGTACATCACATAACACTCATGTTTTTTCCCTCTCTCTCTGTATCTGCAGTGGCTCCTCTGATCGGCCGGTACTGCGGCACAAAGATCCCTCCGGAGATCCAGTCGTCGTCCGGCCTGCTGTCCCTCTCCTTCCACACAGACATGGCCGTGGCCAAAGACGGTTTCTCCGCCCGCTACAACATGACGCACAAAGAAGTCAGCGACTGTGAGTGAAAGATAACTCTAATCGAGAGTGTGTTTGTGTGTTTGTTCTCTGAGTGTGCGTGTGTGCAGGTTTGTGTTCCTGTTCCTCTGCCCACTTTTATTTCCTCTCTCTTTCAACAGTCTCTTCTCGCTGACACTCATCTTTCTTTCTTCATCTCTCACTCCGCTCACCCTCTCCATCTTTTCGACACTGTTCTTGCTTTAATGTTATTTCAATCTCAAAGCTCTCTTTCACCTCTCCTGCTCTATTTTGCTCCCTCCTAAGAGAGCGTTACTCCTCAGAAGCAGACGCGTACCATTTTTCTTTTTCGAATATAAATGAGATTCACCTCAATTTACCTCCACTCACCTGTTGGGCTGCTGTCTGTCTCCTTTTGCCCTTTCTCTCTCTGGATTTACCTTTTTTCAAGCTGTATAATGCACCGCTCAGATCTCCCTTTCCCTTTCAGCCTCTTTAAAATGCGCTCGCACCTTAAACTGTTATTCTCTGCCTTTCTTTCCACTTCAGAAGTACGGCTACAAAAACTAAGTTAGCATTTTTTTTTTCCACTTTTTTTCTTCCATCAGCGTTTCACTGCAGCATGGCGCTCGGCATGGAGTCAGGAAAGATCAGCGACGATCAGATCACCGCGTCCACGAGTTTCTACGACAAGCGCTGGCTGCCGCGTCAGGGCAGACTCAACAATGATGACAACGCCTGGACGCCATCAGAGGATAGCAACAAGGAGTACATACAGGTCAGTACGGAATTGGTGCTGCATGTCTTAAGGCTAAAACATACAGGATCCGTATTGAGCGCGTAACGTGTTTTTTACCTCCGCCAAGGAGGTTAGGTTTTCGGTAGCGTTGGTTTGTTTGTTTGTTTGTCTGTTAGCAACTTTACAGAGAAAGTAACAGACGGATTGACCTGAAATTTTCATCAGAGGTGCGTCGCAGCCCCAGGAGGATCCCATTAAATTTTGGTGGTGATCAAGAACACACAAAAATAAGGGTGTCGTTGGAATTTTCAATGCGGAAAGATAACCAATGGGCGGCAGAGTGGTGTAGATAGGCGGCACAGTGGTGTAGTGGTTAGTTAAAAGGGCATTTCTTGTTTTAGTAACATTATGAACAGTGAGCATACCAGTTTAAACACAAATACATGTAATAAAAGACACGTAACAGTCAAAGTTTTGCTGTGAATCACAATATAAGGGGGACATGAGCTGCTTGGCGGAGGTCTGCGCTCTCACTGCGCCCTAACTCTTCTGAAATTAAATTTGCCAACTCTAATCAAGCAAAACCACACACCGAAGTTGGCTGTGAAATCAAATCTATGAAAGTGATCCTGGTGTGGAGTGGAGGGTGCGAGTAAAAGCATCTTGTATACATTGAGGACATACAACAGGACACACACACATACACACAGACGCTGCGAGGAAATGGAGGAACTGTGAACCGATGATAAGGAAGTGCTTCTGCGCTCTCAATCTTTCCTGTCTCTAACACACAGCGGCCCACTCGAATGCATGCAAACAAACACACACACATATACGCACATGCACACGCACAGAGAGCGGCGAGGAGCTGGTGATTGATGAAGGTGCTCTTCAGGAATGCATCCGAACACTCCGCCATTGATCTTTGCCTCCAGCCTTCCTCCCCTCACACACACACACACACACACACACACACACACACACACACACACACACACACACACACACACACACACACACACAAACAGACATACACACAATGCAAAGACGCACACACTCGGCACTGCGCGTCCCTCAGCAGGCCACAGTCGGCGTTCATCTCCCGCTGTCTCTGTGACGGATAGACACCACAGCAGGTCTTCCTCTGTTATCTCCATCAGCTCTGACCACCGCCGATCTGAACACTCGTCCCGCGTCTCTATCATGAAGAGAACACATCTGCAAGAACCCGAGTCCTGACTATGTCCGTTTGCACCTTTTTCAGGTGGACCTCCACTTTCTCAAAGTCTTAACGGGCATCGCCACGCAGGGAGCCGTTTCCAAAGAGACTCAGAAGTCCTACTACGTCACCACGTTCAAACTGGAGGTCAGCACCAACGGGGAGGACTGGATGGTGTACCGGCACGGCAAGAACCACAAGGTAGGCAATCATACAACAACTCATCAAGCATTCGTTTTTGTCTTGATAGTCTTGCTTTCTTCAAGTAATTGATAGTCTTGCTTTTTTCAAGTGGGGAAGAATTTAGAGTTGTGAAATTTTTGATAACTTTTTAATCCCAAATCTTTTCCGTTGCTTCTTATCCTTCACCTTTCAATCTCAAACAAAATTATTGATGCATCTGTTTGCATTTCTTAATGAGATACATATCAAAAATGCAGATAGTCTTGCATCAGCAGCTGGAAGATTTTTTTTTTTTTTTTTCATTCATTTCAAAACCAATTTTTCTCCCAACGAAGTAAAAATATGCCAAGAATTTCTCTGATTTAGACCTGAGTATTAGGAGGGATTTGTGTGGGCTCAGAATATTTTTAGATCTGAATGTGGGCCACCGATTTCTTCCATTTGGCTGCTGGCTGAGCGGCTGCTCTATACGAATATGTGAGTCTGTGTTTGCGCTAAGCTCGGAGGATGTTTCCTGCTGAGAAAAGAGCAAAGAGTCATTTTTAATCTCTTACAAAGTGAAAATAAAATAAATCGCAGCTTTTCTCTGATTGTGTTGAAAAGTTGCACATTTAGTCGCCTTTTTTTTTTCGTCTCTCTTCGTCCCACTGACTGGCTACCCTACTTCCCTGTGAGTAACCCTGAACCCCCAGCAGCAGCGGCAGCAGCAGAGAGAGAGTGCAGAGCAGATGGAGGATAAGTCCAATTTGTTAGTCTTGTCCTCTTAATTCACTGATCCCTTTTCTTTAAGTTGTGTAATCTTGTTTCATTCATGAATGATGCCTTCTTTGGATTTGGAGGTCTGTTGTTGCCGAGTTTGCAGAAATGGTGATCGTCTTTTGGTCAGGGAAGTTTTTCTTGAGAAACTCTTGAGTCGACTCCATCTATAGGTTGGTATCAGATTCTTAAAAAACACATCCATGGGTCAAACTGACTCGTATTAAAGCAAGATAACCAGTCTGTAAGATAAAGAAACAGCCTCTGTGAACTCCATCCAACCTGAGTTTGAACTCGCAGTCACAAGCCCCCCCCTCTTTCCAACCTTTACATCACCACCATGATCCGGTCCACCACAACAGAGGCCGCTGTGTGCGTCCGTATCGCTGTACGCCACATTCTTAGAGGAGTCTTCCTTTTTCCAGGACTTTTTTGTGAACCTGAATCATGACCCGAGTCAGGAGGTTGGAGAAGGAGAGAGAGAGAGAGAGATAAAGATAGAAGAAGGAGGGGAAGCTGACAAACAAGAACAATGGAGTCCTCTATGCGTCCTTATCTGAGCTTTAGCTATTCATCATCTCTTACACGCTCATAAACACTCGCCTGGAGTTGTGAAACAGTCAGAGTCGAAAAATGTTGACTCACGTTTGAAGAAGAAAAATTTGGACCTTGTTTTCTGGGTTTACATCGCTCAAATGAGCAGACAGTTTCAGGTAGAAATCTTCAGCCTGCAGCCTTGAAACAGGCGGTAGTGGTTGCGGTAAATCCAAAATGCACCTCTCACTAAAGCTGAGGTTAAAAAAAATGCTAAAACCCCCTAAAGAGGTCTATGATGGCACAATTTCCTAATGTTTCACTCAGGCCTCACGCTGTATAATCCCTGTGGGTCTGTGTGTAAAGGTGGGCTTGTTTGTACACAGTGCAGGTAGTTGTTGCTGTTGTTGTGTGACCTGCAGTAAGCCTATAGGGGATTTGAACTCCACTCACATTCAGGTTAAGGTCACCGTGGATTTCAAGCAGAAAAATAGAGAGTGGCAGGACTGGGGGTTGGTTTGGAGAGGGTTAATCCACACACGCTAACCCACTTGGACTGGACCCCCCCCCCCCCTTCCTGTGTGAGCCAGTGATTGGTTTTGCTGGGAGTAGTGGGGGGTATTTGATGTGGAGATTATTGAGGGAAACGTGGATTTGTCTTAAAAAGTCAACATCTGTGCATTTTATCAGAACCCCCCATAGTCCCCTGAACCGCACACACACACACACACACGCACACATCCACGACCCCTCCTTTGACTAACCTCTGGCTGATCTCTCTGTCTGGAGATGCGCACGCTTATGTATATGGTGTGTGCCTGCCTGTCTGTACCGTGTAATCTGAGTCCACTAATCCGTCTGAGAGAGAAATACCGCTCAGACACTTTCTGACAGATGCATCGACATGCATCTAGGAGGAAAACTGCTTGTAGTCTGATCGGTCTCTTTGAACATTTTCAAATTGGTTATGTTTACAGCTTTTAGAATAAAGTCCAGCTGCAAGATGAAAGATCAATAAAAAGAAAACAGATTTGTGCTGTTAGGGGGGAGAAAAAAAAAATATAACGCTGAAGTGATGATGCTGTTTCTGAGCAGGATAAACACTTCTCTGCCTCCCTGCAGGCGACAGCACAGGCTCCTGGCGTTCTGCTTTTTGGCTGCTTGTCCTCTACTCACTCTGGCTGTTTCTTTTCAATGTGATATCTCAAAAATGCTGGCAGCAAATATCCTCAAATAGAGCAGAAATGTCCACCTGCACTGAAAGATGACTGCTTTAAAGTCAAACATTTGGAGAACCAATGTGACCTTAAATCCCTAGTCCCAAATTCTGCTATTTTTTCTTTCTTTATGCTGCAAAATTAACAATTCAATAAGAATTTTTTTTTTTAAATAGCCTTAAGTTAAAACTTCAACAAATGCAGTTTTTAACAAATGGCAGCAATCAGTTTAAAAATATTAATCCAATGCAGTTCCAAAAGTGTCCACTTGAGGCAGCCCCAAAAGCCAAGGAGACCCCATTAACACCCATATTAAAATGTCAATCTTTACCGCAGATTTAAAAAAGTTTGCAATCTAGTACAGCAAAGATTTCAGTCTGCAAAGTTAAGTTCTTTGTTTGTACAGACTGTGAAGGGGGTGAATTTTGACAATATCGAGGTTTAACGTTCGCACTACATATAAATATGTGACTGTCAAAAAAAGAAAAAAACGACTAGTGGCAACATACTGATACTCCAAATAACTGATTCAACAGCCTTTTTTACTTTTTACACGACTTCCACTCACAGATTGGGACAATAAGTTGGGTTTTAGTCCAAAAATGTTACTAGTTTAGGGTGACCATATTCTAAATCCCCGAAAAGAGGACACAACTACGAGGGGGCGGGGTCACAGAGTCACGCATAGCTAATTTTGAGAGTTTTTCGGGTTGAATGTATCTTACACACTTCTGACTCAGTAAGTCCACACGACACAAACTCAAAACTCCCATACAAAACTTCGGACATTCCACCCCTAATTCTGCTGTTTCCTCTTTCTTTATTCTGTGAAATTAACATTTTAATGAGGATGGTGTGGTTTTTGAGCTAGCCTCAATTCAGAAATATTGGAAACTGCAGTTCCTAAAGTGTCCACTTGAGGCAGCCCCAAAAGCCAAGGAGACCCCATTAACACCCATATTAAAATGTCAATCTTTACCGCGGATTTAAAAAAGTTTGCAATCTAGTAAAGCAAAGATTTCAGTCAGCAAAGTTAAGTTCTTTGTTTGTACAGACTGTGACAGAGGTGAATTTTGGCCCTACATCACCCTACATTAGCTAACAATATTGCACGCACAGGACGAGAGAGATGAGGAAACTTTGTCCACCAGGGGAGCTGAAACTAACACAGGCATAAAGTTCCTTACAGCAGCTTTAGAGGTGCAGTAAAAATAAGAGAAAAAAAACAGAGAAGGTGAAGCAGGTGTCCGTGTGTAATGGCAGGATTTGGTCGTCAGCAGAATTTGCTTCATTCATCACCATCGTAGGTTGCTACTAAGTCTGAATGTGATTTTCATTGTCGTTTGAGTCGAATGTCTGCGTCTATCTCTCTTCAAAAAGCACCTCAAACTAACTCAACATGAGTCCGAGAATTTCTCTACATTTGTGATTCCTTCAAACCAAGTCAAACCAGGGTATCGAGCCTGCTGCTCGTACTAATGGGTTGTTTCATTATTGATGTCGAATGTAGACGTGATGGAAGGATACCATCTGTTTTTGACGATCAAAGAAAGATGACAGCCGCAGCATTTAGTCAATACTTGATGGAGCTTTTATTAAATTAGGCTCTAAATCCACCAGGATGAATTTTTCACTCACTTTCTCTGATGTTTCACAAAGATTCTCAGATTACATCAGATCAAACTTTCTCTTTGTACGTCCGCCGACCACAGACGCAGAGAACCGGGCGGGATTCAGGGGGATTCAAGCCTCGACTTAAACCGCGGAGTTCCTTTAACTCACCCCGACACCAGGTCCTCCTCTGGTCCCCGTGGGCTCCTGTTGAATCTTCCGTGACTACTAATCCACCAGTCATGTCGTACAAACTCCCAGTTAGCCCGTCCTAAGCCCCCCGAAGAGCCCTTAAGTGGTTGAAGCTCAATTCTCGTCAGGGGGTCTGGTAATGACTGGGATTTGGCTCTTTTAATTGTCATTTAACAGTGAGCTTGAAGCTAATGTGGCTTTAGAAGAAGAGTGCTTATGTCAGGAGTGGAAAAGTGTGTGTATGTTTGCTAGTTCGAGTCGCGCGCACGTGTGTGTGTCTGTGTGTGTGCATCAGATATGAATTAGCCATAAATCAAAGGATTGGATCCGCACTTTGTACCTCAATGTGTTTGTTATTGAGGGAGAGCGGCACCATTTATCGTGAAGATTGGTGTCCTTATTTGCCGTTTTAACAACAAGGGGAGGATTTAATGCCAATGGAGATGATTTGACAGGCGGAGGGGGGAGCTGAAAGGCATTGTGGGAATTTTTTGGAAAGAAATAAAAGTGCTGTAGGAAGAGGAAAAGACATGATTTGTGTGTATGTGTGTGTGTGTGAATCTTCTGACTCATTTTCTGCATGCCAACACATTTTCACTCTGACACCCATGTGACTTGTTAATTCTACATCACACCGATCACATATGCACCTCATTATTTGATGAGACGCCAGCACACTTCTTAATTGCACATCTTACACTCACACACACACACCGATACACTTTTTTTCTTTTTGCAGATTTCACACAGACACCCAACAGAATCACGTTTAAAACATACACTGTCATCCATCTGTGTGCAAAATCCCATCAGCCCCCGCCGCTAACGGAGCATTGTGTTACTGAAAAGCATTGTGAGGATGTGCTAAAATCTGCACAGGCACACACACGTGCAGACAAAGTAACCTAGGAGAGAAAGAAAAAAAAAACAGCCCACACAGCGTTTCCTCCTGCTCCTCCATCACACTGTGTCAGAGAGGCACGGGGAAACTCAGGCTTTGTTTTTCACTTCACCATTTTTCAAGTTGATACGTACAAAGCTGGCTCTGCACGTGGCTGCTGCAGGTTCTTCCTCCAAACAAAATCCTGCATCATGCAACCTGGTCAGCATCCCTAAACAAGGACCGAGGTTAACCCATAGACATTATAGATGTAGACGCCTAAGCGTAATCCAGCATCACCGCTATATTGGATGAGTCTCTGGCAAACCAAACAGTGTAAAAATCGGATAGAGATTCAGAGAGTTATTATCAATATGGTTGGGTATTCCTACCTACCTTAATGCACTGGAGGTGCACGGGGGACCCATCCAAGATGGCGGCCGCGCTGATATGAGAGCTCCAATAGGCAGCGTCAGGCTTTGAGGCGCCTACGTCAATAATGTCTATGGGTTTACCGCTATTATCTATCATCATTTAAGAAGTTTGAGAGGTGCAGCACCAAAAATGGCTGCTGCATTTTAGTTCGTTTGGCTTCTTGCAAAAACAAACCTGGTTTCATGCACCTAGAAGCAAAAGTAAGTCTGTTCTACTCATTTTAACATCTTGGTACACATTTTTACATTGTATAATCTAAATTCAATTTATAATCTAAAGGTCCGTTTCCTGATTCGAATCCAAGTCAAGACAATACATTTGTTTTGATTGTTTAACTGCTCCGGTTTGCGTTCACAAAAGACAAACTCAATCGCTCCAGAAAACGGAACCAGGGACTCACATGACCGCGAATATCGTTCGGTTATTGGTCATTAGTTTATGCGGGAATACAAACCCCGCTCTGCTGTCTTCGCCTGTCATGGAGCATGGTAGGCTGATTTTGCTTTCGCTACTCATCTGGACCGCGTATCAAAAGACGCTAGGCGCTAGTCGGGCGTATGAAAGACTCGTTAGCCAGCAACATTGAGTAATACACTCCGGAGTAGACATGCTGCAAACAACAGACGGATAAAGACGAAACGGCTACAGGCAATAATGACGTGTGTGGTGCGTTTCCTGTGATTGGTGTGGATGACGTTCACACCAGAAATGAACCGCTCCAGAGTTAACTTGATAGCGATCCAAGACCACCTCTTCAGGTGGACCAGAGTTCATGTATTTGGTCCGCACCAGAGTTCGAGGTCAGCGTTCACACCGACCCAAACGAACCGCACCAAGGGGGTAAACGCTCCAGGGTTCGGTTGAACCGGACTAAACGAGGGTGGTGTGAACGCGCCCTTAGAGTAGAGGGAGATTTTTGTCTCTGACTCAAGAAACCGTTAGGAGAATTATCTGGAAAACTGATATTAGTCTACTACCCCACCCTGCATGATGTGGTTCATGTCATCTCCCTCTTTCTCTCTCCAAACATTTCCTGCAGCTCTCTCAATCTGTCTTGTCCAATAAAGGCTAAAATCCCTCATTAAAAAATAAACATCACTAACAATCATTAGCAACAGTTTAAGTTGAAAGCTCAGGAACAAATATTTGGCCGCAACAACTTCCCAGAAACATCTCACTTTGAATAAATGAAACGCCTTCATGACTAATCGTATACTGCTTTTTAACCATGAAGTCTTTTATTCCAGATAACAGAGTTTGTAGCCATTAGATTCAGATCTAAAGAGGCTCTTTGTATTTTGCTGGTTTGATATGAAAGAAGTTTGAGTGTTTAGTCACCAATTAAAATCTTAATGTAGTTTTGTTTCCTGATTTCTTGAGAGATTCTCAGTAATCTCCAGAAAAAAAACAAAAAAACAAAGAGGTACCTAGAAGATTTCTGCCAGCGAATCAGTCGCCATATTTGAGAAAACAGGACACCCACACGGAGTCGAACCCGAGTGGTAACACTGGTGCGCAGTGGGAAAGTCGAACATAAGGAGATGTGAGACAATCTCTAAGGATGACTGCCTTCAACTTCAGTATAAACACGCACACACAATGCTGGACGCTCTCAGAGGCAGCTGTGGAGAGCGTCCAGCTGGAACCAGTTCCTACTGTCAACATCTTCATACCCAGAACAAGAAGAGGAGGGAGGGAGGGAGGGAGGAAGGAGGGATAGAGGACGTCTGGAGCGAGGAGGGATAGGAACAAAGAGAAAGACAGAGGGAATAAGTGGAGCAAGAAGACTGGGATGACGAGTGTAATGGACAGAGAGGGAGACGGGGAACGAGGGATCAACATTAGAGGGAAAAACATCCGGGAAGCGAGTAATGTCTTGTGCAGAACTGGTTTCCCTGTGGTGCCGTCAGAGAAAGACCGAGACGGAGTTAAGAGTGGAGGTGTGCGTCTATCTGATGATCATTTTTGAGAGAATAAATCGAATAAATAGACTCCTCTTTGCCTTCAGAGTGGGAGGATGTTTACTATAAACCACGTCTTTCACGGTGACCTCCTTCTCCAAAGGAGGCTATCAATACTTAAACACCCACGGTGCCTCCGTCCCGCCAATGTCCACACTTACAAGTCTGACCGTCGCATGGCTTCGTTATATTTTCATGACTCCCCACGCCAGGAGACACAACATGACGGCGTTAATTATTCAGCCCACCTCTCCTGAACGTCACGTGACGGGCTGGATTCACTCATACATAAGGAAAAAAACACGCCGGTTGTCGGGCAGATTACAGATGTGGTCTAGACAACAGATTGGCGGACGCTTCACCGGGCCGACATTCCTACCGAGTGAAAAAGTAACCGTGTTATTATCGAGTTGGTCAATGAGCAACCATCTGCTTCCTAGAGTCGTTGACCTCTAACCTCAAGAGTAAGGGGTCAGGGGTCGAATAACTGACCCTTCAGGTGTCCTCACAAAAGAAGGAGGAAGTAGAAAAGACTTAAAAAGCTCAGAGTTGACAGTCTCACACATCCACTCAAGTTAAAGGGTTAGTCTGCTTTTTTAGAAGATGGGAGACTCTATGAAGTTGCCCCCTGCTGGCCATTAAAGAGAATGCAGATTATCTTCCCTGTAGTGTAAGTTTAACTCATTTATCGTCATAATTTTAAAAATAAGAAGGTTTTGTTGTTTTTCCTGTTTGATGAATCTGTTGTTCCGTCCTCCCCCTCGCCGCCACTCCTCGCTCCTCTCCCACATTCCTCTGATCGTATCCTTCATTCCTACTGTCCTCCATCCAACCTCTTCTCTCCACTCTTCATCTGTTTTTAACTATTCTTCTGAGGACCCTCTCCCCTGCAGTCATTTCTCTGTTTTCCTGTCCTCCTCCTCCTCCTCCTCCTCCTCTCCGCTGCTCTTTTGTCTCACAGACGGTGGCGCGCTGGAGATGGTTTGGCGATCCCCTCCATCACACTCCTGTCTTTGTGTGAGCATGCGTGGGTGTTTACATAACCCCCATAAGAGCCCACTGTTTGGCCTCTTAGGTAAACAGAGCGGCTGTCTATCCTCCATCCAGCAGCAGATACAGCCCAGATAGACCCGCTTATCTGTTCAAACACTCACGCTGCTTTGTATTACCAGTGTCAGCCCGGCGTGATTAAATCAGGCCATGCCCAAAATCAAATAAAACCCCTGGAGTAGGATTTGAAGCCATATTCCCACTGGTTATGGAATTTCTGGAATATCATATCACTTTTGGAAGCAGGAGCCAGATGGGGAATTCAACAAATAGGTCATTTTTCAGCACTTTGGCGCATTAGTAATATTTTAAAGTCTAAACTGAAAGCAGGAAAACACGATGAGAATCAGGTTTTTAAGGGGGCAGAGGCAGTCTTCGGTTTGATCTCCTTCTTCTTGCATCAGAGTAAAAGAAAAGTCATGTAGGAGCTTTTTTTTTTTTTTAAGAAGTGATGTCTTTAATCTTTAATTCCTCTGCTTGTAGCGCTTGTCTTTCCATCGCTCCATTGTGCGCAGCGGCCGCCGCTGATTCTCCTCAGCCTCGTCTTTGTTAAAATCTGTCAGTCAACAGCGGCTCGCCTATCAGCCGGCTGGGTCGACCACAGACAGATGGAGTGAATGACACTTAACAGCGGGTTAAAAGACGCTTCCTCCTGCTTATCTGAGTGTGTAGGCCGTGTCTGTGTTTGTGTCTGTGTGTGTGTATGTGTGTGTGGGTCCTGCGGTTTCCTGTGTGTGGTTTCAGTTTGTAGCCACCAACGAGAGGAAGAGGAGGCGATGAAAGAGAGAGAGGGAGCAAGCAGAGATATGAGCTGTGTGGTTTTAAATCAGACTTTACAGGAGGATGACGGTGTTGATGTGAAGAAGAATGATGTGAAGAAGAATGATGTGTTTTCACTATAAAAGTTTTATGACTTTTATTTATATTAATTTAAATTAGTCTAGATTGTTCTGTTATCATCAGTTTGACCTGATATTTCAATGTTATGTCGCACATTTTGCACATTTATGGCTAAAAGTAAAACATTCAGAATGAAAACACTTTATTTATGATTGACACTTTTGTTTTCAATTAAGTTTTTTCCCAAAAAAAATTATCTAAAACAAGATGACTCGTCTTTTTTGTTTTATGCATATAAACAATAAGGTTGTCAAATTGTCCAGACAACCATAGTTTTAAATACTAGATGCCTTTAAACAGTTTAATAAGCTGAAGGGTATAAAGAAGCTTATAAAGCTGCTCCGCCAGCGAAGAAGCAAAGTGGCGAAACTGGAAAATGACACATTACCGTATTTTCAGGCGACAAGACTTAACGAATAATACGGCAACAATTGGTTTATTGTTGCTAGCACGTACGCCAGGCCCAGGTGGAACAGCTTCGTTGCTTACCAAAGTCGTACTTACATATTTCAACAGATTTTTGAGCGCATTATACCACATAAAATCGGTCAGTAAACACGATAAGTAATCACACATAAAGCACGCTGAATTATAAGGCACACTGTCAATTGTTGTGAAAATTTAAGGATCTTAAGTGCGCCTGTTTTCTGCACAAACATGCAGAAAACATGCCAGATTTGTTAGCTTTCTATCGTCAAAAAGAACGCTTTTTGTGTGTCTCTCTGCACCTCCCTCCATCACAGCAACCACACTGCTAACTATTCTCATTCACAGATCAGCACGTACTGACACTGGTTAGCAGCTAACAAAGACTCACGCTCTGATAAAGTTTCTTTCTGCTGCAGACAGACTGAGAGCAGAGCAGAGAGACAGCAACATTACCTTTATGTTTTCTGTCAGTTCTGACAGGGAGCTTCACAGCGACACACGATGACTGACGTTCATGAAATTTCCACTGCGTTTGTAAACGCTCAATTATTTTGCCAATAGTTTGGTATCTGTCAGTAAAGCAAATATCAAGCAGTATCATTGCTCTACTGATATATCTGAAATATTTGAGTGCATTCTTAGATTTAGAGGTAGCCGAAGGAGGAGGTTTATGTGTCATGTGGTCAGCCTCTCTGGAGCGAGGAGGTGGAAGTCGTTTTATAATCACAAACAGACAGTCCTGGTTTCAGAAAGGAAGAATCATGTCTGTCATTGAGCGTCCCCCATCAAACGCCCCCGAGCATCATGGGACAATTTCCACCCCAAAAAAGTGGGAAGTAACCTGACCACCCCGGTTACAGTCACCCTGCGACCTCTGCTGCCCCGCCTGGCCCAACCCTCTAAAGAGCAAATGGAAGGAAGGGAGTGTTCGTTACGGAAACGTGGATGTTGATGCTTTAGGAAGTGAATTTCACTCACATCCTGCCCACCTGGAGTCACTTCCTGTGTGTGACAGCCAATCATGTTTGCTCGTGTCAGGTCACAGCCACCTATAGAGGTGTGTGGACGAAGTGTGTGTGTGAAGAGGATAACCCTCATCAATCGTCAGGCTTTCCCAGCCTCCCAGAGCTGAACCTCTGACCCCAAAACACATCGACAGCTGGGACGGTGACATTGGATCCATGTTTGGGTTGTCTCTGCTTTGTCCGGCCTGCCACTGTGTGTGTGTGTGCATGTGTGTGTCTCTGTGTGTGTGTAGCCAAGCGAGACAGCTCTGTGGGTGGGTATGGAGGAGGAGGAAGAAGTGTGTGTGTGTGTGAGAAACAGAGAGATAAGACCAGCATGACGGGAACATTTCCACCTGACGCTCTCTAACCTTTTTGTCGTCTGTTTGTCTTTTCTTTTGCAGATTTTTCACGCCAACACCGACCCGGCTGAGGTGGTTCTGAACCGGGTCCCGCAGCCGGTTTTGGCGCGGTTTGTTCGTATCCGACCGCAGAGCTGGAGGAACGGCATCGCCCTGCGCTTCGAGCTCTACGGATGCCAGATTACAGGTGAGCGTGAAGTTCTGGTTTACTCCCGAGGAGATTGTTCCTGATCGTGACAGCGATGGTGAAATTAAACCTCTGCGACGTCCTTGATTATAGCTCAGGCCTCGAGAATAACTGATTTCATGTGAGAAGGTTGTTTCTCTATTCTGAAGATAATTACAAACTGCAGCGCATCAGAAAACCATCATTTGAGACCAAGGATGCACTCGGTCGCACATACATGTATATTTAGTCTCTCCCACGCTCCCCCTGCTATCTTTCGAGCTAATTAAAGGAAACTTTTTACTCTCTTCTTCCTTCCACTAGTGTCATTTCCCCTCTCCAGACGCTCTCCCGCTTCTCCGCTCTCGTTTTCTCTCCGCGTCTCTTCTCCCCTCTCACGGTTTTAGATACTTTTTGATGTGTCCTCTTTGCTCTGCGCCGCTCCTCTATATCGAGAAACGAGTCTCGATCAATCATTCATGGCTCCCTGTTCGCTCTTACATCAGAAACTGTGATTCGCTTCAGCCTCAACAGCTGCTATTGAAATAACTATTAGCTCTTACAGTACAGGTACATCCTCACACACACAGACACACACAGACACACACATGTCTAAAAATAGCAGATGACCTCAAAAGCAGGCAGAAATGAACAGACACCACCAGCTTGCACACACACACTCCCTGCGCCTCGTATTCATTATTTACACCTCCTGCTTTTGCGGTGACATAACAGCATGAAACTTTGATCTGCGTTCTCTTAAACCGTCAGCACAACTAACATCTCCTCATCGCTCTTCCTCGTCTCCTTCCATGCTTCCTCCTCTTCCCGCTGCTTCCCCCTCCGCAGGAAGCTCACCCCCACAGGCGTCATCTCCAGCCTCTTCTTCCCTCCTCTTTTTCTGCTCTCTACTCCTCCTCAGCCTCCAGACTCCTCGTATTATACCTTCCTTATCCCCTTAATCCTCATTTCTCCCTCTCTCTCGCTCCCTCAGAAACTTCCTCTCGGTGCTTCTCGCTCATCCATATCTGAATGAGTTTCATTTCCGAGGGCTTTTTTTGCATTTACATGAAACCACAGACAGGGAGTGTACATAAAGTGTGCGCAGAAGAGTGAGCAGACGAGCTATTGTATGGAATATAAAGATGCAATACAGAGAAATGATGTAATTAAAAGCTGCTTAAGTAGCTCTATTAGATGTAAAGTGCAGGAATGCAAGGTAGGAGAGTGTGTCTGTTCAAAAGCAGACTTAACGTAAATGCTTTTATCCGGCTAATGGCGCTTTAATTGCATTTCGAACATGGAAGAGTGCTGCGTTGCACATCTCTTTCTGCTTCAGCGTAAACTCTCAAAGCGTAGCGGCCAGTAGTGCAGGGCCTGCGGTGAAGCTTAACAGCTCCCAGGTGGGAATATGTGTAGAGTATGTAAGGTCGCCGGCGCTGAGACTCACCCGAGGTGGAGGTTAAAAGTTATCTCTGCCTTTCCTTTTCCAGATGCTCCGTGTTCAGACCTGCAGGGATTGCTGTCCGGCCTCCTCCCCGACGCCCAGATCTCCGCCTCCTCCAGCAGGGATATGGTGTGGAGTCCCGGGACGGCCCGTCTGGTGGCGAGTCGCTCGGGATGGTTCCCGGCGCCCGCTCAGCCCCTGGCAGGAGAGGAGTGGCTTCAGGTACATCTGAATGTCCATGACTTTTCCAGGTTTTCCATGACCGTACGAACTATATGATGTTGTCAGACATCTGGGATAACAATCTGAGCCTATCAGATCCACAGTGGGGTATAAATGTCATCTGCTGCCCTTTTTTTGGAGCGTATCCAGGTCTTAATTTCTCCCTCAAAACATGTAAAGCTACTGTTAAACCTCCTTTAACGTCAGTCTGACTTTAATAACTGCTGCCTCGAGTGCATATGTATCATGTGAGAAGTATCCAAAACAACAGCGGTAACGTTACCCCCTCTGTTGTGCTTGGAGTAACTGTTATGACTCCCACGCTGCGAAGGTTTTGTTTGTATCTAACAAGTTGAATGTAAAAACTCTGTCCTCCACATGCTGCTAATCCAGCCGCCAGAGGCAAACAAGCAACAAAACAAGGAGCACAGCTGCAATAAAACAAATCCATATGCTGTTCAGTGCTGAGGATGTTTATTTATGTAATCCTCTAATCTCCACAGGTGGACCTCGGCGTGCCCAAGACTGTGCGTGGAGTGATCACGCAGGGAGCGAGGGGAGGAGACCCAGCGAGCGGAGCGACTACGGATAACCGGGCGTTTGTCAGGAAGTACAAAGTGGCTCACAGCCTGAACGCAAAAGACTGGAACTTCATTATCGACTCCAAGACCAGCCTGCCCAAAGTGAGTGAAGAAGGGAATCGAGTTGAAAGATTAGAGATAAATTTGAGGGTTGATATCGAGAGCAAAAACAGGCAGAATGCAGCCCCGTAGTGAACAGATTCCAGTTCCAGTCCAGAATCAAACATCTGAGTTATAATCCCAAATATGCAAGATTTCCAAACTTCTTTGAATGCATCATCAATGATCACAAACTTTTGAAAAGCTGTTTTCTTCTCCTCTCAAGGACCACACATGCAGGATTTTAAAATCCTGCATGTGGATTCATGTGGATCACTCTTCCTCGGGAGTGATCCCAATTTTAACGGGGAAACCTGAGGAAGCAGACCTGACAACAACTGAATTTGTACTTTTTTACAAACCTACTTTGTTTCTTGAACAGATCACTCAAAAACATGTTTCTTTTTTAGGGATTCATAGGGAGTCATGCCTCTGTGTAACTTCATACTAACAGTGAAACTGAGACTCACTGTGAACAGATTCACATTCTGTCTTCAGGGTTTGTTAAGCGTAAAGGAGTTTATACCTTAGACATATCTGCTCTGCATGACACATGATCTCTGCTGGCTGCACAGAAGTTGGCCGTGATCCTCCTCTGAAAGCCCACGGGTCGAGACGCTGAAGAAACTCCGCTGTAAATATCATCTGATGTGTTTTTCAGACGTTCGAGGGGAACACACACTACGACACCCCAGAGCTGCGTCATTTTGAGGAGATAGTGGCTCAGTTCGTCCGGCTCTATCCTGAGCGGTGGTCTCCTGCAGGGATCGGGATGAGGGTGGAGATTCTGGGCTGTGACCTTCCAGGTAGGACGTCCCTGCAGCTGTTGCTTATATGACAGTTTATATATGATAATTTGCTGCATCCACCGTTCCAGGCTGAATTATTTGCCCCCACGGTCTAATGAAGTCTGCATTAAGCAGAATTGAATGGACCTTGAGGAAAGCAGGAATGCGCGGCTCACATTAGATATGCATGAGAGTCATTAGAGTCTTCTGCCAGAGGTGAAAAGAGACATGGAGAGTTGGCCAAGGAAGAGAAAGCAGTGAGAACTCGACCCTGAGAGGCTTGGATTTTGTTGCACCTGGAAAATATGAGCGAGGCTTCAAAACGAGTGTAACCGTCAGCAGGGGTTGGACAGGGTTTGGTTTAAAGAAATGCATCCCCAGAGAGAGAAAAGAAAGAGAGAAAGACAGAGAGAAAGACAGAGAGAGGAGAGGATTGGTTTGTTCACGTTCCAGCTCGGTCTGTTATCCAGATGTGAGGCCGTGCTGCAGAAACACACATGTGGACTCTCACTGTTTACCACTCCCTCTGTGCCTGAACAGGATGACAGGGCCGAGCAGCACAACACACACACACACACACACACCTCTGTAATCACACCACTATAAACACAAGCCGGGCTATGGTTTCATTTAGGTGATTGATGTGTTTGTGTGCTGCTATGAGTGCTGATGAAGCGCAATGCTTTCTAGCTGAAGAGAAATGTAATATTAAGAAGAGCGTATCTACGTTATGGTTTCACCACGAGAGCGCTGTCAGGTGTATGTCCATCTTTTTTTGTGTTAAAAGATAATTTTAGTCTAGTTAGTAAAACTCAAGACTGATAATAACGACGAGGTCTGAAGTCTCTGAAGCAAACAGCTTCCTGCAACATGTTAGCAGGAAATCAATAAAACAGATATCTGCTTAAATTTAAGGCAGTTGAACATCACAGAGATCCCTTCAATTTCACTTAGATTCAGTTGTTTGTGGACTGGTTTCCCAGCATAAATATGAACCTGATTTTAGAGCTTGGGAATCAAACAAAAGCAAAGCCTGATATCAAATGAAAGCCGACCGTTTTCATCTTACTTGAAGGCAAAGTTTTTGGGTAAAATTAAAATGAAGAGAGCACCAATTCAGAGTATTTTACCATGCTGAACCAAATAAGACTTTTTTTTTTTAACCTTTAAATACACCTACAAAAGTGGGAGTGTCTCATATTTGCAATTTGTTAGTCTAATACAGTGGTTCTCAAGTTCACACCTGATTCAAATGATCAGCTCGTTATCAAGCTCTGGAATGGCTTACTAACGAGCTGATCATTTGAATCAGGTGTGTTGTTTCTGTGACATTCAAAAACTCTAGATTTACTCCCCCAAAAAGTAATTTAACACAAATCCAAGTAAAACTGTGTTATTTCTGTTGTGTTTTACATTTTCAACTTTAATTATTTCAACTGTATTAAAGCTAAGTTTGGTTTTTAAAAAGCCTTTTTCAAAACATCTGAGGTCGTCTTAGTTTTAGGTGAAAACTCATAAAAAACTACATTAAGTTTGATTTGGTTAGTCAACACTGTCTGAACCTCCACCCTTTGGTTTATAAAGAACAAAGCTGATCAACATAGTCTCTAATAAATGTTGAAAAACATAAATTATGAATCAGAGAGTATTTGGATATCTACAGCTCCTGTGAGGGGTCCTGAACTAGTTAGGAAACAGACTGAAATTAATATCGATGCTTCTGACTGACCCATAAAGGCAAACAAGACTATCAGTGATGAGACTGTTTATTTCTATTAAGTATGTTTTAACTACTGCTGCAGGGCAGATTTCAGACGAGGCTTGCATCATGCTGCAGATATTCACATTGAGTGATGTGAAAGATAATTCAAAGAGCTAGATAGAGATCCAGAATAAAACTACCCATGCATGTACAAGAAGAAATGATAGACTGTATAGAGCCGTAGCGATGGTAACTGATTTAGGTCGACTAAGGAAATAGATTCTAACAGGACCAATCTAATGTAAACTAATTGTCAGAAAACTCCTCCACGATAAATATTTGCCATCTCACCATAAACGCGATCATTGAAAGTCGATGACACAAGCCAGAGCGATGGACTCGCAGCCATAGCCCACACAAATCAAAATAACAAACATGGCCGAAGGTGGTAAAGAAGACGTCTTTGAGCAGCTTGTTGCTAAATGAGGCTCCACTTGAGGGATTTCCTTCAAGATTGGGGCTTAGATGAGTCAAAAACATAGACTGGAATTTTTATCGTTATTGCCATGAATTTTCTAGCCTATATCGCCCATCCCTAAACACACACAGCAGGCTTGTTTCTCCATTTCCCAGTGATATATTTGCAGCTTTCTGTAAAGATATATCCATGAATGTCAGTCCAAATCCTTGTCGTACGTTCCTTGCAGACAGTCTCACAGCAGCTCTTTCTTTTTCCAGGCTCGACACTGATTCTCAAACTCGGTGAGGTCACATTCGTTCACAAGCAGCCTGCCTTCACTTTGGTTCTCATGCAACAAATACTTTCCCAGTTAGAGCTCTTCTTGAGTCATGCGCAAGCGAGAGGAACAAAGTTTTGTGCGCTCTTGAAACAAAGCAGTAAAGATGTAACATGGCTTGTGTTTAGAGGTATAATTTGTTTATAGCATTAAGTAATGAAGCAATGTTCTCTGTCAGGGAATAATACAGAACTGTGGTGTTCTGGTTTACGTGCAGCTAATGAAAGCATGATCTCTCTCTCTCTGCTCTGAACACACATGGTATCTGGTTGCTATTTTCCACACACACACACAGGAAACGGTGTGTTTTGCATTTACTGTTCGTAACCTGTGGGAGGTGAAACACAACAATAGATCCCAAAGATGGTGACAAAATGGAAACACAGAAACCTCAGTGTCAGGGATCACCTCTTTCTTTTTGAAGAGGGTGTTTTTTATCAGATGAAGAGGAGGGTTTTCTTTGAGGACATGGCACGAAAAAGCTGCCGTCCAGGGTCACACATTGTTCCTCGGCCTCCAAACTCAGCAGGAACAGTGAGCAGCTGCTGACGTCCTGTAAATCATTCACTTCCTCCGACTCTCAGACCGCTCACGTCCTTTCTTTTCTGTCTTCACTTAAGCCCTCTGTTCTCATTTTTAAGCTCCAGGCTGATGAAATGAGCATATTTTTTTTTTCACCCAAATCTTGCCGATCTCAGTCTGAACACCGCAGCAGCTACCACAGAGAGTCAGAATGAGGACTCTCTCCTCGTTCCTACACATGGTTGCACTTCTGTCTTTTCCCACCCTGAGGCCCGGTGCGTGGGTCCGTAAATGTTTTTGTTCTTTTTTTTCCCTAACCAACTCTCCTCCTCCTCTCCTTCCCTCTTCCTCCCTTACTCATCACCTCCTTTCAGACGCTCTCAAACACACGGCTACAGTGACAGTTTTTGTCGTCTATCTGCTACAAATATGAAAAATGTATGAGCTCAGGATTTTAGAGACTCATCTGTGAGGAGGAAAAAAAAATGCAAAATACCCCCCCGCTGCCGTCTTCCAGGAAGGATCATTTGAGTCTCAGGTGTGCGATATTGCAGTACTCATCCATGCATATGCACACCTGTAATGTAAACCTCAGGTGTCAGAGCTTTTCTGCTTTCCTTTAAATCTCCCTAAATACGCCGGAGCAAAGTAAACCATACGTATTTAAGCTTTTTTTATAAGCTCTTTATGTCACTGCCTTCATAATATCCAATCCTCAAGAACAACCTCTCTGTGTCTGTGAAGATTAGACATGTTGTAGTGACGTTTTTTTCTTCTCCACTTTTAATGCTCACGTTTTAAGCACCATCAAACACAGAGCAGCCATTTAGACATTTGTAGTAATGTTATTAAGAAGTATAATATTCCTGGATCTCTTAAAATCAAGCAGCTGTGTACGCCATAAAACAACCGAAACACTTGTGCTAAGAATTAGGAATGGGATAGGATTTTACTGATAACAGAGCCATTAAGGACATCATGCTATCATGAGTTTTATTACCCTCAATTCTCAGCAGAGACGGGGAAATCTGGCTTCTGGTTTGCGCTGATTGCCTGTTGCAGTAAGTCACATCGTTGTTTTTGCGAGGTATTCAGGGGAGAGTGGAAGGAATCGATGCGTCACTCTTTAGGCATCGTGGAAAACATTGTTGATGGCTCGAGTTCAGTCCATATTCAGAATATTCGTCTTTATTTTCATTAAAAAGTGTGACTCTTTAAATGATAATAGACTAGTTTTGCTTGAGCTGCAGATTTTTCGTGAAAGTTGAAAATTTTCGCTGCAAAAACTTGTATCCTCCTGAGTGCATTTGTGCAATTTTAGATGGATTTGTCATTACACTTAATTGAAATCAATAGTGATGCCTTCTTGTGACCTGTCGTAGCGAACAACAAGTGTATCAGCAGCAAGATTTTACGAAGACGAACGCTGCCCTGAGGGTGACCAGGTGTTTTATCATCAATTTGATCAATTTCCAGGTCTTATAAAGTATGGAAAATTAAAAAATAAAGTATGAAAACTATTAATGTTTCCAGACTTCCAGACTAAAGTAGGTATTTCTAAAAATAATTCTAAAAAGTAGGGTATGGAAAAAGTATGGAAACCCTGGATTTACTTGACTTTAACAATTTAGGATCAGCAAACAGGACAGACTTGATCCACAGAGGGCACCAACAGTAACACAAACTGATGGATCCTTAGAGGAGATAAGAAAAACCAGATTCACCACTAAATTCACATCTGCCTTTGCAGTAATTGGTTGTTTTTTCTTAAGTAAGACTTCATATTTAGCAAACTTGCTCTGATTTTTCGTTTTAGTTTTTGCAGCGGACCTGAATTTAGATTTTCTTCCCAGCAGCTAAAAGCAGCACCGTCCTCCCTCTGCACGCTGCTGTTTCAATAAGAAAACTCCAATTTTAAAAAGCTGTTAAATGAAGATATCAGATTGTTTCATCACCTCCTGATACTCGATGCTGCATTTCTGATGAGTATTTTAAGGACTCCAGCAGGACTGGTCTATGATACGAGCACTTAACCCCACCCTGCAGAGCATCAAACAAAAGCTACTTGTCTTTCTCATCATGTTCGTTTTGGGTGTGTGAACGTGCATGGATGCATCGATTCATCAGTGTGTGTTTGAGTGTGTGTGTGTGTTTGTGTGCGCCATGAGGACTGCCAAGTAGAGATTTACAGAAAGGCTTTCTACATAATTGAAGGTTTTTTTTCTTCTCTGACATCCTGCTGAGTCAGATTCTTGGGGGTGAGCGATGTCTTTTATGCGGGGAGAGTTGGCCCCTGCCATCCAATGCAGGCGTGTTTGGGTGTCTGTTATAAAACAAGCATACAAAAGCATTTATCGGAGGGTGTGGATGTGTGTGTATTACTACAAAGACGTGTGTGTGTGTGTGCACTAACATTATCTATGCCAGCAGCTCCCCTGAGTCCAGCTCTTAAGTGATGGTGTCTCATCCCCTGCATGATGATGACTTGCATCATCACCTGCAGCAGCAGGCACATTATGTAAGACAACACTCCTCTGCAGAGGGACTTTTCCTGCATTACAAGGCCTTCTGCTGCGCATATACATGAGGACCCGCCAGTGCAAACCTGACCTTCTCCCACATCTGTGTCACATGTCAAGGACATGGCTCGGGGCGTTTTAGGCAGGCCTCATACGTTTGAATCCCACACAAACACACACACATCCACAAGAAATTAGTCCTATTCCCATTGGCCCCGACACTCCTGTCACACCCTGGAAAGGTCAGCACATTTACACTGTGACAAGGCCTGACCTTTGAGAGTGCTCAGGAGCTGAATGGAATCTTAATGGACTCTTGTTTACGCAGGAGTGTGCGTGGAACTGGCGCACAGGTAATGCGGTTTATTTTAACGCTTGTTCGCACATATTAAAGGGTAGTTCTGGTTTTCCTACACCTGGATCCTATCATTGAACGGTTCGGGGGTTGAATGTCAAATATGAGGGATGAATGGTAGGAACTGAGCCAAAAGGTCAATATTTAATATTATTTATTATCCCTATTATACAGCTAATCTTGGTATCTAGTTAGGTTTTTTTTTTAGGTTTTTTTTTATTTTAGGTTTTTTGTAGTGTGTTGTTAAGCCCTTTGGGTATCTTGAAAGGCACTATACAAATGTAAGATATTATTATTATTATTATTATTATTAATCTATAACCAATAACAGTTGCTTTTATTTACTTAATTTTTAGACAAAAACAGACAAGTTATATTTTTTGGTACGGCTCTGTTTTGAGAGCTCCCTGTCCTTCCCCGTGTGTTCGTGGAAAGCCATACCCTCTGGTTCGTGTTAGGGATGCACCGATCCGATATTTGGATCGGGTATCGGCGCCGATATTGACAAATTAACTAGATTAGATATCTGATGAATGACGCCAATCCAGCGTTCCGATCTAGTCTTTGTTTTCTTTCAATTAATTTTTCTTTTAGTACATGAAAGTCTTCCTTCTTTTTGTTGTGTGCTAATGTGCAATTTGTTATTTATTTTATATATAAATATATAATAAGGCTAATGTCAAGCCTGATGCCTTCACTCACAGGGTAAGGTATACAGTTCATTCATTCAACCGTAGTATTGGATCAGTATCGGATATCGGACGATATGCCAAACCCAGAAAACGGATCGGACTGGATCGGAAAAAAATGGATCAGTGCATCTCTAGTTTATGTGCCAAGACAGAGAGAGCAGCTGCAAAGACCTCTGGGTACAAACAGTACAGCTGACACAGCATGAAAAGAGGAGCTGGTGCGGAGGGGGGAGGGGTTGCAAAAGCAGTAACAGCCATTAAATTGCTCTTTTTTTTTTACTGCCACCAGATTCCATCAGTTTGACGCCACATTCCTTTGAAGCTGCTTGTGAGAAACTGCGTGTGTCTGGTGTGTGTGTGTGTTAGTAAATGTAAATATGGACATTCAAGACACTCTTGGGAGAGTAACTTGATATCTGTTTCTAGATTCAAATCTCACATGTTTTCTGCAGATTTATGGCACACTTTTGGAAATATAAAACTCATCCAGCATGAGAGGCGGACTTTAGGGACCTGCCTGTCTTGCATTTGAAAACAGAAAGTAAGAGGTCTGACGGTTGCTTCCCGAGCCTCACCTTCTCAGTGGGCCGGCAGCGATAAGAGTCTCATTAGGTAGTTAATGACAGGCATAAAGGACATGACATTAACGCTGGGTTAATGTCAGAAACCGTCACCAGCTGTGGCGGACTCTTTCATGTGTGCCATTTCTCCAGCTGGGGTGCCGTCGCGCTGGTTTCCCCAGGAAGTTCCTGTTAGTGGATCAATTGTGCATCACGCCGGTTTTGTTGCTCTTGGTGCCTTTTCATACTCTTTAAATGATAATAGTCGTGCAGAAGGAGCAGCAGGAGGCTCTGGTTGTGCTCCTAACAGCCGTACAGTAGAGTCTGCGTGGAAATGAGTCCATTTGACCGTTTTCTGTTCAGAATTATGAGCTCTGTCGCACCAGGCGTGCAAAGCTGTTCGGCTACGCTCAAATGGCACTTGTCAGGGGGAAGCAAACCGAGCAATTTTAAAATTAACATTCCTGAGTGGTCATAAATGCCAGGACGTAAAAAACGAGCTGCAAAATATCTGGCGTAAACATGTCTGAGATAACTTGTTGCATGGTTAAACTGGCTAAAATCAAGGGTTAGAAAATCTCACGCTGTGTACTCGCATGATAAATTTGAAAGTTTGGTTTTGACGTGACCCAAACTCTGTGTAAACTCCCATATAACACCAGCGTGGACGCATCTGCTCCTAATAACAGTCCCTTCTCCCGCTTCACATTCCAGCCGCAGCCTGCTCAACACGTGTCGGCTCCTGCACACATGCGATGGATTTTAATGAGCAAATTGTTGGCGTATTGATGCATCAGTGTGCTGTCTTCATCCTTTTTTGTTATACATGTGCGCTTAAATTGATATTAAGGGTAAAAGGACTCGTGTTTTTTCTCGAGGTTCTATTCTGGGAGCCTCACGCCCACAATGGTTCACCACGCAGGCAGGAGAAAAGTGTGAGAAGACGTGTGTGTTTGCTTCCTGACAGCCAGTGAGCGCTTCCCAGAGTGTGATCATCCCCTCCAAGGTCGAGGGGAGTTAGTTAGACACATCCATCCATCAGCTTTAGCCTGGGCGCTCTGCATACGTGTGTGTTAAAGCATTTGAACTTGTGTGGCTGCAGCAGACGCTGAAGCCTGAGCGCCGAGACACAACAAGACTGAGGGCCCCTTTGGGTGCTGTGGGGTTATCTGCGCTTGCTTCCGCACAGTGGGTGGGATGGTCAGAGAGGCAGGAGACAGGCGCAGTGAGTTTCAGACGATGACCTCAGGCTCAAGAGTTTAATTTGAGCTTAAATACACGCTTGTGATACGTTTATATGCTGATTCAGGATTGAAAATAGCTCAAAATTGTAGTGTCGCTCTTTAGAAGCTCCTCCTCTCCTGCTTTTCAAGCAAACTTTAACTATTCAGCAGAAAAACGAAATCTAAAGGGAAAACACTGGACTCATATTGACTGCAGTGATTAAAAAAAGGTGTCTCATGGTGGTTTTATGTGTTGCATAAACTGCAAACAAAGCAGCAAACGCTCATGAAGTTTAAGTCACAGTGAAGAAATACTTGTGGAGCAAATCTGCAACCCAGATGGATTTAGAATAAAACTGCAGTAGTGCCAGTTTAACACCTCTATCTAAAGTTAAAGGCCAAAAATTTACCTTAAGGTCTGAAGAATAAACCTACAGACGACCAATCTGGATCAAGACAAATTTCCCTAAGGGGGAATAAAGTACATTGAATCGTATCATATTGTATCGTATCGTAATATATAAAGTATCACATATCATATCACAGCATATCATATATCGTTTCCTATATCATATCATATCATATCCTACACTGTATCGTATCATATATCGTATCGTATCGTGTACCGTACCGTATCGTATTATATTGTATTGTATTGTATTGTATTGTATCGTATCGTATATCGTATCATATCACATCGTAATATATAATGTATCGTATATCATATCACATCGTATCACATATCATTTCCTATATCATATCATATCCTACACTATATCGTATCATATGTCATATCATATCGTATCGTGTATCGAACCGTATCGTATCGTATTGTATTGTATTGTATTGTATCGTATCGTATATCATATCATATCGTATCGTAATATATAATGTATCGTATATCATATCACATCGTATCATATATCGTTTCCTATATCATATCATATCATATCCTACACTGTAACGTATCATATTGTATCATATCATGTATCGTACCGTATCATATCATGTATCGTATTGTATCGTATTGTATCGTACCGTATTATACAATGTATCGCGTATCATATCACATTGGATCATACATCGTTTCCTTTATCATATCAAATCGTATCATATACTGTATCGTATCATATATCATATCGTATTGCATCGTATCATGTATCGTATCGTGTCGTAGCGTATTGATTCATATATCGTATCGATTTGTATCATATTGTAAGAAACAGATTTTAATCTAAGTGCACCAGTCTACAGGACATAGGATCAGCAAAAAGGTCCCGTTAATGGTCCAGTTTCTAAGATGTGATCCAGTTTTTTAAACTAAAACACTCCAAAGTTGGCCCTTCCTTTTTCTGTAGTTTTTGAGTCAACTGCAGAGATGATTAAAACCACGAGGAAAACACTGGATTGAGTCGGCAGATGATATTTACTCACTGTCAAAGAACCAGAACCCTCTGAATCAGTTCTGTATCATTTCAGGTTAAGACTTTCCACTAATCTTCTGTTTGCATTTAAGATTGAAATAAAAATGGAAATTTAAAAGGGAAAAAAAGTCAATAGTAGCGTCATCTTAACATCTGATTTCATTCCCAGTGTTTGCAGAGTCAGCAGGTGGAGAATAAAGTCAAAACGCCAAGACAAACATCTGACAATAAACTCTAGAGGCTGAGAACAAAGATCTGATGTTAAGAAATGGATCAGAATTGTGAGTTTGAAGCCAAAGTGTTGAAAATAAACTTTAAGTTTCAGGACTCCAGTCAAACTTTCTCAAAGTTTGTTTTTGCTTTTCAATTCCACATCAAAGTAAATCCTCTTTTCCTTTTACACTCGTTTACCTCATCCTCCTGTGGATTAAACTCACCTGTCAGCAGTGCGGTCCAGCTGTTTCTTTGTCTTAATGCTACGCCAAACCAACCAGCTACATGCTCTAGATTCATAATTACTGCACAGACGTATCCGTTTCAGCGAAAACTAACAAATGTGGAGCTTTTTTTTTTCAAGCAAATCACATCCATCAGCTTTGACAAAAACTATAAGCAGCTCAGCTCTAAATCTAGATCATGAGAACAAGGCCATAAAGACACTTTACCTCATTACTTTCTTTTTTTTGCGCCATTGTTGCTTATCACTTCCTCTCACATCTGCGTCCCCGGCCCTCCAGAGGAGAAACTCCCTATCAGTAATCTCTTAAACAAACACAGAGTGATTAATGCGTCCTCTTTACAGTCGTGTAATGTCTGATGATTGTTCCAAACATCCACCTCTGACCTCTTTGTGTTGTGTTTGTGTCTGCAGAGACCACCACGCCAGCTGACACCGTCACACCGACCCTGCCTGCCGACACTGAGACGACCACGGTCCCCGTTACGACCACAGGTGAGAGCAGAGAGAGTGATTTGTATGAAGCCAAAGAAAGCTGCTTAATAGTGTCATTAGGTAGCCGTAATAAAAAGATGAAAGCTTTAGAGGAATGTATGACTTTATTTAGAGCAGCTGTGAATGCCTCCTTATCTCAAATGGTTTTTTACACCTCTTGGCTCTCGCTTTGACAACCTTTCTCCTCGTTTTTTTTTCTCTCTCTCTCTCCACTCCGCAGCAGCCACGTCTCTTCCATCAGACACTGTGTGCGACTTTGACCACGGCCTGTGTGGGTGGACTCACGACCCCAACGCCCCTCTCTTCTGGTCTCTGCACAGCCACGGTGAGTCTGCTCATCAGTCATGTGAAAACTCGGCGTGAATCACCTCCGCCGTCTGGTTAGCAGCGACTCGGAGCTGCTGCGGGCGCTTTATTCTCGAGTAGGAAATATTTGATGGACAGAGACCTGCGGGGTTTGTTTTGAAAATGTTCATATTTTCAGGAACTTTCCTTTCACATTCAGAGATCATCGATGTTGGACGCGCTCTCGCAACTCGTACATGCAAGAGAGAGAGAGATTGACAATACAAAAACAACAGTCGAAAACAAAATATCAACAACCGAAGAGAGAGAAACATCATCTCACCTCAGTTTTTCACATACCGCGATTGAGCGAGCTGGCAGGAAAAAGCCCAGACGAAGTTGGGCGTGAAGCGGGCGTCTGTTTGCATTCACACGTGCAGCCCACTCGGGGAAAAAACTCAGGAAATCTTTAGGGGTTCAGAGCATGTGTGGAAAAGGCTTTAGTCCAAAATCACAGAGGAAGTACAGTATTTTTAAACCATGGCTCTATTCTTACATGGTCCAGGATCTGAAGGAGATTGTGTTTGCCAGCAGCTGGGCCGTCTGGACCTTAAATATACGGCGTGTCAGCAAATCTAGATGTCTTAAGATGATATTAGAGTCAGCAGAAGATACTTTTATCGTATCCTGACCACTGCATGGCATTCTTGACCTCAGCAAAGGAATACAGTGATTTTTTTTTTCCTGCAAAACTAGTGATAGGAGATGTGTGGACTAGGAATGGGCACAATTAAACAATGATTGATTAATTGATTGTTAAGAATTACGTCGATCACGCAAAAATTCGATCGATCTAACATTATTAAAAACGTCTGACACAGATACCCTCTTTGTCCAGTCAGTGAGTGTGTGTGTGTTGAAGCAATGCAGACAATCATAGCGCAGAATGATTTTGCCATTTTACAAGGGAAGTGATACAGCGTCAGTGGGCTTCCGTGGAAGTTTAAAAAAACACAAAGAAAGCGAGATGAAGCGTGACCATTTCGAGCGGAAAAATGACTGCGATGCACTAGAAAAGCAGCTCATGTCCGCCCTTAAACAAGAAATGTCCTGACCGGGATTCGGACCCAGGACCTTCTGGTTGTGAGGCGACAGTGCTAACCACTACATCACTGTACCGCCTATCTACACCACTCTGCCGCCCATGGGTTATCTTTCAGTATTGAAAATTCCAACAACAATTTAATGGGATCCTCCTGGGGCTGAGACGCACCTCTGGTGAAAATTTCAGGTCAATCCGTCTGTTACTTGCTCCGTAAAGTTGCTAACAGACAAACAAACAAACCAACGCTACCGAAAACATAACCTCCTTGGCGGAGGTAAAAACACGACAACGACCACAATGATGTACCAATGATGAAGCCTCCAAGTTCTCTCAGTCTCAACCTAGCTCCTTGCTAGCAAAGAGGATCTGTAGGGTGACCAGACATCCTTGATTTCGGGGGACAGTCCCTGTTCTGGATGACCAGTCCCCGCTAAAGTTGTCCCCAGAAATGTCCCTGATTTTAGCCGTCCATGAATGAGAAACAAAACAACGGTTATTAAAGTAGCCGGGTAGGCAGGAAAAGCGAGTGAGCATGTAGCGTGTATTTTCTGCCATTCGATGATTGTTTGTTAATTTACATGATTAATCGATTTATGGGTTTTCTTAAAATGCCTGTTCCTAGTGTGGACGACATCTGGTTGCTTTCAAATGTGACAGTTTATCTCTTTTTGTCACTGTGAATGACAATCTGATGTTCAAACGGACACATTCAGTAGTCAAACTTTGAGCTCTCAGACTCTGAGACGCATAAAAACAGCCGCTAGGATTCCCCTCTGTGTATTGTTGGTTTTCTCTAAAGGTGCAGTTATCTGCTCACAGTTGACTTCACTTAAGTTGTTATTTTGTTGTCGTTGGTTTCTCCATCAGCTTTTAAAACGGCAGCATGTTTGTCGCAGAGCTTTTGTGTATGCAGCCGCAGATAATGTCATTTGGGCCGGGAAAATTGCACGAGCACAAATGCATTAGGTTTATTCTATCAACTTCACCGAGTCTAGACGCGAGACATTGTTTTCTATAATTAAATAGAATCATTCTCCATGTGCATCTTCATTGGGTCCATTTTCAATTTGATTAAAATAATTCCTTAAATTGAAAGCGGTCTCATTTAGCGGCGACATTGTCTGCCGGTAAGCCGCGCCGCTCCCTCAGTGGGGGGAAAAAATGAGTCGAGTCTGAGGAGAAGAGACGCCGCTGTCATGTTAAGCACATACAGCTGCAAATGTCAGACATGTGACATTCAACACGCTTGCCTCTGAACGCGAGGAAAGGGTTAAAGCCCGGTAGCTCCAATTAAGTTCAGAGCAGGAGACTCCACAGACAGGCAGTTATTCCCAACCGTCCGTTACTGGCCCTTTGTTACCTCAGGCACATCCCAGATGATGCTGTCGACTTCATCTACTCACACTCTCCTTGAAGGAATAATTATTCGTTTTCCCCTCAATGCGGATCAAAAGTGCAGCTTTTGGCGTGTTATTAAAAGCTGTTATAGATGTTTCCTGCTGGGTTTTTTTAAAGGGCTGTTTATAATCTTTCAGGTCTAAGCCGTCGTTATCCAAACCTTGTTGGACTTCTAAGAAAGTTTCCGTGAAAGATTCAGTGTGTTTCTCCAGCTGCGGGGAATTAAAAAAAAACGATCTGGTGTTTGTGCAAAGTTGTGACATCACCTCTGTCAGGTTCAGCGAGGCAGGAGATCCGAAATTCTTCCCCGAGCGAGACCTATTTTGGTCATAACCGTCTCTGACAAGACCGCTTCAAAGCGGCGTCTTTCATCATGTAAGTAGTTAGTCAGCTTTCGGCTTTCATGTTCATGAGTATCACATGCAGCCGTTCTGACACGCAACGCCGGCCTTTGATTCTCCTGCGCGGGTCAGAGGTCAGAAATCCCAGCCAACACAAGATCGTTATTTCACTGCTATCAAATCACCTTTTAATCCCCTGTAGGATCTCTTTCCCGTGTGACCCAGAAACGCTGATCTCCTCACCTCCTGACCTCGGCCATGATGGCGGTAATTAGGCGCAGAGGCAGAATTAGCCACTGTGTACTGTATTATTATGACTTAATGTCCCCCTGCTAGTAAAAAGTGTTAACTAGGCTTCATAGATAGAATCCTTGTTTGCTTCTCGCTGCAGGAGACCGCTGTGAAATGGATTAATAATGCTCTGTTGTGCCGCGTACTGCGAGGCGGTCTCGATTATGAGCTGTCTGGCGAACAAGAGGCGCAACAATGGGGGGTTCGCTGCGAGACGCCGTGCTTCAACGAGGCAGAGGAGGCATAAAAATGAGTGATAAAATGCCTCGTGGAGTCACAAATATGTTTCGCTCGCACACCAAAAAGAAAAAACGTCTAATTTGCAGCGAGAGAGTACACACTCGACACACACACAGACTTAACTCCAGAGCTGCGAAGGGCCGAGGGACATTCTGTCACACACACTGTCTGAAGTGTCACACACAGGCGAGTCTGGGCGTATGGCGGGCAGAGGGGAGCTGTCAAGTCGCAAGGAAGATTCATCCCTCCAGATACCGCTTGTCGGATCTGCCGGAAAGACCGCACACACAAGTGAGCTCAGCGAAAGGTTATCGACCCAGGCAGTCAATAACTGGAGCATGGCTGCGCTAAAAAAACACACACAGAGGGAGATACTCTGGGTGAAGAAGCAGACGCTGCGCTGGGGAAGATTCAAACTGCTTTTGGGTAATTGTTATCGTCTGGAACAGAAGACTGCGGATCTTCCAAGTAGAGTCAGAGTGTAACAGACGACAACAAAATTAATCTCTAATCATCAAGAAATATACTCAAACTTTATCTCAATCAATCCAGAAAGCTGAGGTGGATTTCATGAAATGCAAAAGTTGCAAAAAGTTTTTCAAGACACCAAACTGTTTCATGGAATCCAAATTTATGAAAAGTCAAAATCATTTTAGCACGTACGAAAAAGTTATTTCAACATATGCAAATGTAATTCAAGAAACCCTAACTTTGACCTCTTATAACCTTTCGTCATGATCGCGCAACTGCGAATGACCTTGTAAGTCTTACAAGTTTTATGTTTAGGCACAAAGCTACCCTCCAAAAACCTGGTGGAGAGTCAGCGATGTCAGAGAATGATGGAGAAATGTTCAAAATCTTGTTAAAAGATGAAAATACAGCAGAGTGAGTCTGTACGTGACACTGAGTGTGACTGTGAGAACAAGAATTTCTGCTCACACTTCCTTGGAAAACACCTGAAATGCCCCCCCTGATTCACTTCGGAGTTCTTCGTCCTTGCTTGTGAGAAAGAAAAGCACGGCGTAACTTTAACACACACACACACACACAGAGCTGCCCATGATAAAGCAGGTGATTTAATCTGCAGATTGTTGATACTGGACTTTTTCCCACAGGGCCCACTTAAGAAATTCTTCACCAGACGCCTCTTTCAGTAACTCTCTCACACACACTCACACACATGCCTACTGTAGACTCACCAATCTCATTCTCTCACAATAGAATTCATGTCAGCATCCAATTTGCAAACTAAACATCCTCTGGTGTAAACAAATGGAGTGGCGTGGCGTTTTGTTGGACTTTTCCGCTGCTCAAGTCACCTGGAGGGGGGGATGAAGAGAAAAAGGCCCCGAGGGTCTTGGCTGGAGAATTCGTAGCGCTCCGCGTTCGAACGCCGCTCTCCCTGAAACCCATTCTTCTGCGTGTTTATATTTGTCATATCCCCTATTGTTCAGCGTGACTATTGTGCTCATGGTGATTCCGTTCCTGCTCACAACCTGTGATTAGTTCCTTTTTTTGTTTGTGAGTCATGTTGGGGATATTTGCACTTACTGTATCTGTTGTATATGTACCTGCCTCTGTCTCTATGAGCAAACAGAGGTGATTAATGGTTATAATTGTGCAGCCGCGCTTTATCTCAACGTGCTCCACAAACTCATTCCAGCAGCATCCGTTCACAGCGGATATCAAAAGTCTACACAGCCGCTCAAATTCAGTTTTTTTTTTTTTTTTCAGCCTCCAGGGCAAAATGAAAAACCCATTAAATCTGACTTTTTCACTTTCATTTGACTCGAGCAACCAGAAAACTCAAGGTTAAAACAAAGCGCTGCTCTTTTTTGGCAATGTGTCAGGGTTACTAAAACAGCTTTGCCGTAAATTGTTTCTGCTAAACACTTCAAATATTTTTTATTTGATCTTACATTCATGTAAGCTCATCTAATTGGATTTTTCAAAAGTGAGTTTTCACACATGGAACCGTTCCAGATGCAGGTAAATTGAAAGTAAAAAAACAAAAGTTTGGTGTCGGAATCAGAATCTCTTTAAAGGCCACTTTTAGACGGAAATGGTCTCCATAGAAAACGGAGGGGGGTCCGTTTAGACGGCAACTGCGTTTTCAGGAGATAAAAACGTAACAAAGTGAAAACCCCCTCCAGAGTGGAAATGTTGTAAATGCTCTGCTAGTCCCGCTTTCGTCTAAAGTACAAAAATGCTGAAAACAGTCAAACCTGTGACGCCATGGCTCACGTTTATGACATCATAGCCATGCGCAGCTTCCTTGAAAATAACAACAGTAGCCATGCTAGACATTCGAGTCGCTCTGTCGTTATTATTGAACGGGAAGGAGCTCAATTTCAACCTGTACAGAATCCTCACGGATTTGTTTAAACACAGCATAAAAACTGAAAACAAAACAGCACTTTTCCGTTTTCTATGGAGACCGTTTCCGTCTAAAAGTGGCCTAATTGTCCCAAAAGGGGAATAAGTGTTGCAGCAGGAGCACACAAAGACAGGGTACATAGTGAAAATACTGTAAGAGTGTTTGCTTTTACACAAAGCATTGTGATTGAAATCTAATGTCATGCATTTTCAGTCATAAATATTTGGGATTAACAGACATTTAATTCAAATCAGTTTTAAATCTTTGAAGTTGCACTGGGGCTCCAACAGAACATCCTATTAAAGAATAAAAAAAAATACCAAAAATGTACTAGTATAATATGCTAAAAATATCATAGTATAGTCCAATATAAATGTCATAATATAGTCTGATAAATATTATATTATTGTCAGGGACTGGCTATGGCTAGAGACTCAAATGCAGACCCAAGGTTGCAGCAGGCAAAAGATATGTTTATTAACAGTCCGGGTTCGGTACATAGTCAATAGTCCAATGGGCAGAGGTATCCAAATCACAAGGCTAAGGCAAATCCAAAAGACACAAACAAGGTCAGAATCAGGCTATGAAAAGACAAGGCAAAATCCTGGAAGGCGACTGAAGTTTGACAAACTGGCGACAAGACTGTGAGAGACATAAGGGGACATAATGGGAGTGATGGGATGCAGGTGGGGAGGAACTATCAGTAGACAGGTGTGACAAGAAGGGGGCGGGGCAGACAGGAACACATCTGAAACAGAGACAGGGGTTAGTGACTTCAAAATAAAACACACAGGAGACATTAGACATAAAATGGAGACATAAAATAAACAAAATAAAGATAACTTGACCCTGGTCATGACAATTATAGTGTGAAAAAAATGTCTTAGTGCAGTGGTTCTCAAGTCCAGTCCTCGAGGCCCACTGTCCTTCATGTTTTGGATGTTTCTCTGCTCCAACACACCTGATTCAAATGATCAGCTCGTTATCAAGCTCTGCACTGGCTTACTAACGAGCTCATCATTTGAATCAGGTGTGTTGGAGCAGGGAGAATTGGAGCAGCAGGCTTTCTGCTTTCTCCCCTCATTTTGAAAGGGTTAATAGAATAATTGGATGATAGCAGGGACCTCCCAGTCTATAAAAATCTAAAAGCTAAAACAGAGAAAGTGTCAAAGTCAGTGTCTAAACTTGTGGTCCATCCAGGTTCTGCCTTAATGAAGTGTAAGAACTGAAACGCTTCATCCTGAACAGCACACATGCTCTTAATTTGAGCCTTTTACCGCACACTCCCTCTGAGTAACATAAAGTCATGTTTCATCTTATCTCCCCTCCCCCTGTCCAGAGCTCAACAGTTACCTCTACATGGACGCCAGTCTGAAGACAGAGCAGCAGCAAGCCAGACTAGTCAGTCCTGTCGTGGCTGCCGACACCGGGCCTCTCTGCCTCCTCTTCTCCTATCAGCTGTCAGGAGAGGCTCAGGGCCACCTAAGGGTCCTGGTGCGGGACGCTCACAACGAGGAGACTGTGGTGTGGACGCTTCAAGACGATCAGGGCCCTGTCTGGAAGGAAGGTCGAACCATCCTGCCTCGCTCCCCTAAAGACTTCCAGGTAATAAAACCGCTCTTTCTGTGAAATCAGCTGGTGTGAAAAAAAAAAAGTGCAAATGCGAAAAAAGCTTCCGGCCAATATGAGCGAGCGTTATTAAAGTATAAATGTGTATCTGGGTCAGACCCTTTATTATACAGCTCCCCAGATAGAGAAACATATCTTTAATGTCTTTATCAGCGTGGAAAAAAAAAAAGTGATCCTCGTCTCTGCGAGCTTATGAAAGCTCCGCTTCTAACCTCTCTGTCACCTTAGGCCAGGTTTGACTTCAAAAGCCGCCAAACTAAGTCACGCAGTCTCTGTTGGCTGCGTGATTGTTTGGCGCATTTGTCAGAGACATCACAGGCAGTTAACGTTCTCATGAAAAAGTAAGTTGAAGCGAAGGAGCTTGCAGAGACGCGGAAGAAGATTGCAAGTGTCGAGTGCAACTTTGAAATCGCAGGAACAGTATTAAGTTTTCATCCTCTCTCTCTCCTCCTCCTCCTCCTTGTCCCCGTTTTTCGATTCGCCTCCACCCCTCTGCTCCCTCTTGACTTCATCCTGTGCGTCTTCCTCTTCCTCCTCTTCTTTTTCAACTTCCTCCCTCCTCTTTCCTCTTCCTCCCCCCCTGTTCTGTTCTGTTCTGGCTGCGGTAGGTGGTGATGGAGGGTTTCTTTGTGCACGGCACCAGAGGACACATCTGGATCGACAACATCCACATGAGCTCCAGCATCCCTCTGAAAGAGTGCACACGTAAGTCTCTCACACACGTATTCACTCTGTGACAGGAAACTTAAGTTTGAAAAAGTCTGAATAGCTGAATAACTCAACCTATCATGCATCTATTTGACCCTGTTATCCTCTGTCACCTGTCTCGCCTTGTCACCCTGCCCTCCATCAATCTGCCGTCTGTCTACTTCCTCTCCGCATCCGCCACTTTTAGCCCTAAGGTCCTTGAACAGTGGCGCACACGAAGCGATAAACACCCCAGTTTCGAACACAGCGAAGAGCCCACCAAACACGGAGATGAAAGGAGGAAGGAGAGGGAGGGACAGCGTTTATTCCTGCACAAAAAAAAAGAAAAAAGAATAAGAATAGTAAAACTAGGCCATAAACGCCCTGTGGGCCCCAGCGATGCTAATCTATGTTTCATTAGATTCCTCTTCTTCTCCTTTCCTCTATCTCTCTCCTCTGTCGTATTTGTAAACAGAGCTTTTCCCCGAGCCGTCAAAGGGAATTACTAGACAGCCTGTTTCCCAAGCAAGTTTCTGGGTGCCTGCGCGGTGCGAGCCGAGCGCCAGCAGAGCCGCCTTAATCTGGCCAGAGCAGGAGCTTTGGAGAGGGTCTTAAACAGATCAGAGAGCGAGCCGGGGGTGTTCTGGGCCAAAAACCTTACCGTCATCACATCTGACTGACGTCCAGTGTGCGTTAGAGCCGGACCACAGAGGAAGGGGAGCAGGAAGTGTGTTGTTTAGGGAAAGTGTTCGGCTGCAGAGTGTCGCTTCACCTCTGTTTTAGAGTGTTTTATGTGTAGTAAGTACCCTACAGGACACACCAAGATCAGCTGATTGAGAAAGGAGGTGGTAGAAGAGATCATGATAGGTTATATCTCCAGTCTGATTTGATTCAATGAGCTAAGTTACGTACCTTGATGAATTTTTACTTTTTTTAAAAATGGGTGCTTAATTTTTCCTCAGATCCCAGCAAAAGATATGACAAAGACAGATTCAGAGGAGAGAGAGACTTCACAAGGAGAAATATTTCCTCTAACCCAACATTATTTCATGATGAGCATAACTTATCTGCAGCCAATGCGACTCATGACAACTTTATTCCAGTAACAGTTCACCAGATGTTCGAATGTTTGAGAGCCGTTCAAGTTACGTCTGTCGTCAAACAACTGTCCTGGACTCGCCTTCAGAATAAAAGCATAAAATTAAAACAAGAGTAGGTTGATAAAAAGACAGCCCTCTACTTTGAGTGTTTGTGCGTCCGTCAGTAGACATGAAACTGCATGAAGGTGATTCGCTGTAAAACACATAGCAGCTGGAATGGTAAACATCTCGACCCAATCCTCCCTCTGCTTTTATGCGTCCCTCCCTCCCTCCCCCTCCGTGCCACTCCCAGGGCGTTCTGGGATGCCGCTTATCACCCGACGCAGTAGAGTTTTAGCACAGTGTGTTGGCAAAGACGCTAAAAGGTGCCAGTTCCCACGTCGGTTTCCGTCTTTCTAACACAAACTAAGACACATACACACTTACACACACACACACACACACGTACAGCAGCTCTTTGTGTTTGCATTCCAGGCAATCAAAGTGAAGGTTCTGCTCAGTGCATTCGCAGCACGCCAACCCCCCCCACCCCACCCTGCCCCCACAAGTTTAACTGGACTACGCTGATAAACAACTTGAAATGCATGAACTTTGTGAACGTACACGTCGCACAGCCCATCTCGAATTCCCAGCTCACACAATGCACAGTGTTTGAAATTGCATTTTAGCAAAGGAGGCGAGTAAATGCCATAACTCATGTGAGTTATCTGAGGAATTAAGTTAAATTTCCTCAGGAGGAGTTTGATAGTCTTGTGACATTTCTGTGACATTTGGCTGACTTTTTCCCTCCTATTTAAAGTTATCTAACAGACTCTCTGTCTCTCTCTCTCTCTCTCTCTCCCTCTCCCTCTCTTCCGTCTCTATGTCTGCCTGGCTCTCTCTGTCCTCACAGAACCCTTCACAGCATTTCCTCCTGAAAGCCCAGGTGAGTCCCTCTTCATGGTGTCACCTCTCTCTGGTCTTGCTCCCTTGCCCGTTGGTATGCACTAGCCTGGGGTTGTTTTGCTTGGTGGCACTTAGTTTGTCTAAATCACTGAACAATCAGCCCTGAGCACCAACATAGAGGCTGTGTTTCAGATTAATTAAAACTGCATTCATTTTTAAAACCAGTGACTCATCCCATGGTCAGCAGCATGAAACATCAGCAAAGCAAAATACTAAACCGCTTACTAAAATCTGAATCAGAGAGGGTCCTGAAAGATTCAGACCGTGTCTCTCTATGTTTCAAACCCAGACACCTCATGCTAACCATGCAGCAGGTAAAAAAAAACTGTTATCTGTATCAGAAGGTGCCCTTTGCATGGACATATCGGTGCACAATCCAAGAGGAAAAGGTCTGTTTGGATTTCAGCTGAAAAAATAAACACAAAAGGTTCATTTTTCAGTCTCGAATATCCTGAATTAATCTAGTTTTAATACAATAACATTGTTCCTGAGAGGATATTTCACTTTGTGTTGATTTAAGGCTCCCCCAGTGGCCACTTTGGTATAACACATTTATTTTCTTATCTTATCCTGATCGTGTTTTCTTGAAAAATGTCACCCAAACATCTTATCAAGGAACCTCACCCTTAAAAATGTCAACAAAGGATGTTTGAGCAGCAAGTTGTTGCTCATAGTGATGGTTTTTACGCATCATTAGTAACAACAGGGAAATAACTAGGGCTGTCCCGATACAACTTTTTGACCTCTGAGATATTTTAGCCTTCAATATTGACCGATACCAATACTGTTTGTCGAACTAACATCACTCTTACTCCTTGTTACTTTGTTAGTGCCTTAGTACAGTGGTTCTCAAGTCCAGTCCAGCACACCTGATTCAAATGATCAGCTCGTTATCAAGCTCTGGAATGGCTGCTAACGAGCTCATCATTTGAATCAGGTGTGTTGGAGCAGGAACATCCAAAACATTGGGCCTCAAGGACTGGATACTGCTTGTATTGGAGATTCTAGATGCAGGTCGATATTATCCGGACCAGTGTCAAATATCAATATCATATCGGGACACCCCTAGAAATAACTTAATGAAATGGCACTTTACAGTCTTTAAAAAGGTCTTAAAAGTTGATTTTCAGCTGAGGACTTGGGCACCTTGACATGATTTCATACAGCTTTCAACAAAGCTAGCTTACATTCACCACAATTTGGCAATCACTGATCTAAATTATTGAATTTGCAAGTAATAAATGAACTTTCTCAACTTCTATTGAAGCCATGAAACAGATGATTCCAGTAATGTGTTACAGTGCATTAGTTTTACCTCGTCAGTCTCCGTGGAAACAATGGATCCGTCTCAAAAGAGCAAACTCTGCATGCAAGGCAAGCTAAATCGAGCACACCTTCTGGAGTCAGATATTTGAAAAAGAGCTACATATCCTCACTTCTCGGCTGCCTGACGCAGCCTGAAGGGTTTTAAATAACTGTCTGCCTCATGAAAAATATTTAGAGCATCCTGGGAGACTCTATGAGATTGATGTTAGTGTTTTGGCATCTCATAATGTCTCCCAATAAGATAAGAGCCGGGCGGCTGCAGTGCGAATGTGATGTGTGTGCACTTCTTCGGCTTTTCCACTCCTCCGCCTTCACATACACAAAACTACGGAGTCTCCAAACATGCACAAACACACACATTAATATCGGGGCACACACACACACAGACACACACACCAGTGTCCCCAGTGAAAAGCAATCAGATAGAGTGACTGAGCAGCGGCGAGCACGGTGTCTCTCTCTCTCTCTCCACTCCCCAACTGTCTAATGAGTGTGTGCAGTGCGAAGTAGCAGCAGCATGCACCATTTCCCACTGTAATTATGTGACACGGTCCAAAAATCAGGATGTATTCAGCTCTGCCTCACTTTCACTAGTTCGATACGACTTTCTCCCAGTTTTACAACTCTCTATATCATGTCCGGACGGTGCATGTGGGCTTTATTTGATGTCCTCAGGGGTTCGATTTTGCATAGCGGGCTCAGAGAGTCGAGTAGAGGCTTCTTGGAAGGTGCTTAGTCGGTTCTTACCAAGAATTTGAGAAGGGGGTTCAAGCCAGGGGCAGCAGTGTAGAGGATCTGTGGAGATAGTCTCCAAGGAGACAGGAGCTTGGCTTGAGGAGGAGAGGACTGGCCAGGAGGCTGCTGCATGAACGGGGAAGGAAGGAAAAAAAAAAAAAACGAGAAACCGGAGAACAGAGAACAGGATAAATTATGTGCTCAAAACAAATCTGCCAACCCGAGCCAGCTAAATAACAAATCCCCGTCCAATATGGGCTCAGTGCGAGCTCTGGAACATTGGATTCCCATGTGGTGTCCGACTGATTCGTGCATGGTTCTGAGACGCTATCAGGAGCCTGTTTGTGACTTTCTGTGCCAGTGAGTGAGAAACGGGGAGAGGAAGCTCCTTAATTCAATGTGTGTGGGTGCTTTTATAACTAATTATTTTGGCTTCAGTTTCACACCAAGTTATTTTCATTGGAGCTCAGTAAAAAAGTTTAATTGAATTGCATTTGATTGGATCATCTATTGGACCGATTTCAGAATGAATCTCTTGATGTTCTTGGTGTGAAAATTTGTCCAACTGCAACCCGGGCTGTCTAAAAAGAAATGGATGTATTTTAATTTTAACTTTTTTTTTTTTGGTCTTGGAGATTCTTTTTTTTTTTGCATCTGGCATGCCTGTGCATGCTTCTGAGGTGCACGCCTGCTGTTCACATGATGAGGACCTGTAGGGATAAATCATGAAGTATTACATGTAGAAAAGTGCCACTTCCTCTCTTTTCCCGCTGGCCAATTACTTTGTATCTCTCCACCAGGGGGAGGCGTTCCTGTGCCTCCCTTGCCCATCCACTGGTATTACATTATGGCCGCTGGAGGCGCCCTCCTTCTCCTGGCGGTGGCCATCTTGGTCAGAGCGCTCTGTTGCTGCCGACAACACCTGGCCACCAAGAAGAGCCAGCTATCAGTGGCCTATCACAGCTCCTCGCAGTGTTTCCAGTACTCTAACTGGTCCTCCAGTATGGCCACCCCAGGGGTGGAGCCAGTCCTGACAGTGAGGCTGGACAGCCGGGACAGACACCGTACCCTCTGCTGAAAAAAAAAGAAGCACTTAGCTGCGTTGTGTTTGGCAAAGCAGGACACCGACGTGTGTTGTCAGTTGCAGTGGTGACAGAACACGGACGAACCTTTCCTTCGTTTAGTCACCAGAGTGACGCAGACACTGTCCAAAACTGCCAAGTGGAAATCTGCAAAGACACACTGTGCCCTCTCTGGCTCTAATGGATGTAGCTTCAGTTGCTGTTTTTCTGTTGTTGACATTTCACACTATGCTGCTCCTGATGAGAGGACTTAAGTCTGAGTAAGTTATTTATCTGAACAGCTTGCCTCGGACCATTGAGCGCCGTCTGGCTCCTCATAACCCCAGCGGTCCACTAGAAATGACCCCAGCATGGACATATCACACAGACGTGTGTGTGGGCTGTGAAGAGGAGGAGGGGATTTGAGCTGGTTTCGGCCACGAGAGCCAGCCAAAGCTGCCAAACCACAGGCTAAAACAAGACCCCAGAGACTGAGGAGCTGTGCAGGGCTGGGAGAGAGAGGAGAAAACTGTTAGGCCGAGAGGCTGCTAGCTGTGGAAATGATCTGGCAAGCCCCAGAAAATAAAGCCCTTCTGTAATAACAACAGCAAGATAGCTGTGATATGAGTTGTACCACTGGTGAGGATGTTGTGAGGAGAGAAAAAAAAAATCCCTCCATTGTCCTTAACAACAGAGCATGTGCACATTAAAAAACAAAAGGAATGCAAATCCATCATACTTTAAATCCTGCATCTCAAACGGAGATAACCAGCTCGTTTGATTGAATGTCTTGTCTCGCCCTGATAAAGGCATCAGTCAGTGATGGATGCAGCCGTCTTCAGTGTTTAGTGTTTCATCTTGATTCTCCGGCGTAATAAAGCACGTTGTTCCACTCCCATTTCTGCTCCATACCACCCACTCCCGTTGTTTCCCCCCATGTCTCTGAGCCGCCCCAGATGAAAGCCCTGCCAAGCCGAGCCTTGTTTTGTTTTCAATGGGAATATGCGCTTGTTGTTTTAGGGGTTGTAAATAGACACAGCTGTCTGCCATCACCACTTCTTACTTGATTTATACTCCTACAAATCCCACAATGCCGCTGGACCAGCTGGAAGCCATAAGCTGGGTGTTTTCCTGTATATGCGCACCCTTGAGAGCGAGCCAAGACGTTATGAAAACCAGAGCAGACTGCCATCAGACGCCTCGAGCGGCTTTTGTCATAAATTCAGACACACTCCTAACTAACATATCTCTGATCTGAGAGGGTATCTTATCCAGAAATTTCTCTAAACAAGCTGAAAAAAAAAGACAAATCATGGCCAATTTCTCTCGGTGAAACAAGCTCGGTTTAACACCCGGGATTGAATGAAATTGAGGTCTTCACTCTGAAGCTTAACGGGCCGTGCTTTTTTGTGGTTTGTCACACCAGTAAGAATCCATCACCTTCTAGCCCACAGCTCAGCAGAAAGCACCTCCATTTGTTGCCACAATTTAGAAGCAGAGCCTTTCTCTCTAGAGTATTAAAAAAAAAAGCACTTTTTGGCACGCGCTCAATTTGTGCTTTTAAATCACGCTGGGGAGGAGGGATTGGACACCCTACCCCGGTCCATCTCAACACCGTTACGCTCCAAGCCTCTAATAGTTGTAATTAGTTAATGGACAGATAACATTTATTAAGGCTGCGGTAAGCACTTTTCCCTCCAAACCGCCGCACCTTCATCGCCCAATCCGCTGCCAACTACAGTTGCCCTGGAAACAGAATTAATAACGCCACTGGCCATCAAAGACCTCCAGATCTAGACGTGTGCCTTGCCAAGCAGTTACTCCCACTCCTGTATGATTGCCAAGAGCAGCAAACACACACACACACTTACACATACACTTACACACACAAAAAGTGAAACTCATCTAAAGTAGAAGTACACTCGAGCTATTTGGCTCCACTAAAGTGCTGCAGCCACCGCTACTTCTACCACACTTGTAATCTTCCAATTCAGACACTCAACATACGCATCAATTTTCACTTCTCTCCGTCTGGCATTGTGAGTGAGTTTCACAGAATAGGAGTCAGAAGCACCACTTAAATCTTGTTGTTTTAGTTTTATTATTTTTTTTTGTCTTGAATCATCTTATACACCACTCTTAAACTTGACAGTAACAGTGTCGACGACTTTAACGGTGATAACGATGGGTAATGTTGATTATTTTTGCATCTTTATTCACTGGGAATGAACAGTCTTATACCATCAGTATGTTATGTGATGACTGTGTGTTTGACTGGAATGTATCATAATGATGTTTCTCTATTAATAAAGACATATTTTTCTATTATTTGCAGACTTATGAGTGTGTTTGGGTTTGAAAACTCTAAAGAAGAGCAGTGCAGAAGTGTTATTTTGATTTCTCTGATCCTGCGAACACCATTGTAAAAGTCCTAAAGTGAAATCTATGATGCAATTTCTCTCCTCTCAAGTTAAAAAAATAATGTAGGATGGGTTTGATACTTAAAGGATGTGTTTCCTGTGTGTTTCCCGACAGTTAAGAGACCCAACGAATTCGGAGACGGACGACTTTTCAGCGGCAGAGACCCCTTAGGTGGAGGTAAGGCGCAGAAATTTAACCAGACTCCTAACTTAAGAGGGAAATTTCTAAATCAAAACAAGACAATTTTTATTCATTTTAACCATTTAATTTGATATTTTAGCAGTGCACAATTTTTGTTCATTATCAAATGATCCATTGATTCTATTTTCTACCTTTTGAAAGCTCGAAGGTTAATTTTGAATAATAGATAACCAGTAATTAGCAGACATGAGCACAGCTCTGAAGATAGAGTACTTTCCTCTCATAATACCCAAGTTTTTGGCCTCGTGTTTGTGGTTTTTGCAGATGGATTTTCATGTAAATTTCTCACATGTTGAAAAAAAATAAACCTCACATCAACTTTCTTTTTCGTTCGCCTGCTCTGGTGCTATCTTTAACGTATATTTCCCAAACACAGAGCCTCATTTTGGGACAGTAGTGGTAGTATTTGAATCCAAATGTGATACCAAAAGCTCAATTTGAAGTAGTTTCTTTGTATCTCAAGAAATGACACTTAAGACACTTCTCCTAACAGTTATGGTTTGATATCTTTTTGTCTTTCTCATATTTTTTTTTCTTGAGCTGTGCCAGTTTAGGAATGATTTTCTGAATGCCACATTTGAGCACAATTTCTGACAGATTTAGAAAATATCTCGTTCATAATTTCTTAGTGTTGAAAATGGGCGCCTATCCTTGGTTTTAGGATATCTGCTGGTTCTTTTAGATGAGAGATTTTTTTGTTGTTTTAAAGTATGAGTGGGCAATTTTTTCTTGTTCTTCTGGCATATTACATCCCTGTTTTAAGAATTATCTTCCAATGTTATTCCTTTTATTTATCCACGTATTTCTTGAGTTTATAAACCTATTTTATCTGTCCTTTCGCAGTTTTACAGTTCCCCGAGTGGAACACAGCCTCCCCATCATCCGACCCTCCGGTGACGCGTGTCTCAGAGAAGGACAACTCATGGCTGTACACGTTGGACCCCATCCTGGTCACCATCATCGTCATGAGCTCCCTGGGCGTCCTGCTCGGGGCGGTGTGCGCCGGCCTCCTCCTGTACTGCACCTGTTCCTACAGCGGCCTGTCGTCACGCTCCTCCACCACCCTGGAGAACTACAACTTCGAACTGTACGACGGCCTCAAGCACAAGGTCAAACTGAACCAACAGCGCTGCTGCACCGAGGCGTGAGGAGACAGGACACGAGCCAGAGAGACGCAGGCATTTCGTGAAAAGCTCTCACAATTTCTTTCATTCCCTACAGTCTACTTTAGTGTCAGTTTACTTCCTCAGTGGTGCAGATCCCTGGACACAAGGACGACGCCACTTTTCAGCTCAAATGAGACTTCTTTCCTGGCACAGTCTAGTCCTGGAATTTATTTAGTGGGGGGAAGAACCCAGGAGAGAAAGACTGGGGTTCCCCTGATGGATGATTCCACTGTGGGGACGTTTTGGGCCTCAAAAAGCTAAATATCTACACATATCAATTCCAGATTCCTGCTCCACCAAAAGAGAAGTGTTTATAAAAGCATCTTAGATTTGTAAGAGGTCTAGTTTTGAAAGTGGATACTGTAAGCTACACATACAGAGTCTGAACACATTGTGATGGAACGGTGGTAGGTTAGGAACAAGCTTAGAAAGCGTCTTTTTTGATCACATGTGAACACAGTGGCCTAGAAGTTAGCTCCTTTGTGTGGCCCCCCCGTTGACTTTTTTATGTTCTGCTACCTATCGGTCTCAGTTATCCTCTTAGTTCCTGACAGTCTGTGGTATTTTTAGTCACCGGCGTCCATCGAGTTTGTCTTTCTGCCCAGTCACTCTCTCTCTTTCTGTTTAATGTTTTTGTTCTGGCCTGTTGCCAGTCTGCGGCGGCGGCAGATAAGTAGAAAAAAAAAGAGGCAAAGAAAGTGTATGTGTATGTAGAGGTAGGGAGAAGGGGAGGGGGCTTTTTAACACATTCTTTGAAATGATGGAGAGAGTGTTATTGTTAGATTTAGTTGTTACTGGTTCTTGTCACAGAGAAGGTCATGTTTACATTGTGGTTAATGGTGAAAAAAGGTCAAGGAGCTTTCGTCGGTGCAACCTATGGATTGCTGTTAAGGGCAGAGACTGAAAAACCACTGAAGAAACAAAGAGCGAGTGAAGGGAGAATATGACTGACGGAGCACTAAAAAAATCCCCCCGCCTCCCTTCTTTCTCTCTCACAGGGGCGATTCTTTCCCTCGTGAAAAGGACATAAAAACAAACGGGATCAAAAACAAAACGCACAGCTGGAAACTTCTCAATCGACTGACTTTAAAGCCTTAAAAGCAAACTTTTCTCGGAAATGTTGAAAAAAAGGAACGATGAGGTGACAGCGACACAAGAGCAGAGGTATCTATCTCTCTCTTTTCGTACATGTGGACCTCAAAAGCCATGATTTAAAGGACCTACTCCCCCCCCCCCGAACTCACTGATCACACCACCCCCACCTCAACCTTCTTTTATATTTGTTATATTTACTTTAAGTCGGCATTCAATGGGATGGTTTTGAACCAATCCGAAGGCTTTTTTGTCCGGGACTCATAAGCCATGAGAAGGAAAGGGTGCGAGAAAACTCCCACTCGTGAACATACACATGCACATTTCTTCACTTGTATATACAGACGTGTATACAGGACCGTCTTTCTAGAAACTTCAAGGTGCTCATGAAGGGAACAATGGCTGCTGTCGCTGCTGCTGCTGCTGAGGTATATTTGAGTACATAAAACATCATCGATTCAAGACACAAACACGCGCTCAACATTTCACCTCATCTACCGTTATACACACCAACAAAAAAACACGATCCGTCCCTCTCCTCTGAGGCCCGCTTCTCTGGACCCCACTGACTCTCTTCAAAGTGCCTTGGAGCCTCGGGGATCCAGCTTGCCTTTGGAGCCGGTATCAGAAAAAAAAATGAATTTGACACTGAAAAAAGACAGTCACAGCGCCCCCTTCTGCCTGGGAGGACCAAACGATGTAAAAGGACACGATCCCCCGCCCCCTTCGCACTGCTCGGACTGCTGTTGTTGTTGTTTAAAAGGGGTCTTTGTACAGAAATGCTCTTTTTATGATTGTTATTATAATTATTGTTATGATTATTTAATAAAGGATTTATACCATACTGAGAAGCAAGCTGGCGTTTATTTTTTAACCGTGATGCATCTTGAATTTCTGACTGTTCACATTTCCAGGGTGTCAGGTTTCATTGGCTGTTTGTCCCAGCGAGGACTCTTCTGTACCAAGAAGACACTTAATCCTTCCATCTGTTTTTTTTTTTTTCCACTCCACTCAAAGAAAACTAACTTCAGTAAGCATGCATGCCCTGTTTTCAATCAGCAGAAGTTGTGGTCTGTCTCTCTGGATTTGTCATTTATTCAAAAACATCCCCATGAATTTTTAAGCCGCATCTGATTTACTATTAATATGACTGTGGAAGTGAACTCTACAGCTACCTACAACAAGGAAATGATGGCCTTGATGCAGAAACTTCAATCTGAGCAACTGTTTCTGTATTAATTCTATTCAAAAGTATCTTATAAGACTCAATACAAGCAACAATTACACGAAAACCTCTATGCAAACGTCTTATTTTCAGATATAACTGTAATTTTTGCTTGTAATATCTTGAAAAACAAGCTTACTGGGTGCTTATCACATCGATGTGGCTTGCATGAAGTCCGATGAGAAATAAGAAAAACGCATTTGCTAAGATTTGGGTTTTCGCAGAGTTGATAAAGCCGACCATGTGTGAGCAGTCAATAATAGGTTTTTGGATGTGTGAACTGCTATCAGGCAAATATTCTCTGTGCTGCTCTTGTGGACTCCAATTAATTTGAAAGCAAGTGAGGACAGAGCACCAAGTTATGAAAAAATATGTCTTCTCTCTCTCTCGCTCTGTTTCCACTAACTCTATTCCCTGCAGGGAAAAGCAAACAATAACCCTGACCCCCCACTCTTCAAACACTTAAAAGAAAGCAAGTGGTATAAAATGTCCTCAACTTCAGATGAGCCACATTTACCTGAGATGTCAAAAGGAACAATTTTAAGACATTTCGAGCAAGATGAATAATGCTTCGAATGAGTGAAACTGAACCTGTCTTCATTCAGGGAACTGAAGCACACATTTCTCTCACTATTGGCAGATTACTCATTACAATCAATCTAAGGTCTTGAAAAAAGTTGATCTGGACTATTTTAGTAAAGGTGGCGAAATTCATGCTAGAAATAAGACAGAAAACCTTGCTTGGTTTAAGGCAGTGGTTCTCAAGTCCAGTCCTCGAGGTCCACTGTCCTGCATGTTTTGGATGTTTCCCTGCTCCAACACACCTGATTCAAATGATCAGCTCGTTATCAAGCTCTGTAAGGCTTACTAACGAGCTGATCATTTGAATCAGGTGTGGACTTGAGAACCACTGCTCTATCAGGGAAGAATGGGACATTAAACTCAGTATCCCAACAATAGACTGTATATAGAAGTATAATAGTATATTCAGTCTACGCTGGATGCACAGGCAGCCATGAATACATCCTCATGCTATATGATATATACGCTGCCGACTTTCGCTTACCGTCCTCCGTCTTTCAGTCCAAAATTGAACGACTTCATTTAGCTACTGCCTTAAAAAAAAGATTGATTCTCTGTCCTTCATTATCTAACTAGAGAGAAAATAAATTACCATCCGGCACAGTCTGTTCTGTTTCAATAATTTAGTGTTTGCTTACCACTTGGTTCTTCTCCTGTGTTCTTTCCTCTCCTCGAAATACAACCACTTCTGTCTGCAGAAATCAAGATGGTGAGGGCCAAACTCTAGACCTCCAAAACCCGATAGTTGACATTATGGTGTCCACTTCTTATTTTCAGTCTCAGAGAAGAACAGAAGATGGAATTAAGAAATGTTTTCTTGGCAGTATTGACATACCAGCTATACTTGTGCACTAAAATAAACACTTCCTTGCCAATTAGCCACAAACTCCATCTGTGACTTAGAGTCAAACTTTTACTTTTAATTGCAGAAGGAGAACACACAGGGGAATCACACACACACACACACAAGCAGACTTATGTTCTGGCTCTCTTTCTCTGCCACACACACACACACACACATTCGCATAATGCTGTGTTGTCAGCCTGCTACACTTGGCCTCTAATCTCCCCATGATGTCCCATTAGTCTGGACCTCTGGTGGCCCTCATTTAGGAGCTTCAACATCAAAGCTTTGAAGTGCCCGACGTCTCAGCCACACACACACACACACATACAGTCTCATACAGTACACATGCAATTACTCTGCTTCTCTTTATGCAGCTTGCTGAGTCTCCCACACGCGGTTCCATTTATCCACACAAGCTTTCTTCACCTAAGTGCAAACTCAGTTAGCAAACAGTTAACATGGCCTCAGATCCAAGATGTGATATGTTTGACTCTTTGGGGTCTCCAGTACAGGGAGAGCTGTTACAGTCTTGGAGGATTAATGAGAGCGGCCGAGTTAATGTTGCATTTCTTCATGAATGTGTTTCTCCCGCTGTCTTCATAACTCATCAATTACAGCAACAACTTTTGAGCAGACTGTAAATGGAGCTCGTTGCATAGGTACGACATTACGAGCCACACACAGCAGAACGACGCGTGTTGTAGCTGCACAGCAGCAACAGCAGTGGCTGTTAGCGTGCTCCGGTCCGTGACATAGCGGGCCAATTACCGCCTCTGAAAAAACACAGACAGTCCCCAGCCTGCCGGAGGAGTGCAATGCCATCTGCTCGCAGGTTTGATTGATCCCGGCAGAACAGTCACGACCACATCACATGAATGAACGCCGACAGGAAATTACCAAAGGAGCCAGATTGTCATTGTTCCATACCACCTCTTGTTTTCACAACCAAATTATTCTTAATTTTCCTGCCCTGCGAGTGCGTGTGTTGTTTTTGGAGGTTTTTTATCAGTCAGTGCCGACACACTGCAGGGGCCCTTTCCTTTAACCGTCAGATCAGAGGGTTCTTTTGCCTCTGAAGCCAAGGCGGCCTTCAAAGAAAAAGCTCTGGCACCCTGTAAGACGATAGGCCAGATTGTGGAGGGGGCTGATTTGAGGGTCGCGCCACAGGAAGTGACTCAAACACACAGCTAATTAATCTTGGGATTATGTAATCAAGATGGAAGAGAGGGCAAACGAGAAGCATGTTGGTCACCACAGTTAGGGCGAAAAGTTTGCTCGGTTTTCAGACTTAATCACTTGGTTTTTCTTTATGGATACAGAGCAGAACTGTAGTTGTAAACAAAGATAAAAGCAGCATATAAGGTTTTTAAACGAAGCATCCAACCGTTCATACTGCAGCCAAAAAGATTTAGAGCAAGTCCACTCCGGAATCTGACACAGGGAATTGAGAAGGTCGAAGGTGGGGATGGAAGATGAGCAGGAGGGCTGTTGGGCTCAGTTCACTTCCTATCACTGGAGAACTGAGTGTTTATTATGCAGCAGCCCTGGGATACCTGGAGTCAAGCCCTGAAAAAGTTCCTCTGAGCTGCAGCTTCTCTCAGTTACAGACCCCAGCAAGCCATGCAGTCAGCAGTAAAGTTAGCTGACTCGACCCCGTGTGAGGTTCAGAAAACATGAGCATGTTGGCTACGAAGCTCCTCTGCTCATGTCTCCTGGAGTTAGGACAGGAGAACTTCTAATATACCCAACTCCTCTCTAACAGTGTCAAACTCCACTTTTGAATCTCTTGATTGACTGCTGTGATTTTAACCTTACCCCCTGGTATAAATCTCTGCTGCTTTCCCATCCAAACAAGGTCAGTGTCAACCAGTGTGCCCACAGGCCTGGAGCACTTCCAGTAGAAAAAAAAAAAATCTGATTTGATCTTCATTTTCAGCTGCCTCTGTGAACTTTTGCTTCGTCTCATTTGCATATTTGCAGCGCTTCCCCTGCTTATGCATTTGCATCACTGTTGTGTGTGTGTGAGACTGTCCAGCTGCTGATTGGTCAATGGGCCGACTCCGCAGGACCAATCAGGGATGGGCAATGGTACAGCTGAATTGTTCATCTTTATTTCAGTCAGGATCACTTTAGTCAAAATTAATCATTTATTACAAGCAAACATTTTTACATTGGCGGTGTGGCTCTGTTCTGAGGCTTCCCTGCCCTTCCATGCGCTTGCATGGAACGCCAAGGCAGAGAAAGCAGCAGCAAATAAATACAATTAAGATAAATAAATAAAAATCCCCGTACAGAACAGAGCAAGCATCAGTGACGATACATATGACACTGGTAAGATTAGACACAACATAAACAGGAGAAGCTAAGGGTGGAGGTGGGTTGCAGAGTGGTAGGAGAAGCAGTTTAAATAGGGCGCCATTTTGACATTAGCCATTAGGATGTGAAGAGGTTGATCACCTGAGCTGTCCGCTGACTGAGGGCTGGCTTAAGATCAGCTGACTGTAGCCTTTAGCTTGACTCCATGACCTGCCTGAACTACCACTATGCTTCATTTTGTAGATTTGTAAGGGATAGAATTTCTCCCCCATCACTGTTGTTTTGTTTTAACTTCTTGAGCAGCACTCCACATCCACATGTTCCTTACCTCAACTTTATGTCAAACAGCGCTTCATTATTTCTTTTCGCAATAAATAACAATTTTACACCACGGAATCGGGTTTTATATAGCGTCTTTTCCCCTCACAAGCTGGGTAGTAACGAGCAAGTTTCACCGAATAAAGATCATTCTGGTTATTGCGGATGGTTTGTCCTCATCAGCCACTTTACTAAACCAGACAAAATCCAGGATATTTAAAATCAGATTGACAGTAAACAACAGTGACTTTGGTACAATACTTGGATAAAACAGAAAGCCCTTTATCAGCAGACAGAACAAACATTACAGATCTTTGACTTGCCAGCCTCTATGTTCAGCAACCAGATTTACACCACCCAGCTTCGGTGAATCTGGAGCATGTTTGCTGCTGATGGAATCCAGAAAAATCCCAGAAACCCCTTCTTTCTTCTCCTCTTTTTCAAAGGCCACATACACAACGAAACCAGACAGTTTCTTTAAATGAGACATGAAACTGTATGTACATGAAATATCTGTTTTCTACCACTATGATTGTAATCCACCATTGAGATATATTAATAAAGTTG